TTAAGGGAACATGAGTTTCTTATCTCACACAAACTAAAACCCTGAAGTCTCTGGAACTGATTATGCAATGGGCATGTCACTTTTTCACAGGCTTGTACAAGCCACCAAATACCAGCAACATCAGTCACTACAAATGTACTGCGTTATTTTATTTACTCTTAACAATTTATTCAACTTTTTAACTGAAATATTTGGTTGACAAATCCATTAAATCTCATCATTATAATGCATATACACAAAATCATTATTCATACATTCAAAATTGGATGACGATCAAGAACAAATGTCTTATTTCTCAAAAACCTATACAGCACAATAATAGTGTACAGCAGCTAGATTAACAATTATAGCAATATACAATTAATTACACCTACTATGATTAATCCTAACCCTGAATGAACATAGTAAATTATCAGGAAAATGGCTGGAAAATTAAAGGTCTTAATTTCACATACATTTACACATATATTTGAGCTCAGAATACTCTGTACCAACTTATGATGTCATGAAGGGGTAGTTTTCACATTAACAGCTACCTTTTACCTTTTATTCAGCAGAGATTTGCATTTCCAAGGCTGAGGCCATACAAATAATTTTAGGTGTATGCAGTGGAGCACTTCCTGTATTACCACATGATGTCACAAAGTGGAACAGAGTTTTTTCTGTTCTACCTTATGATGTCAGAAGAACTCAGCCTTAATTTTGCCCTAGTTTTGTTCATGTGTTAAATTTTTGAATGAAACAAAACAACTGTATATGTATGTTTGTGATGAGGAAACAACTTTTATACACAGGCCAAAAAACAGCATAATATGGGCCCTTAGAATTAGGTTAGGTTAGTGCTTTTATCTCTAGGTACACCATTTAGTATGATATTACACTCCATGGTACTTTGCTGTGTAGTGCAACCACTGTGCAGATGACATCCCAACCGTTAGACTTTATTTGTGGGTGGCAAAGCTATATATGAGTGTCAGTGATAAGTAATGACATTTTCTTCTGCATACCTCATCTAAAATGTGAGTTGCTACAGTCTAATAACAAATATATATATATATATATATATATATATATATATATATATATATACTTTATATACTTATATATATATATATATATATATATATATATATATATATATATATATATATATATATATATATATATATATATATATATATATATATATATATATATATATATATATATATATATATATATATATATATGTATATAAATAAAAGTTTACAACTCTAAATATTTAGTTTGTACCTGACAATGAAGTTGTAAGTTGTAAAGTAATTGAAAACCAGTTAACAGATAGCTAAACAACAGGAAAACTGTAGACACATTTCTTATTGATACAAACTTTGTTATCAGGCACAGTTAAACTTCTCTACTTAAAGGGCTTATATAACACTATTTTCTGATCTATGTTATACTGTTTTTCCTAATCAAAAACATACAGTGAGTTGTGTTTTGTTTTATTCACACATGTTTAACACACAACCCCTGCGTATTCTCTCCAACTGTAAGCACAATACACAAAGTGCTCTGCTGTGTTCTTAAACTCCTTACACATTTCCTAGACTCAGTTGGATGAATTCAGGCCTGGAATTGACAATCTCCACTAAACTAAAGGTAAAACGTAGCTGTTAACTTGAAAACTACCAATTCATGACATCATGACTGAATGAAACAAAACACAACTCTGGATATGTTTTTAAGGAAGTAAAAACATTCTAACATGGCTTAAAGCTCACAAGCTCTCAATTTTGCATAATATAGTAAATATTTCTGAGTCTGTGTGTTGAGGAAATAATCAGGCAAAAGAAACAGACACAGACACACAGGCATATTATGAATGTTATGATGCCCATAGTTCTGCCACTCAGTAAGGATGTTGAAGAGCACTGAACTGAGGAAAATGATGTCAGTGCATGACCTATAACTTATACAGAGTCACAGTCTATGCACTTACCACAAAACTGTTTTATATTTGTTCCTCCTATCACTGTGAAGTTGACGTTTAGACAATTTAATAACTTCTAGTGTAATAACTCCTGCATGATGTATCTTTGCCCAAATTGTTGTTTAACTCATACAATAAGAGTAACATATTATGCCTGTAAAAAGTATTATTTGCTAAAGGGACAGCTGTACAAATAGTGGCGGCTGTAGTGGTCTTTATACGAGTGATGTTTGCCTCAGGCTCAAATTAGATTGCATTTGCATTCCTCTGGGGTCAAACATATCCATAAACATATTTTCTCTACATTTCCTTCTATGGCAATATTGGAAAAGAAATACACATTCAATTGTATTTATTATTTTTCACATACAGTAGTTTTAGCATAATTTGCTTTTGTCTGTACTTTGGTCTCATGGTGTCTACTACTGGTTATTATTTGATTATGTAACTCCCATATATTTTTCAGTGATGGCATTCTCCTCTTTGAGTTTTACAGTCTAATAATCTATGTTTTATTTCTGTACAGGAATTGTGTCTACGAAAAGGTCATAGTTTTATATTTCAACTCAATTACATGTTTATATTGGATATAAAGGTGTCCAAAATCTTAGCCAAGTTCTCTTACTAATGATCTCTAAAAAAAATTACTTTACTTCTGATTTTTAAACTTGCACTTTATAACTTTTCTGGTGAAAGGTCCACTAACTGCATGGCCACATCTTCTTGTTTTCCACCATATGCTGTTTGATCTTATCTATATCCATGGAGCAGGTGAATTGACAGGTCAAATCTGTGTTTTGCATGTTGTTTTGGGGCAATGAAGTGTAATTCAATACGTGCAACATAAAAGGTTTACTATACTGTGGAACATTTCAGGTATTGCACTAACATCTCCATGGAGACAAACATCTGGCAAACCAACAATCAAAAAATTAACATAGAGCACCTTTAACTGAGTAGTTTTAGTCATTATAATAACCGTGAGTTACTACAATATTACATTAGTGATGCCATTGGGAGCTGATTTGACATAGTTCTACGTTTGGATGTACTCTCAAACTGGACTGAACTCAAACCATATTTCTCCTTGCGAGTGTCCAAGTCTCAAGTTGTGTGACTGTTTCAGTTGTACTTACAAAAAATTGTTTCATTCATCAGATTCACTCCCTGCTCCGTCAGCCCTGCTCTTTAAGGGTGCAGGGGGACGTGCAGCACAGTATTTGGCTCAGTGCGAGTAAATAATAAGAGTGATTCCCATGGAGGCCACTGTGTTTGTTTGAACAATACTATTGCCATTGGACCATATTTAGTCACCAGCAGGGCCTGAGGTGCTGCCCGACTCCACTGAGAGTAACACAGAAAGCTGCAGAGATTCCTCACAGATCCCATTGTCCTTATATGGCACAGACCGCAGACTCTGTTCAGTATCTGCAACCTCACTCTCTCCACGCCCCCATTGGCCCCCCTCAGCCCCCTCGGCCCCAGCGCCCCCTATCCTCCCGTCTGGCTCTGCATCCCTCCCCTATTTACTGTCCCGGGATCTCCAGAGTTTTTCATAAAATGTTTCCCAAGGACGTAGAAAATGTTTAAGGACTCCAAGAGGATGAGGGGAGCAATAATTGTATATCTATTACAGAAAGTGGTCAGCCATAATAAACTAATCATATGATCTATATATATATTATCAAAATTCAAAACCAGCTTTAGTCATTTCAGACAGAGTTCATCATAGGATTTTTTTATGATAGATGTTTAGCATATGATCCTGGTTATATTTATCATTATTTGAACCTTATCAAATTCACCATTAGGATTTGTTCCTGATTTTAAATTATTTTTAGGACTTTTGCCCATTCAAAAGATTTATTTTTATTGGCATGGCAACAATCCCCCACTTGAAACCCATTGTGAACATTATGTAAAACAATACAATTATTAAACCATAATTTATCTTATCTGGACCCTCTCATTATCCTGTCACTCCTCTAAACGGTTTCAGAATCAAGCCACACCTCTGCAACATTGGCCATTTAGAGGTGGCTCTTTAGCAGTTACTGTGCAGGTCTTTGGTCCATCATCAAGTTTCACACACACATACCAGCACTAAACAGGCCTGCACTATCATCCAACAGTTTGATTTATTTCAGCAAATACAAGAGTGTCCTTATATAGGAAGCTCCAGAGGAGAGGAGAGGTACAGCTTCGGGAGGGTGCAGGATTTTGGGAAATGTGATAACAGCCAAAGATATGCCTGGGATGTATACGCACTTAAATAGACAGGTTTATTGTGAGAATAATGAGTTATGTTGTGGGGCTCTTTCTGATGTTTTTACACACGGGGCGACAGGTTGCCTTATGAGGAGTGGGAAGAACTTTGCAGTATACATGACGGCTCCCTCTGTTTTATGGATGTCCTGGATAATTTTGCAATTATTCACTTTGCAATAAAGAACACCTTGTATTTACTAGAAAAACTGTTAGGAGCAGGCACATTTTAGGTGAGACACACAGAACATGTTGCCTTGGTCTTTACCTCATAGCAGCCGTGCTATGACTAAATCTAGCCACAAAAGGTCAAAAATGTGCTCTTAATGATTGTCCCAAGCCTGAAACAATGGGTAGGGCTCCACACAGAGGACTCCTAATATGGCTTATGCCAATCATTTAAGCTACAAATCATTACACAGTAGATCACAAATTGTGTCTTTGAATTTTGTCAGACCTAAAATTAAATTCATGTCAGAAGCCAATTAATGAATTACAAAGACTCAATGACTCGTTTTCTCAACTAATAATGCAAATTACGATTCTACACATATCATAAGGTAGCTTTTGGTCTGCTTTGCCACTATTATTCAAATTATTCAAATATATTTCTACCAAATAATTATATCTTTAAATTAGTATTTTTGTACTACTGCACTGCATCCTATTACCCTTTTCTCCATCACTCTGATGTAAGGTCCAACCTGCTGTGGTCTGTACTGCGCATGTCCGCTGCCTCAGTGGATGCTTCTCTAGGACCTGCGCTCCGCACCACGCGGCTCCACCTCCTTCTCTCAGCGGGGCGCACTTTAAATGCTACGTCTCTGAATTAGACGAGGGTCATTTGGACTGTTACAGTTGGAGTACCTCGTCACAGCCTCTCCTCTCAAACCATCGACCTAAATTCATTACCCCAAATCGGATTTCCTGTCATTATGTAAGTACAGTGTTTTTCTACTTTTATAGCAAATGCTAATTGCCGCATGGTTTGTTATGGTCCGCAAAAACAACTTCACAGTAGCATCAGAACTTGAAAAAGTGTGGTAACATTTTTTTTTTATTATTCAGAACTAAATACGTGATCATTGTTAGAACTACTACAAAATGGACAGACAATTAAAAGGGAAGTAATAAGTTCAAAGTGAATGTCATCGAATTGACCACTAAGTTTCCTGTTTCCCAAATAAGGTCATGCAAGACTGTTCTGTGCATTAAGATACAAACAGAGGTCGGTTTGTTGCTGTTATTGCATAGCTTTTTCTGCGCACTCAGAGTTTAGTGCCATATGTTTGTTTAATTAATTATTTACTGAAGATTTTCCTCTTTTTTCCCAGAAACCTTCAAAAAGATAAGCATGTCAAAAAAAGGAATTAAAATGAATTTATAATAATTATGTGCTGCCCTGTTAATCTTAACTGGACAAAGTAATATTGACCTCACCATATTAAAAAGCCCACCCAAGACTGTTCTAAGAATCTTGTGGTCATTGCATTTTATTGTCCTAATTTGAACTTGTCACTATTCATCATAATATAAAGCTATTGAAATTACATTGCTCTGGGGGTTATTAGCACAATTATAACAGGAAGTATGTTAGTGAAGCAGCCAGCAGAGGAAATGAGCTAAAATCATTCACAGGACCTGCATGGCAACCGCAAATAGAAAGGTCATTTCGTCTCATGAGAAAATGGGTTTATTATTACTTGGAATATGCTTATTATTTCAGATGGGGACTCTGATGGTTTGTCCTATATTGGAAAGTGAGGTTATGTGCAAGTCACTCTTAAAGATGTGAACTTGTTTTATTGTATTATTGAGCTCTTTTTCATTTATAAGTAGCACCTGTAAAGTTGATGAGTTCATTCATCCATAAGAAAAACAGTGCCTCGTGGACTTTCTAATCTCTGTTTTTATCGACTTTAACGTTTTCTGCTTTGATTTGGTTTGCATGATCCTGTCAGCTCCACTTAGCAGCTCCACAGACAGAACCATTACAGAGATATGTTGACACAACTCTCAGGAAGAGGAGGGAGCAGTGATAATATTAAGATAATGAGCCAGGCAAAGTTTAAAGGGTTACCGGCAGCGTGGATGTGATCAGCCAGAAAGTCAGGTTACTCTGGGTCTTAACCTTTTCAGAAACACCACCTCCAAAAATATTTTATTTCAGTATTTAATGGATGTGAAGTAGGCCTGTCATGATAACAAATTTTGAAGCATGATATATTGTTACAGAGAAATACTCCGATAAACAATAATGTTGAACAACACACAAACAATAATATTGAAACTATTTTATATCACTGACACAAAGCAGGATAATCCTAGTAAACCAGTTTTAAATATACAGTATCATTAAAAGGTTTGAGCTGCAACAAATAAATAGCAGAATGAAGCCAGCTCAAATCTTATATTACAACAAACATAAGAAAAATCTCGCCATTATTGCAAAGAAAATTATTCCAGCTTCCATGTATTGAATGATAAATTAATATAGCAATTATAGTGACAGCCTCGATGTAAAGACATCCAGGCAACTTGAGTAACAACAAATGCTTTCACAAATAGATTTGTCTATTTAAACCATAAAATTAGTTACCTATTGTACCTCTTTATTTTAATAGACTAAAATTTAATAGTATCAGCTGACAAATGTAGGTCTAAGCTTGGATTCAATCAGAACCAAACCAAGATTAAACCAGGACTGAATCAGGTGTGAAGTGGGGATAGGAAATATTGGCCAAATGAATATCTATATACTCAATAAACTACAAAAAACAATAATTATTCTTCCCCCTGTAGTACCATTGAGAGTAATAGCCTTTGATTTAAAACATGCTACATTTCTTCAGCATACAGAGCTTGCCAAATGTTGTAGCTTTTATCTTTTAACTTCTTTTAAACTCAATATGTCATGAGTCCTTGAACGTCTCAGCTTTATAGATCCCTTGGGTACAATCACAGCCTTTCTCAAGATTCATTTTTCCCATAGTTCTGACTTCTCCACACAGTTTCACCATTGCCAGTTTTAAAGATTGAAAGCAGCAGCAGTTACAGCCTGAAGTTTGGAGTAATTGTTTGAAACCCAAGTGCCGAGCAATTATCCCTCATCTTTTCAATGGTAAATCCAAGATGGCAGATTATTACTGTATGACTCAAGGTTCTATTACAACCACTGGGCTTGAGTGGAGCAGGTGCCATTTCTGTATGGAGTGTTCTTATTGGCCTAATCTTTCAAACACTATATTCAAAAGAAATATCAAATAAGCAATTCATCACATTTTAATCTAATCAAGATGCACTTGTTTTAAATCATGATGAATAGCTTGTGTATATAGTGTATACAATTTGGACGTCAATACAAGTAATAAAATATTGCAGTGTAGTTTGATTGTAGTTGCAAAGGAGAACTAGTGATGGTTTTTATGAGGTTGAGTACTTGGCAGTTAGATGAATTTTGATATAACTTCTTTTTTTTTTTAGATGTCAGTCTCATCCTCTATCTACCCAGATCTAGTATGAACATCCCCCCAATACTGTTTACGATCCATACACATTACCTAATATTAACTCAAACAAAATATCTGTACATTAACAGAAAAATGTTAAATTTTCCAAACCTAATTATCATACCACTCAGTTTGTGATTCAAACACATAGGTGCATTTAAAAGTATCCCATGTAAACTACAGTATGCAAGCTGCAGCAAGGCCCCCCTCAGCCTCTGTGCTTTGCTGTTATCATTTTGAAGTAAACGGCAGAGCAGTCAGAGACATACTATTCCCTATAAGGCTTTTGTTTGGGACTGGACTTGCCGTGCTGTTTAGGTCCGATGAAAAGAGCACTGCTACAGAGAAGGAGCCCATATATGGTCATCACAGCACGAGACTCTTAGGGGGAGAGACAGGGAGGGGAGAGGCAGACATGGAAAAAAAAGATGTTGTCAATTACTGTATTACATAATGATTAAATTACTATAGACTATGTTGTCAGCATTAGTGTACACATCAAAGATAGCAATGTAGATAGTTTATTGTCATTAGATGGGGAAAAAATTGATTCACATCCTTAATTTTTGCATCTAAATCAAGGGGAGTTTATGTGTGTCTTGTGGAGTGTGTGAAAATGAAGTTTGAGGGTGGAGGCCTGTGAGAAGGAGCGTAAAATCCCCAAAGGATCAAATAAGTTAACTCTTCAAGGTACAACCAAAAGCATATGTCTTTCTAGTGCTTCTTTGACCATTTAATCCCATTCCCAATTAGGTTAATGCTAGTATTTTGTCATTGTCACCTTCTGTATTATTAACACAAAAATACGCATATATGCTTTACAGAGCTTGCATTAATCTACTATGGAAATATTTGAGGCATAAAAAAATATATTCTCTAGTTCAGGGTCAGGGATATATGCTTGCTCCATTTAAATTAGTATGGCTTGTAAAGAAAGTAATTTATACTCAGCGAGTCTCAAAATAGTGGATATTTACAAGGATCGAGATCAGAGATATCATGATTGATGATGAAATTTTAAAGTTATGAATTTTGTGAGAAGAAAAGTCACAAGTGAAAAGTTATTCACAATTGATATTAGCAACAGTGAAATTAATTTTACTCTATTATGTAACCAGCTTTCTGAATGATAACGTAAAAAAACAAAACAAAAACATGTTTAAACCCTTAAGCCCTACATTTAAGTTTACCTATTACTATAGATGACTGTGAAAGCACTTAATTTTGCATCTAAATGTTTCTGTTACTTTTATTAAAAAAATTAACTGACTATAAACTATTCGTGACATCTCTTAGATAATCAGGTATCACATAAACAACTATATAATCACTAAAATGTTTATGCAATATGGTTTCATTATTCTGTCCCTTTTGCAGCTGGCCCTCCACCCAAACCCAACATGTCCAAGACGGCCCCAGGTGAGGATGAGAAGTTCCTCTATGTGGACAAAGACATGTTGAACAACCCCATGGCGCAGGCAGACTGGGCAGCCAAGAAGCTGGTGTGGGTGCCATCGGAGAAGCATGGTTTTGAGGCGGCGAGCATCAAAGAGGAGCGCGGTGACGAGGTGCTGGTGGAGCTGGCTGATAATGGCAAAAAGATGACAGTGAATAAGGATGACATACAGAAGATGAACCCACCCAAGTTCAGCAAAGTGGAGGACATGGCAGAGCTCACCTGTCTGAACGAGGCCTCAGTGCTGCACAACCTCAGGGAGCGCTACTTCTCTGGACTCATCTATGTGAGTACAAACTATAGTACAAATATTATTACCCTAATATGACACTACATGTTTATGCATTGCACGCAGTGCAAGTAACACTGATAATCTTCTATGTAAATATTATATATTATAAATATTATAACTAATGTTTGAGATGCACCAATCCAACCTTTTCAGCAAATTGATTTTACACTATTGATGCTTTACTCTTTACTCTATTGTCAAATAAAGCTTACAGGACAAGTTTTTTAAGGTGCACAACTTATCTTTTCCAATGGGGGGGTCCAATACAATACCTGCTTGTCTGCATGGAGATGTTATTGCTCTCCTTGAGTATTCCACAATATGGACTTACTTGTCTTCATAGAGGCAAGCAGATGACATCAGGCCAAGTTACAGTTCAGATCTGTGGAGAGGCAACACCACTCACAGTAAAATGCATGCTTTTCAAAGGATTTCTTAGCAATACAAACACCTGTAATTGAATAAATGCAAAATAAACATGTTTACTGACATACTATGGAGAGTGGTGATATCTAGATGCAGACAATGGACTCAGGTGGACTCTCCTTCAGAAAAGTTACATTTCCATTTTAAATTAGTGATCAGTAAATAGTCTTGTACATATTACATTAATTCATGAGGGACTATCCTAAACTAAATGCTTAGTCTTTCTGTTGTTTATTTGTAATGATATATGTATTTGCAACAATAATACCACATAAATTAGGACTATATGTACATATATTTAAATTTTTTTTTCAAATGTGTCAGACATTTCCTCATGTAATGACAACATGTTACATTACTGTCAGGTTAAAAATAAGAGTAGAGTACAGTTTGGAAGTGGTCCCTGAATGTTGTCATCTCTGGCCAGGTGTTTTGCAGCAGCATGTCGAAATAATAAGAAAATAGAGTGAGTAATGCATAGTAATAAGAGCATAGCTATTGCATTATTTACTGTGTCACACATAACTTAACCTTAAAACAATTTATCAATACTCACTTGCATATTTCAGCTCTTTCTATTTTAGTTTATTCCAGTTGGGAAGGTAGAGGTCAGAAGTAAATCATTCACAGTCTGTGAATGTCACAATCAGCTAATGGGGATAAAATCTAATAAAAATGTCTGAATTGAGCCAATCTGTCTCCGATGTTGTGGTAAGTTTTGAAATCTCTCTCTTTCAGACATACTCGGGTCTGTTCTGTGTTGTGGTGAACCCGTACAAAATGCTGCCCATTTACTCAGAGAAGATCGATATGTACAAAGGGAAGAAACGTCATGAAGTGCCCCCTCACATCTACTCCATCACTGACAACGCCTACAGGAACATGATGCAAGGTACTCTGCCACCAACACCCAAATCACTGTAACTGCATTTATAAAAGCACTATGTTTGTACTTGAGGGTCTGCCACCGGGTTATGTGCCTGGAGCCAGTTCTGTTATCCTTTTACCTGAAATGTTTCCTCAGTAGGTTTCTGAGGCTTATCTGTTTCCATGGAGAGAAACATGTGACACTACAAGGCCATAAAAACTTCTGCATCTAACAAATACAAAATACATATGTTCAATTCCCTCTTTCTCCTGTTAAACTCTTTCACAGAGGTTAGTGGTAATAATCAATTTTTCACATCCAAGTTCACCCTAAGAAAATATTTGGTGTTGCTGTCTTATATAGCTGGTGCATTTGCCAGACTTTGTCCTTATATTAAATTATTTTCTGGGAAACCCCTCCTCAGTGCTGCGGTTTCAAAGCAGCTTATTTCCCATCGAGTGAAGTGTCTCCTCTGCGTCCAGTGGTCGTGCCCATGCGGTCCCCCGCTGACGTGACGATATACTCCCAGAGGAGGCTACATCTGGATGGAGAGATGGGCGGAGGGCAGTCAAACATTTCCTGTCTCCAAATGCTTCAGTATACGCTCTGCAAGCTCAGTCAAAGAGTCTTCATAGCTTTAGTGACAGTAGAATGGACAGAAGAAATAACACAAACAGTTGAACAGAAATGAAAAATGGACTTGAAGTACTAGGGGCTGTGACATTAATCATATTTAATCTGAACTGTTGTTTAAACTGAAATGTTTCAAAGAGAAACTAGTAGTGGCAAAAGAAGAAATTCAATTTGTCAACTGGACAAAAGGTTATTTGGTCGACTATGCTTTGCAACTCATCCAAGCTGCTTCTTCAGTTCTGGTCAGACGCTGGTGGACACAGCTTTATATCTGTCTGAAGGGAGGAGCTAACTGCACTGAAACTACTCTGAAACTAACACCCTACTTGTTTACAGTTTCTGTTAGTTAGCTAGGCCTATTGAGCTGCACTGAGTGTGGGGTCATACTAGCATAATCTTTTGAACTAGTAGTAAAAATATTCAGCTTAATTTAGAAAGTAAAAATTAAAAGTTATTTTTTATTCATGATCAAACTATTCTTGCGGTGTGACCCAGTTAAAATCATTTAACATAGCACATTTATATAGCCAAAAAATGAATGCACATTTAACAAATGTTGCCTTCTTGTCATGTCTTCAGCTATTTTTCTCCTTGTACAAACACTCTGGTTCTTAAGCATTTTTTAACCCACTGCACTGGAGGGCATTCCCTTACATAACAATTGCATCAGTCTGAAATGCTATATCTATTACTGCTGAGGATAGCCAGGATGTTGCGTGTCAATATAAGCACTTTAAATCCAGCATAAGCCCCACAAATGTAACTGTATGTTTCTCTGTGTGTACGTTTAGGCTTTATTAGCAAACACGCACACAATTGTTTTGTTTACTATTTCTTCCATAAACCATAAACATGATGGAGACAGGCTGTGTGTATGTTTAGACAAGCTTCAGTTAAGGTTCAGATTGAGAAGGGATACAGCTGTGATTTCATAATGATTAGTCTTAGTTTGTGAATATGCGTGGTTGACCCCAGACTATACCTGATTTTGATTACATGTGTTATTTTGCAATGTGGTTGGATTTTTTGTTTTGTTTTTTGTTAAGCAGATAGCAGCACAGGTATGTCCAACAACTTGGACAATTTGACAGTTTTATCAGACTTTTTATGCTTGGTGGGTCCTGAGGCAGCTCAGTAGATTAGTTTGGAAGTCTGTGTACAAATACATGATAAAATTTACCGTAAGTACCAAAACCAACTATGCACACTGTGGTTTGTATTATACTTACAGTTTATAGTATCACATGTGTTGATACAAGATATTAAATCCAAAACTAAAGCATCCATGAGAAAATGGAAGAGATGAACAACATCAATTAGTTGTCTAACATTCTTCCTGTTGTTTTGGGTTAAGTCCAGCTGTTTAGAAAAAAATAAAACCAGGCAACTCCCGGAGTAATTTGTTTTCACATTTTTGTATTTCACAGTGGAGCCATTTGCACTTTTGGGACTGTATCGTAAATATGTTTGAATCTGTCTGTAACAATGTTGTTTTTGGATATTAACATCTATTTACCCCACATTGACATCTGGTTCTCTGCTGCCTCAATTAGGAATTACAGAGAAGAAAGAAGTCAGTTTCTACATGTGGAATTACATAAATAACAAAATTGTTAGGTTGCAATAAAATGAGAATTTATTGGATTTAATAGTTAATTTTTCTGCTAAGCCAATGGGGTCTTCTTGCAACTGTAAAAAATAAGATAGCCTTCACATTTTATTATGTTTAAATTCAGTGCTAATTAAACAATCCTTCTGTGTTGCTTTATATGCAGTTATAAGCAAAATGAATAGGAAAATCTCAAAATGTGCTATATGTACTGTCATTATGTTAAACCTTTTTTACAAAGTTGCTTAAACAGTCTAACCTTCCAAAGGCAGAGAAAAAACTGCTCTTGAGTTCTTACATTGGATTATCTGAGCAGCACAGGTCTGGGGTAATGTGATAGATTTTAATTAAACTTTGAACAATGTTATCTTTGTGGCCCCTCTTACTCGATGAAGGGGACTATTGAATTTAAGGATATATTTAACTAAATGGCCTTACTCTGAGCGGAGTCACTACTAGAAGCATTTAAATCAGATTTTAAAGCATCAGAAGGACATGTTTCTTAGACAGCAAAACAACTTCATATGAGTCCAAATTAAACTTTAAAGGTACACTGTAACTTTTCTGATAGAGGGTACTCCACTTGTTTGTCTCAGAGGAGATGTTGTTGCTTTGCCTTGAATGTTCCACAGTAGGACATTCAACTTATTCATCTTTCATTTATTCAGTTACAGGTGTATTTTTTGCTTGAAAATACCTGGTAAAACATGGCTTTTTAACATGGCTGTAACTTGGCCTGGAGTTGTCGCATTCTCCATGGAGACTGATAAGTGCAATACTGTCGTCTACATAGTGTGTACCCTTTGAACAGAATGGTTATGTAGGCTAGGTTATGTAATTTGCCATTTATTTTTTTTAATAAATATTAACATATTTTAATATCTTTTACAGATCGTGAAGACCAGTCCATCCTTTGCACGTAAGTAACAGGGATTTCCTGTCATTTTTTCATACTATAATCAAGCCTTTCAAGTCTTAATGTGCAAGTTATGTAACATTTTCCAAAACACTAGCCAGTTCATAAGACTAATATAAGATGTAAGAAGATCAGATGTATAATTGATAAGAACAACACTTCGATCAGATGGTAAAAAAGTTTTACATTGACCTTACTGTATTTTAGCATTAATCAAAAGATAACTTGGCCATGATCCCAGTGGACTAAGGCCTTGGTTCCTCTCAGACCCGGGTCAGGAAGTTGGCTCTGCATCCTGATGTGAGAAGCAGATAAGCTTCCTAAATGTTTGCACTCCATGTTGTTTGTTTATTTACTTTGAACGGATTATTCAGAACTATGATTCAGACATCAAGTATCTAGGGACAGATGTCTCCATGTTGACTCTCTATTGAGGGACAGTGGGAGTGAGGATTGAATGCTTGCACACTAACGACTCAAACCTTGCTCAAAGCATATGCATGTTAGCTCTGTGGACAAGACAGCTAACGCAATATTGGACACTCCATTCATAACCTGAATAAAGTCATGCACGAAAGACAAAGCACTGACTCACAATTTACATATTAAGATTTAGTTTAAGATTTATAGCTACCAGTGCAAATATTAATTACCATGCAATAATAATGTTGTGTGTGTGATATCATTCTAACTGTAACTTACAAAAGAAGGAAGGAAGTAGCATTAGGAAATGTGTAGTGGTCCTTGATATGCCAATGTTTCGGAAAGATTAACTGTGCTCCTTCTAGGACTAGGCCAAACGTTTTGTTCATTTTAAGCCCATGCATTCAATGTTAGTTTTTCCTCAATGGAAAAAGTTCACATTGGTCAGATTCTGCAGCAGCAGTAGTTTGATAAATGATAGGAGTAATTTTAGTCATGAAAAAGTTATTGTTTAATTTTGGGTGAGAGTTAAAATTTGGTCTGCGCTTCAGCTGGAGCCTTATAAGGCAGAAACGTTTGAGCAGAACATGGAATGTCATGTATGAGCTACTGTGTGTAGGGAGAGGGGCTGTCGCCATCTGCTCAAAGATGTTTGTCTTTACACCATTTTAGGACTAATGTGGTAAATTGACATGGGAACTGACCTATATTCTCAAGTAAAAGGTTTTACAGGGTCCTGGATGCACTTGAGCACTACAATAGCTTTAGTCAGTTGACAAGGTGTTTTGTTGGGTAAATGCAACTTGTTATACCCGTGAACAAATATTAATAAAACATGCTTACATACTACTGCTGCTGAAGTCTTACTTACAGTCAGAGCCTGAATGTGTGGTCTGCTTACAGTAGCAGTCTAAATGTCATCTATTGTCTTTAGAGCAGGACATTAGTTTGAGCCTAAAGTGCTCAAAAGAGGGACCATCCCATGCCTTTTATGGCCTGTGTCTGAACTGTACAGGATGGATCTATTCGATTAGATTTGTTTTGTCTGGTCAACATTGGAACTGTTGCCTGGATGGAAAAATATCATTAATGATGTAATGGCACTGGATACTATATCAGTGTAACAGAGTAGGAATGAGGAGGAGTTCTTTAGCCCCATTATGGCAATCCTGAAAAAGGTCACTAAGGGTGTATGAAAATATAGGACAGCTATATTGAATAATACTATAGCTGTAAAAAAAAAAAAAAAAAAAGTTTGTGTTGAAAAAATATTGCATATATTGTATAAAAGTATTCAAAAATAATACAAGATATACAAATTCTTTTCATCATCTATAAGGCTTGCCAAGCCTGATAGATAATATACCTAATATAATTTTATCCCTGATGTGGTGTTGGAAGAAAAAGTTTCATAGGCAGTCTGGCCACTAAAAAGCTCATGCCCCTTTTACAATTACCCATTTACTTTCTCAGTGGAGAGTCTGGTGCTGGTAAAACTGAAAACACCAAGAAAGTGATCCAGTATCTGGCTGTAGTGGCGTCTTCACACAAAGGCAAGAAGGACAGCAGCACGGTAAGTTTCTGAAACACATTATCAAACACTTTCCTCGCTCTTACGAAGGAGGTGATCAATATATGCAGCAGAAAAGTGCCCTAAAGTTTAACACTGTATATCGCCATTTCCTCCAAATAGCAACAATCAGGATCACAGTTTGCCTACGTGAGTAAAGGCCTGGCGTGTGTGTTGTGTGGTGCTTACGTGTGTCTCTCTCTAGGTTCAAAAAGTGCATGAAGACAGTAGTTTTTACACATATACGGTTAACTGGAGCTCCATAGAAAATAGTCATCTTGATATCTGACACCACTGTAGTTTTGATTTCGACTGCATGCTTGTTATTAAACACATTACAGAGTGAGAGAGGGCCTCAGTTAGGTCTGGCCTAGTCCTGAACTTTGGTTTTCCTGACACACTTCCACTGCCAGTTGAGGCGGGACGGGGCAGCGGGAGCAGGAGGGGGCCTCTTTGACAGTGAAAGTGTTCTTCACAGATCAATGCACAGTGTGAGCATGAAACAACTCCTTTCTGAAAAATCAAACATCACTGACCTCATCTGTTCCTCTTTACTTAACTTAATATCTATATAGACTATATTTGAACCTCTCATGTTAAATGGATGTTACTATGCTGTAAAGTGGACAACTAAATATATTTTTCTTAGTACAGGAATGAGTCATTCTCAAAACATTCCTCTCTTAGTTTTAAGCTGATGTTATTTCTGGTCATTTCACAGACATCCATTTTAAGTATGAAATTGAAGAATTCTGAGCATGATGTTATCATTTTAGATGGAGGGCAGGGACCTATGTATCTCTATGGGTAATTCTAACTTTTTATCAATCTTTATCTTAATTTTGTTGTTAGGAATTGGGTCCACACATATGCCTTAGGTTGTGGCTTAAAATTCTTTCAAATAATAACAGTTGTATGATTATGAATAATAGCATATTAAAAACAAATTTTTGTTTGTTTTGTGTGGGTAGGCCTAGTAATTATTGAGATATTAACCTTAAATCAAGCCCAAACAGTTAAAAGCCAAATTCTAACAAGAATTTCTGACCCACAGCTCAGTTTTAAACTATGAGCAGATGTTGTGGTGTGATGTAAACCCAGCCTATTGCCTCCAAATTTAATTGCTAAAATAGTAATTTTTCAAATTATTGTGCTCACAGAGGTGCTAAAATATTATCATATCACATACCTCATTGGGTATGACTATGTCACATGTATGGATACTTGTGTAATGTAAGTGCAGTTTCAAAATAGTGACATGTCTTAAGTAATAACTCAACTTTTTTCTCTTTTCACATTGTCCATGTATTCTAGTCATAATTTCCTTTTTCAACCAAGACAACTCTTCACTCTGCTTTGCCAACTCTGATCTGCCGTCATCTGCTGGTCTGTACCTGTCTGTCTATCTATCTCTCTCTTCTTGAAAGAAAACATAATGGAAGATAAACCATATTGTTATCCATGTTGCTTTAGCTTTATCACACGTAGCCTTCGTTGAACTGCTGAGTCTAGAGTATTTGAGACAGAGGAGATTTGAGATGTTCTGGTGTCCTGTACCTGACCCTGACTGCTTTGATCCAATGGATTAGCTCAACTCAAAGTGAAGGAGTAGTGTACCAATGTAATTACAGTATGCTTAACCTGGTTTTGATGGTGATAATATAATACAGTCAGAAGTCTTATAGTTTAAGTTAAATGAAAAAACAAATATGATGGGTCTATACCTCATGCAACTTTAATCTTGCTAAGGTTTCTGCCAAGTTCTTCTTATTTAACACAAACATCTGAATATTTCCATGATGATCATGCTTGCTCACTGTTGCCACTAGGGGGAGCTGGAGAAACAGCTTCTGCAGGCTAATCCTATTCTTGAAGCCTTTGGAAATGCGAAGACCATCAAAAACGACAACTCTTCAAGATTTGTAAGTTTTGTGTTGTAATACTGAACACAAAAAATGTGATTAGTAAATATTAGCAATATAATATATACACATGCTTTTGATTTTTTGTTGGCAGGGTAAATTCATTCGTATTAATTTTGATGTGACTGGCTACATTGTTGGAGCTAATATAGAGACCTGTATCCTTTGTGAATTTTTATGTGACCATAATCTGAAAATTTACCTTTTGTTGAGTAACATTTTTGTTTTATGTTAGCTGGACAAATTAGAATTTTTCTTTTAGCATTTTCTTTAACTCCTTGAATGTCTGCAGACCTGCTGGAAAAGTCTCGCTGTATCAGACAGGCAAAAACTGAGAGAGCTTTCCATATCTTTTACTACATGATCGCTGGTGTTAAGGATAAACACAGGGGTAAGACTGTCATCACTCGCTGAGATGGAGCCAGTATTCACTGTGCTGAGTATATGTAATTTGTATCATAGATGTCAAAAAGGGAAAACCTTTTTAGATTTCATCATACTCATCATATCATATTTAATAATTTTCTTTTGTGACGTTGCATTATCAGAGGAGCTTCTCCTGGAACCGTTTAGCAACTACCGGTTCCTTAGTGCGGGACACGTGCAGATCCCTGGACAGCAGGACGACGAGATGTACGAAGAGACAATGGAGGCCATGGACATCATGGGCTTCACGGACGAGGAGAGACTTGGTAACACGCACTACACACAAGTTTAAATTTTATTTAGAAATGAACCCTTTTGTGACCATAAGGTCAGTTTTACTGGAGTTCCAATTGTTGAAATAACATAATTTCTGCAGCAAACAACAAAATATATCAGTGTTCTTTCAAATGTTAATGCTCTTTATGTGTGTTATGCCCTTAAGGTGTACTCTGAGCATAATCCATAATCCTACTGTTAAAACATTTTAAAAATCACATATAGATATTTCTCCATAACTGCTCAGACCCATTATTTATCTTTTATTTCATATATCTTTAGCCTTTGGATTTGTTTTTTCCAGACATCCTGAAGGTGTGCTCCACAGTCATGCAGCTGGGAAACATTAAATTCAATAAAGAGAGGAACCAGGAGCAGGCCACAATGCCAGACAACACAGGTAAAATACAGATAGATACTATTAAATCATCATAAATTATACTGATTGAAAGCTTATGACAAGTTTAACTTTACTTTGTCTCCATAGCGGCCCAAAAAGTGTGTCACTTACAGGGAATTAATGTGACCGACTTCACTCGAGCAATTCTCACTCCTCGCATCAAAGTGGGACGAGAGGTGGTGCAGAAGGCCCAGACCAAAGAGCAGGTAACACCACTGCCCCTCACAGTGAACTAATATACAAGCTTTAAAATGTATAAATATTAATTAAAAAAAAAAAAAATACATGATCCTGGGCCTTTACTGAAAACTACTTGAACAATATTACTGCTATAGAATCAATTTAAGTAGCCCCAGAGTTGTAAGAGGGGGCTGGGATTTTGTTATTTGTACAATACACCTCCCCTCAGTATTGCAATAAATACCATTCTATGAGCTTAATTAAGTAATAATCCCATAAAGAATGAGTTTCATAATGTACAACTCTATCTGATTGTAGACATTCCCTTTTACTCACTGTTTCTGTGCTGTCTTCTCTTCCAGGCTGACTTTGCTATTGAGGCCTTGGCTAAAGCAATCTATGAGCGTCTTTTCCGCTGGATCCTGTCCAGAGTCAACAAGGCCCTGGATAAAACCAAACGTCAGGGAGCCTCCTTCCTGGGCATCCTGGATATTGCAGGATTTGAGATCTTTGAGGTACTGATGCATAAATAGTACATGATTCTTTCCCTTTTCCTTTTTAAATGTTGGAATAAAGTGCTAATCTACAAAGAGTTCAAAAAGGTGACATAACTTATATGTCATATTCTTATTTTCATTTAGTAGTTTATTTGTTTTTGTTTAGATTCTTTACGTAAGAAGTTGGGCTTTTGTACATCTATTTATTGGCACTCAACTATGTTTTTAGTTTATACAGTTATTATTCAGATTATCTATTCTTGCATGAATATTGCCTAAGATTTTTTCCCTGCTTGTAATTGTTGCATTTTTTGTTTCAGGACAACTCATTTGAGCAGCTCTGCATCAACTACACCAATGAGAAGCTGCAGCAGCTTTTCAATCACACCATGTTCATCCTGGAGCAGGAGGAGTACCAGCGAGAGGGTATCGAGTGGAACTTCATCGACTTTGGCCTGGACCTGCAGCCCTGCATTGAGCTCATCGAGAGACCAGTGAGGAAATAAGCTTCTGTGGGGGAGCCAATGTTGACAATACGTTTTTTTTAGAAGTTTTAATGCCATACTCTGGAACAATTCAGGCAGTCAATCCATGTATACAAATGATGAACAAAATCTGTGTTATTTTTTTCATAAACAATTACAGCATTATGTTGTTGACAATGGTCTATGCATAGCACAAATGTGGTAGAAAAGTGATATAAACTATTGTTTTGATTTTGTGTAGAACAACCCTCCTGGCATCTTGGCCCTGTTGGATGAGGAGTGCTGGTTCCCCAAAGCTACGGATGTGTCCTTTGTGGAGAAGCTCATAAAAACACAAGAAAACCATGTCAAATTTTCCAAAACCAAACAGCTCAAGGACAAGACAGAGTTTTCACTGTTCCATTATGCTGGCAGAGTAATTATTATTGTACCCAAACAAAAGCTACATATAATATTTACTTTTTATACTCAGTTTATACTTTACTTTATGTTTGAAGGTGGACTATAACGCTACTGCCTGGCTGACTAAAAACATGGACCCTTTGAATGACAATGTGACAGCTCTTCTCAGCAACTCCTCCAGCCAATTTGTTCAGGAACTATGGAAAGACAGTAGGACTTTCAATCAGCACTTAAATATGCACATCCATAGCTCCAGTTATTAATAAGTTGATACAAGTGTTGGTTTAATAACTCACTGCATTGTGAATTTCAGCCGACAGAGTGGTTGGTCTGGACACGATTGCCAAGATGACTGACAGCTCAATGCCCAGCGCCTCAAAGACAAAAAAGGGCATGTTTCGAACTGTTGGGCAGCTCTACAAAGAGTCTCTGGCTAAACTCATGACCACTCTGCATAACACACAACCAAACTTTGTCCGATGCATCATCCCCAACCACGAGAAGAGGGTAAAACAAGAAAACTCTAAACAAACCACTGACATGTGAGAAAGGAATTTTTTTTTTTATGTCTAAATGGTTGTGTTTGGTTCAGGCAGGGAAGTTGGATGCCCACCTCGTCTTGGAGCAGCTCAGATGCAATGGTGTTTTGGAGGGGATCAGAATTTGCCGACAAGGATTTCCAAACCGAATTGTGTTCCAGGAATTCCGTCAGAGGTTAGTTAATCTGTATGGACTTTTGAAGTTTGTCTTTGTTTTTATAATAAGATAATACTTGCTCAACTTTTAGATATGAGATCCTAGCTGCAAATGCCATTCCCAAGGGATTTATGGATGGGAAACAAGCTTGCTGCCTAATGGTAAATTATAATGATATTATATAAATATATCGTATATTTATTATAAAATAAATACTTATAATAGCTATACTTTAATTAGCCATAAACACAATTAACAAATATTTTTCACAATTAACATTATTATTATTATTTTTTTTACAATGAACCATTCTCAGTAAACTGTTTTGAATTAAGTCTTTCCATGCTTTATTAGAGCTAATTAAGGTGTAGTTCTTATATAGTGGTACCAATAAATACATATGTTTCATTTACTATTGTTTGTATTGTCTGTGTGTAGATCAAGCATCTGGACTTGGACCCAAACCTGTACCGAATCGGACAGAGCAAGATCTTTTTCAGGACTGGAGTGTTGGCACAGCTGGAGGAGGAGAGGGACTTGAAGATCACTGTCATCATCATTGCATTCCAAGCTCAGGCCAGAGGCTTCCTAGCCAGAAAGTAAGACACACATTATCTTATATATTTTATTGATCACGATCCTACAGTGTCTTAGAAAAGGTGCTGTATTCGTAGTTTGTGGAGTTTATGTTTATGGATTTTATCTGTTAAATGTTGAATGTGCTGTGCTGAGCAAGGGTTATGAGACCAAGACAAATTTCTTACTTGTGGGTCAAGTTAATTTTGAAGATGTCAGGAGAGCTAGAGGAAGATCAATATGTTAATGTAAATAAACAATATTTGCATTTTACTTGAATCCTTTTTATGTGTATTGTGAAGGGCTTTTGCAAAGAGACAGCAGCAGCTCACAGCCATGAAAGTGATTCAGAGGAACTGCGCCGCCTACCTCAAACTCAGGAACTGGCAATGGTGGAGGCTGTTCACAAAGGTCTGACCAACAATTATTATCTGAATTCAATACTTTATAATACAGATTCCAAGTTCATTCATTGGTATTTCAGTTATTAATATTTTTGTGCTTATATTTGACCTACAGGTTAAGCCTCTGCTGCAAGTGACCAGGCAGGAGGAAGAGATGAGCCTGAAAGAAGAGGAGCTGCAGAAAGCCAAAGAAGTTGCAACAAAATTTGAATCTGAGCTTAAAGAAATATCACTGAAACACACAGCGGTAAGAAACAGAAAATGTAAATACTGTTTTTGTTCACTGACTATTAAGGGTTCTAAAATATTTAATTTTTTTTAGGACAGAATATCAGTGATTTTTTTAATGTACCTAAATATTTGGCAGCACTTTACACTTTAATTAGACTTATAATGACCAAATAGTTTATAAAGAATGGTTCAAGCTTAATAACTAATTAAGGGGTAATTAAGGAGTTATGTTTAAAGTATTAATTAAACAGTTAAGCCTGAATCATTCTTAATAAACATTTTTTTCATTATGAGTTAAGTCTTTCTTCATACTTTATTACAGCTAATTAAGGTATAGTTATTATTGCATGTTACCAAATATTTTGTTGCTTAATTTCTGCTAAATGATATGATTTTAGGTCCTGGAGGAGAGGAATGCCTTACAGGAGCAATTGCAGGCAGAGACAGAGCTGTACGCCGAGGCAGAGGAGATGAGGGTCCGTTTGGCTGCAAAGAAACAGGAACTAGAGGAGATCTTACATGAGATGGAGGCACGTCTCGATGAAGAGGAGGAGCGGGCCCAATCACTGCTTGTGGAGAAGAAGAAGATGCAGCAACAGATGCAGGTCAATATGATAAAAATGTAATGATGAGAACCAATAAATATATAATAATTCAACGCTGCACAATATTTTGCAGCTAATAGAAATGCATTTTTACATTTGAATAGAATTTATTTACAGACCAAAATTCTAAAATAAATTAAAAAATGCTGTCAGTCTGGTCAGTTGTGTGAAGTATCCCTTAGTCGTCCAGGTAGAATCCATGGCAAGGAGAAAAATCAGGTTGTCAACTGGACAAAAGTTTGTTTGGTCGAATATGTTCCACAGTTCATCGAAGCTGCTTCTTTAGTTCTGAAGAAGCAGCTTGGATGCAGCTCATCCAAACTTTTGTCCAGTCGACAAACTGATTTTTTTCTCCTCCCCAAGTCTGGTCAATTCTTAGTAAATCTGTAGAGAAGCAGAGTTTAAAATATTGAAAAAAAAAGGTAGTATTGAATTATTTATGAGCCCTGTAGCCAGCACAATTATGACATTGTCAAACTATATAATACTTGTACTTTCTTGATTCATTTTAAACAATTGAAAAAAAAATCTTATCTTAGCTCTACCGCTTTACCCATTTTCCCAAAATTGGTGCTATGATAAAGAAACAAGAACTGTCAGTGGCCATAATGTTATGAGTGATAAATGTACACTAAGACTTATTTGTAGGAATTAGAGGAGCATTTAGAAGAGGAAGAAGATGCACGACAAAAGCTACAATTGGAAAAGGTGACCTGTGAGGGAAAGATAAAAAAACTCGAGGACGACATCTTAGTAATGGAGGATCAGAACAACAAACTACTGAAGGTAAGTGCTAATGTAATGCTGTAAACTGAATCTGAGACTTCAAAAATCTCACTGTTGGATATTGATATTTTAGGAGAGAAAATTAATGGAAGAAAGAATTGCAGATTTCAGCGCTAACTTGGCAGAGGAGGAAGAAAAATCAAAGAACCTCACGAAACTCAAAAACAAACATGAGTCTATGATCTCTGAACTGGAAGGTAAAGTTGTTGCTACGTTAAAAGATAAAGCCAACAAACAGAAATAGTTAATAGTAGAATAAGAAGATAGTAGATCACTAGATTTGTATTGCTGTTGCATGTTTTCAGTTCGCTTGAAGAAGGAGGAGAAGAGTCGTCAGGAGTTGGACAAGGCCAAGAGGAAGTTAGAGGCAGAGTCTAATGACATGCAGGAACAGATAGCAGACCTACAGGCTCAAATCGCAGACCTCAAAGCACAACTCGCCAAAAAGGAGGAGGAGCTACAAAATGCCTTGGCCCGGTATAGACCACATGCTGTGTGATAATGTTATAAATTACAGATATGCCACTTAGATTTGTAGTATCTGTGATGGTGATATATCTTGATATATATGCCCTGCATGCTACTACCAGGGTCTGTAGAGTCTGCTGTATCTTACATTTTTATTCAACTTATTGTACGCCAGAGTCTGAATATAGAATCATCATATTGAACACTTTTTTCTGAGTTCAAAAGACTAAAGCATTATTTTTATTTGCACTTTACAGTTTTTCAGGTATGATTCTGATTTGGTCATTAGACATATTTTTTATTTTAATGTATTTTTTATGCACTGATCTTAAACCAGGCTAGAAGATGAGACAGCCCAGAAGAACAATGCACTGAAGAAGATCCGTGAGTTAGAGGGACACATCTCAGATCTTCAGGAGGATCTGGACTCAGAGAGAGCCGCAAGGAACAAGGCTGAGAAGATCAAGAGAGACCTGGGGGAGGAGCTAGAGGCGCTGAAGTCTGAGCTGGAAGACACACTGGACACCACCGCTACACAGCAGGAGCTCAGGTCAGTACAAACCAACATGAGGGAAAAATAAATGAGCTGTTTATTCAGTAATTTATTAAGCTGCATGGGATAATGCACTGTACTGTAATGTGGTGTATGTATGATGAACAGCAATCTCTAAACCTCAAACTCATAACAACAACACTTCAATTAAACAGTTTTAAATAATGAATATTTCAAAGCTTTGTTTTAAATATTTTGCTGTAAACTTAAAGTAATAAATGATCTTCTTTATTTTATTTTGGAAATCTGTAGTTAATTTTTGACTAACTTACTTGCTGTTTCTTTGAAAATTTACAATTTACATTGTACAGGTTGAATTATGTTAAAATTTTTAGGTTTGATCTTTTGAAACAAATATTCCAAAAAGTTGTAACATTTAAATGTGTATACTATATTTTCACATTTTGGTATCGTATCCACTAACTTACTTTATGTTCAATATTTGTGGCCAGAGCTAAGCGTGAGCAAGAGGTTACTCTGTTGAAGAGAGCCATAGAGGAGGAGAATCGGACCCATGAGGCCCAGGTCCAGGAGATGAGACAGAAGCACACACAGGCTGTGGAGGAGCTGACGGACCAGCTGGAGCAGGCCAAACGAGTGAGGACTATCAGGAAACATCACTGTGTTTATAGTTAAGAATACCAGCAGGCATGATAATGTAACATATTTAAAGACTAGAGGCAGGGCTTTATTTTAGCACATATGGTGAATTGTGACTATTTACATTTGGCTTTTAGTGGCAGTACAGGAGGAACATCAATGCTATAGCCATATAAAACAACACTAAATGAGGAAACAAAGCAAGCATTTTTACACAATGTCTACTCAATTCAATTCACATCACACAACCTAACCTCATCTACCCAGCTACAAGACAATGGTAAAAGCCTTGAAAAGTGTCTAAATACATTACTATGAAAGAAACATATATATAAACTAAACTGAAGGAGCTTTATAAATATGTGATGCAAATATAATGTTATGTCCCTTTTTTTAGGTCAAGTCAAACCTGGAGAAGGCTAAGCAGGCTTTGGAAAAGGAGACTTCGGAATTGACGATGGAGGTGCGCTCGTTGTCCCAGGCCAAACAGGACGGAGAGAACAAAAGGAAGAAGCTTGAAAACCAAGTGGCAGATTTGCAGTCACGTTTCAGCGACAGCGAGAAACAGAAAGCAGAGCTGTCAGACAGATGTGCAAAAACAACAGTAAATAAAAACGTATCTTGTAATTAACATGCAATTATGTGATATATGAGTGGTATTATTTTGCTTTGTTATGATTTAGGCTGAACTGGAGAGTGTGACCAACCTATTGAATGAAGCTGAAGGCAAGAACATCAAACTGAGCAAAGATGTCACCAGTCTCTCCTCTCAACTCCAAGACACACAGGTACCGGCCGTTCCTTGAAAGAGTCCTGTTTTATTTCAATTTGTTCATTTACGCTGCATTTATCTGCATTTCACCCCTATACCATATCCCAAACCATATCTTTCTCTACATCCACAGCTCAAAATCTCTGTTCATGTTCATACCCTAAACTTTGTAACAATAACATCTACCATACTGCCAACACTACTACTTTTCTGCCTCATATTTTTTTCATATCTCTGTCTCTGTATCCTTGGGGTAGTTAGTATTGATTTGTATTGGTTCGTGTTGTATTACTGTTGTAGGAGCTTCTAGCTGAAGAGACACGACAGAAACTTCAGTTGTCAACAAAGTTACGGCAATCAGAGGATGACAAGAACAGTTTACAGGAGCAGCTTGAAGAGGAGATGGAGGCAAAGAGGAATGTGGAGAGACACGTGTCCACACTCAACATCCAGGTAAGTCATTTGCATGAAATAGTAATGTACATATGTGTTGGTTATTTTTCTGATACAGAAAATTTAACTTTATAATAATGTATAATATCATAACAAAAGTCAAATTTTATTGAATAAAATAAGATGCAAGATTAGTCACAAATGTTTGAATCTCAAAAATATAACAAATAAGCTTATGATGGGGAAAAACATTATAACATAGTTAAGCCATGAATTACAAATGTTTCCTTAATAAAAGTACAGAATATTTTGGCATTCTTAACAGCTTTTAACTAAAGATTTTTACATTTTAAAATAAAATAAAATCAATGCAATGTCAGCCCTCACTTGTGTCTGTTAAATGATATTGCATGAAAACATTCTAATTCGATAAATGTTGTTTGTCCAGTTGTCAGATTCAAAGAAGAAGCTTGAGGAAATGTCTAGCAACATTGAACTCCTGGAGGAGGGAAAGAAACGCCTGCAGAGAGACTTGGAGTCAGCCAACACTCAGTTTGAAGAGAAGGCCTCAGCGTACGACAAACTGGAGAAGACCAAAAATAGACTGCAGCAGGAGCTGGAGGACACCCTTATGGACCTGGACAACCAGAGACAGATTGTGTCTAACCTTGAGAAGAAGCAGAAGAAATTTGATCAGGTGAGATGACATTATCAGGTTTATTTATTCTTAGTAACATTCAAGTCAAAATTTCAGATAGATGGCACAGTTTTTAAACAAAATCTATAAATGTTGAAAGTCCGTTCCAGATAGGGTTGGGCCTACAAACTCTTTTTCGAGTCGTGAGCTCTAGAATAATGTCGATATGTGTATACATGAATTTCACCAAATAACTTTCACTTTCAGATGCTTGCTGAAGAAAAGAGCATCTCCAGTAAATTTGCAGAGGAGAGAGACCGTGCAGAAGCAGAAGCCAGGGAGAAGGAGACCAAAGCCCTGTCTCTGGCCCGGGCTCTGGAGGAGGCCCAGGACTCTCGTGAGGAGCTGGAGAGAGTTAACAAAGCTCTGAGGATTGAGATGGAGGATCTGATCAGCTCAAAGGATGACGTCGGCAAGAACGTAAGAGCTTAATTTAAAATGTATTCTTCTTAAGCACTTAGGCACTTTGTTATATGCTTTTTAAAAAGCTTTGGAATGAAGAAAGCACAAATCTTAGTTGCTGTGGCCTTCTTGATACATTTATTTTGACATTCACTAGCTAGGACCAACAACGACATAGTGCGAAGAAGTTTATTGATAATGTAGGAAGCGAGGCAGAGAGGGCTGGGTTGAGACTATGGGTGGGGGCTCCATCTCAATCTACAATTGGCCCAGCCGGAACGGGACCCCCGTGTAGGGGTCTTATGACTCAAAGACAAAATAGGGGATGGGAGGGTGGGGTCGAGTTAGCCGAGACAAACTGGGATGATGGGAAAGGCTGCTACATATAGGCTTCTGGGAAATTAGAGGCGTGGTCAAGGTGAGTTGTGGTTCGCTGGTGAGAGGAGAGGGTGGCTGAGGCGTGGTCCTGCTCCTGAATCTCATTTAATCGTATTAACTACATGTATTGGTATACCCATTAATATTGTCATTACTTTGCCTTTACATTCCTTTATAATTTTGTGTGCTTTTGTTTCAACCTTTTGTAAATCCTCTGTTTCGTTCTTTTAATGATTTTGTTGCACATTTTCCAATCATGGGGACTTTATTTTGTATAAAGAGGTGCTTTAATATCTGAATATTTCTGCCAAGACATAACTCAGTCTAAAAAAGAAAGGCCCAATGACCGTAACTATACCTCAAGATCTGTAAGGCCATCTCCTCCTGATAGGTTGCCTTAGGTCAATATTTTTTAGGCCAGGGACCCACAAATTGATGCCACGCTGGTGCAGGGACCCCCTACTATATATGGCATACAATTGTGTTTTATATTAAATTGGGCCTAATGTCATGTATACACATAGGCTACGTTCAGACTGCAGGGCTTAATGCTCAATTCCGATTTTTTTGTGAAATCCGATGTTTTTGCGAGGTCGTTCACATTTCCAATTAAATGCGACTTGTCTGTGACTTCAGTGTGAACGGTAAACGGCCCGAAAGTGTCCCGCATGCGCACTGGAGGACATGATGATGTCAACCGCATGCGTCAACCGCAGCGAGCGTGCTCTGCGTTTACGGAAGTTGTCCAAATATGGTCGCGAGCATTGAGCACCTGGCGATTTTACAGTTCCGGTTTCCGCCTGCTTCAGTGACGTTTGTCGCTTGTTAATGACGTGTAGGTCGGATGGATGCGCTTTGGCCGTTCAGACTGAAGTCGCATGTCAAAAGATCGGATATGTATCGGATTCAGGACCACATATCCAAGTGGCCTGGGTCGCATTTGAAAAATTCGGATCTGTGCCGTTCAGACTGTCATTAAAAGATCGGATACAGGTCACATAGAAGCCAAAAAATCGGATTTGGGTCACTTCAGGCTGCAGTCTGAACGCAGCCATAGTTACTCTATTATTGTATATTCAGTACTAGGGGGGTATTGTTGCGATCCTCCTGTTGAAGACCTCTGCCCTGGGCCATTGATAGATTGGCCAAAAACAGAGGACAAATAACCTTTTATGGTCATAAAGTACTGCTATCCTAACCTTAATGTTTTTCTATTTCTTATTCTGACCCAGGTACATGAGCTGGAGAAGTCTAAGCGTGGTCTGGAGGCTCAGGTGGAGGAGATGAAGACTCAGCTGGAGGAGTTGGAGGATGAGCTGCAGGCGGCGGAGGACGCTAAGCTCAGGCTGGAGGTGAACATGCAAGCGCTCAAGGCCCAGTTTGAGAGGGACCTCCAGGGACGTGACGAGATGGGAGAGGAGAAGAAGAGACAACTGGTCAAACAGGTAACACCACACAAGTACAAACAATACTAAGAGACCATTGCAAAACCAAGTTAAGTGTGATATTTATTTATTTTTCATTTCACTACTACTATGCCATACAAATTTTTCTGATTGAGTGTAGAATTTTGGGGGTGATTGTGGCTCAAAGATTATAAACAGTTGCTGTTGTGAACCCTTCTTGGCCCAGTGCATACTGTCATTGTGTCCTTGAGCACACTTCACTCACTTCGTTTACATGGCTGTGTCTCTTATAGTATGTCCATTTACTAAAGGTGTATACATGTAAATGTCGACTGTAATTGACTGAGTACTGTTTTTTAATATATAAAACTGATTTTGCAGTCATTTGCAGTTTTTGTATATTTGTACAATAAACTGTAGCATTTTCAGCACAGGTCCATCAGTGTAACAGGCTGTGATGTATTTAATAACTGAAGGTACGTGAGCTGGAGACAGAGCTGGAGGATGAGCGTAAGCAGAGAGCGAGTGCAGCTGCCGCCAAAAAGAAGCTTGAGACTGACATGAAGGATCTAGAAGGCCAGATCGAGACCGCCAACAAGGGACGAGAAGAGGCCATCAAGCAGCTCCGCAAGCTCCAGGTGCGGGAGGGGGAGGGGTGTGTAAGCATGTGATTCAACAATTATATTTAAATGATGTGTACTGATTGTGCGGACTTTAGGCTCAGATGAAAGATTATCAGAGAGAGCTTGATGATGCCCGTGCCGCTCGGGAGGAGGTTCTGACCACAGCCAAAGAGAGTGAGAAAAAGGCCAAGAGTCTGGAGGCTGAGCTCATGCAACTGCAGGAGGTAAGTCCTCAAAAAAATAAGTATTATCTAAAATTGAAATTGAAAACACAATTATAACTTACTCATTATTACTGTATTATTTTATCTTAGGAACTGGCTGCAGCTGAGAGAGCTCGTAAACAAGCAGAGGCAGAAAGAGATGAGCTGTCTGATGAATTGGCAAGCAATTCCTCTGGAAAGTCAGTTGAACTACCGTCACGCTCTTTTGTGTAAAAAAAAAAAAGAGGTATGGTTTATTTTAGTTATGTGGTTTACTCTTACCAGGTCGGCCTTGACAGATGAGAAGCGGCGACTGGAGGCCAAAATTGCTCAGCTGGAGGAGGAGTTGGAGGAGGAGCAGGGCAACATGGAAATCCTCAATGACAGGCTGCGCAAGAGCGGACAACAGGTAAAATAGTAGATAAGTGTGATTGTAGTGACTGTAATAAAATACTACTGTGTTCCCAGGTGGATCAGCTGAACAATGAGCTGCAGATGGAGCGTACCACCTCACAGAAGAATGAGAGCGCTCGACAGCTGCTGGAGCGACAGAACAAGGAGTTGAAGGCTAAATTGCAGGAGATGGAGAACCAAGTCAAGTCCAAGTTCAAGTCCTCCATCACTACTCTGGAGGCTAAAGTGGCTCAGCTGGAAGAGCAGCTCGAGCAGGAGAACAGGTGAGGAGTCAGAGCAATACAGGTCTATCCTAAGTCTGAATACATTTCAGACATGCTCATTGCATTTTGACCCTGTATATCTGATTAGGGATAAGCAGGCCAATGCAAAGAGCATCCGTCAGAAGGACAAGAAGATGAAGGACCTGATGATGCAGGTGGAAGATGAGAGGAAGCAGGCAGAGCAGTATAAAGACCAGGTAATTAAAATTATCTTTTGTGCTTTTCACCTCATGGTACCTTAGACCAACCCTCTTGTTTTTGCTCCCATGATGAGGCTGAGAAGGCAAATGCGCGTATGAAGCAGCTGAAGCGTCAGCTTGAGGAGTCAGAAGAGGAGTCTCAGCGTGCTACGGCTGCTCGCAGGAAACTGCAGCGAGAGCTGGATGAGGCCACTGAGGCCAATGACGCCATGAGCCGCGAGGTCAATACACTCAAGACCAAACTCAGGTGAGAGGGTCATTGCGATACTTCTGTTACAGACCACATAATAAAGATAATCAAATAAGAATAGAGAAGTCAACATAAGAACAGTGCACACAACTACTAGGCCCAGAAAACAAAAAGGACAAAGTTACAATGATAATAAAATAAACTGTTATTGCCTAAATGTCCACATAGAAAACATTCATGTCCATGTCTATTACAGAGGCAACCCTGAACCCAAGGAGTAACAGCAGGTACCGCTGTAGTTCAGAGCTGCTCATCACTGTTTCCCATTTCTATCACAGTCTACCTGAGACAAAAATGGCTCAAACTCATTAAACGTTGCTCTAATTCACAGCTGGGGCCATCTTTTTCTCAGTGCTTGGTTTAACTGCCCTAAACCAAACTCATTGTCCTGAAACAGGACTCAAATGAGTTACAAAGATAACCAGCGTGCTTAACCCATAACCAAGACACATTTTCTACTGAATTCCTTCTTCTAGAATAAACCACGAGTGGTTTTCAGAAAACATAAACATGTCACTTGCTCTCTGCACTCACAGTCTATTATTTTTGTCTGTGTTTGTTTCTGTGTGTTTTTGTGTGTCTATGTGGTGTTGTAGGCGTGGAAACGAGCCCTCCTTTGGCAGCACTCCTCGTCGGATTGGAGGTGGGCGGAGGGTGATCGAGGATGCCTCAGAGGAGGAGGTTGACTCCCAGGGCGACTACAATGGAAAGTCCACAGAATAATGGATTTGATACCCATCACATAAGATTCAATGCCTGAAATATCATCTTGCCCCATTTACTAATTTTTATTTTTTTTTACCTTTTACAGTTGTTTATGGAGCACATTTTTTTAGCACAAACTAAAACACTTGATATCAGCTAAACAGCTGATATCAAGTACATCAATTATTTTAGTTTGTTTATAAGGTCCCGCAGAAGTGTGATTTATGGTTCAATGTTATTTTCACTGTTGTAGTTCACTGACTCATTGAATACTTTGTAATCATGCAAGGTTTTGTACACAAAAGGTGCCTCTAATTATCACGCTACTGTTAATAATGGAGCCTCAAATCTGCACAATAAGTCACCGTTTCCTTCAAAAAGACACATTATGTAAATCTGATGTATCTTTGATCGTCCTATTGCCTGTTACTGCTGTTACTGATCCAAAGCTGTACTGTAGTGGACCAACCTCCAGTCAGTGCTGCTGTCTGTAGCCAAGGACATATTTAGCCTCTTTAGTCACCTTTAGGTAATTTTTGCACCTTTGATGATGAGTAAAATATTTTAAGCCAAGACAAGGTTTGGGGATTCCTTAAAATGGGAAGCCAAGTCACTTAGGAGTCATTTAATGTTCACAATTTATATTGCTCATTATTGCCCCTTTTCTTAGACTTACTGTAGAGTTCTATATGCACCCCAAACCGGATATTTTATATAATCAAATGATGTTTACATGACACTTTATTAACTGTTGAAGCACCTGCACTGAAAATAAAGAGAAAGTATATCAGTTTGACAAAGTTTTTAATATTTGTCTTTATTTCACTATTTGAATTATTTCAACCTAAAGAAAATGCTAGTAGGTCTTAGGCACATAGTCAGATATAGAGCAGTTGCATAGGTGCTTTAAAAAGCACCCAGTACACAGTGGTCAGAGATTACAATTACAGTAAGCTCATTTTCATTTAAGAAAATTGTAACAGCAAGAAGCAGAAACTTGCAATCATTAAGTCCATCCAGGAAAGATATATAGCATTCATTTGAATGGCAGTAATAAAGCCACTCACATTTCACTGAAAAAAGTCACATTACATAGTCTACATTTTCATTTTCTCTCCCTAAAACAATAATCTACAAAGAAAACAAAAGGCTGTGCTTATCAGTGAAATCAATTATTGCTTGGTCAGTTGGACAAACATTGGTCACTACATATTCAGTACTGTACATGTGCATCTAAACAGAGTAAAATTAAAAATGAAAGACAATAACAGCAATATTACTTATATCTATGAAAATATTTGTTCTTCTATTAGGCAGAAGCACGAATAAAACCAAAACTTCAGATGACTGGAATGAGTTAAATTATGTGCATTTTGGTTAGATTTTAATGAGTAAAGTCAAGTTACAAGACTAAGTAATTTCTTTCATTCTCATATTGCTACCATCCTAAACCTGAGGCAGTGAGTGATGTATTTTAATAAATGGGAGGAGGAAAAACAAATTTTCACCTAACCTCTCGCTTTACACAAAATCCAAAGTTTTGTTTTCTGAAAGGCCACTAGCACATGACATGGTCATTAAAATTCAAAAAAACATTCCCATGTTTTGGTGGTTCAGTGCTAGAAATAAACTTTGGTTTCGATACAGACTAGGGTTTTGAGTTGAACTATGAAAAAAGCATTTCATCACATTGTTCCAACGTATTTCAAAATCCTAATCTCACAGCTATTTGGGGTCGCTACTGCTCCACATGGCAGGGCATTTAAATGGACCAAATTTTTGGACATGACTCACCATAAAGCCAAACAAATGAGCTGCAGTTCTGTTACTTTATGTGTGATATGAGCTTCAGGCAGTAGTAGTCCATGCACTGATTATGTGGAGCAGATCAATCCTATGGGACACATAGTGTCGAGAGAAATAAGTCAATCGAATCACTGCATATTTTTGTAGAGCAGATCAGAAGATCAAGAGGTCAGTTTCTTGCAGAGGCAGGTGTCTGTCTCATAGCAGGATCTTCACACCTCCCTGTGGTGACTGGGCACCTTGGGAGAGGCCTCGTGGAGGAACTGGTCCAAACTCTAACTGCTTCACTACACTAAAAAGAAAACCGCTATTAAGTTTTTAATCAAAACAAAAATCTTAAGAAGCTAATCACATGAAACACAGCACTTACCTGTCATACTGTGGTGGTGGGCTGCTTACTTGGCTTTCAGAACCTCCTAAACCGGCGGGACTGGCATGAGCGGCGAGGAGAGCTGGTCGGTTAATGGACGTGTCATACACAAAGTCTCGACAAGATGCCAACTTGGACTCCAGGTTCTGATGAAGTATGTAAAATAGATTGAACATATAGGGCCGTATTTTGCCCCCAGTCTCAGCTGTGGCGCAAGTGTGACGCGTGGAGTTCTAAACAAGAGGTGTGCCGTGCCTGAATATCAGGTGGAGTGGAGCAGACTGAGGGCGTGGTGTGGTGCGTTCAGTGAATTGCCAGAATCGTAAAAATAAATATCAAACGAGTTCACTGAAAAACAACATGGAACATGCTCAATACTTCTTTTATTTGGAAATATATTAGGATGATAAATACTTAACATTCATAACATTTGTGTGTGATGTGTGGGAGTCGTCCGGATGCCCTCCCGCAGCAGAGCACAGCCCCTCGCCCGCTCCCTGTATCGCTCAGCTCTGCTCTGTTTGGTCTGGATCTGTACAAAAGCTGCTCATTCACATGTGGCCGTTTACAGCGATGTCCTAAAGTGTGTTTTCATACTCTGTCTGTGTCCTAATGCTGCGATGTCAATTTCCTCATATTCTCGCGGGCAGACTCTGCGCGCGCATTCACTGACAGCTCAGGGCTGTGATAGCGGAGCAGACGCACGTATCATCCGAAACATTTATATGACAATAAACGTATTAAATAATGCACGAGACTTCCACCAGTGTGGGAATAAATGCAGTGGACCCGAGAGACGAGAATGTTAGCGATCAGCGGTAGCAGAGGTGAACACTCGTACCTCAGGTGAGTCCGTGGGAGCGGACTGTCGGGACAGCCGGGAGCGGGAGCGAGAAAGCAGCGGGTCTGCTGTGGGATGGGGAACACATGAGACAGACACACAGACACACTTTAACGCAATGAAAACTATAAAAGGTTGATAGGTGCGCGCGTGCACAGGCTTACAGCGGTGCGCCTGCATGAGAGGGGCCCGGAATGTTCGGAACACAAACACTGTCAGTTCTGTCATGGCCCACACAAAATTCTATATTCCTGGTGCCTCTGTTGGTGTGTACTTGCAACGCGGGGCTCCGGAGCTGTTTTATTGTCACATATATATAATTTTTCCCCACACTCCTCTTTGCTGCCTGTAATGAGGCAAAGATTACAGACCTTACCCACATGGGCAGTGCTTTTAATGCCACAGTGGTCACAGATTGGTTCAGATGCCGTGACCATATATGTACTTGTACCGTCCCGCTCCAGCCTCCAGCAGTGAAGTGCAGCCCCATCTGGACACGCCCACTTGCGCTTTGCGCTAAGACTGGGGGCAAGATACGGCCCATAATATATTTTTTGTTCGTTCAACACGATCAACTTTCTTACCCCAACTTTTCTCAGAAGTTCTCCAACAATATTAAGGGCAGATATCCGAGCTGATGTTGTCAGTGGTGTGCCTGTTAGCCCATCACCTTCAAAGGAGACAACATAGCACTTTTATTTTACCAATCCATATAAAAGAATATAGTTCAAGTACAATTCTAAAAGGAATTATTTTCTATAACGAGAATTATGATAACAGGGCATCTTCCATTCTGATGATAATGACAGGTGACAGCAGTAGCAGCTAATACTCACCTCTACGGATACTTGAGGCAGGGGGCGTGTCAGATAAGATAATCAGTTTAGCTGGTGTAGCAGGGAGAGAAGGATTAATAGCAGAGGGGCACTGCATGTCTCGCTCACTGTCTCTGCCTAAGCTGCTCGATGGTCGTCTCTCTACCTGCCGTACAGCCAACTCTTGACGAAGATCTGTTATACAAAAATTATACAATTTAATTTCATTTACAGTCAAAAACACATCATGCAAGGCTGAAAGCGTGTACCTCGAGCTTCATCCTTAAGTCTCTGGACAGACTCCAGGAGGTTTTCTTTCTCATCAAGCTCACTTTCAAGAAAAGCATTTCGCTCAATTACTTGGTTCATCCTCTGCTCAAAGTCCTCCAGCGACATAATAGTTGCCCTGTGATAAAAACAGTAAAAAAGTAATTGTTTTCTTCTTGTGAAACAGATTTTTTTCATTAACCAACCTTTTAGTCCTTTCCAGGTCATCATTGGACTGCTCTAGCTCCCTGATGTATTTCTGCAGGTGATCTCTCATAGCTTTAGTTTCTAGCAGCTCCTCCTCCAGTGTAGAAATGTGCCTCGAAGCTTCTGAGTGCTGAGTCTCAAATTTCTCCTGTTAAAAATACATTGTTTTGATAGTAAATGTTGGCTGATTTGATACAGAAGGGTGGATAAATTATATGAACTTGTTTGTACAGAGCAGCCTTTAAGCAATGTGACATTATGCACAATTTCTTCATTCACTTCAGTATAATTAATTTCCCTTTCCAGCCCTTTCTTAAACCATCAATCCATGGTTCTACAATCCGGAAAACAATATAACTTGTGGCAGTAACATGTTAGTGTGAGACTCAATAGAGACCTTTATAGGATGTCATATTTAAAAAACATCTGTTACAACTCCTAGAGCAGTAGAGCACATGGCAGTGAGAGGCAGGATCTAGTTATGAGGAGTGGTACCTTCACGTTTTCCAGCTCCGTGCGCAGTCTGTTGTTGTCTACGAGAAGATCTTTGTTTCGCCGTTCACACTGCTTCAGCTCTGACTCCAGCTCAGCCTCATAGTCACGACTCATCTGCTGGAACTCCTGCAGCTCCTCTTGCACCTCGTCCGCCCTAAATACCACAAGCACAAACTATGAAACTATGCTAGCTACGCTTAGAATGTACAACAAGATTGCACATTCCCCTACCTTTGTTGATGTTTCTCTGCCTGCTCCTTCCAGAAGCACAGCTCCTCTTCCATTGATGTAAACTTGCGGGTTGGCTCTACCATCTCTACAGATCTGACTGGAAATTTAGCACAACCATACAGTCTATGAGCACAACAAAAAACATTTGTAAGAATGTTTCAGATCCATTGTAAATGTAGTGCAATGTTAGCAAAGCGAATCCACTAACGTTAGCTATTTTATAAGATTACACAAGAATACATCATGTAATCGTGTACATTTTACTGATCTTTAATCAAAGACTAGGTCAGATGCACATAAAAAATAACATACGTGAAAGGCCAAATGGTTGCATGGTTTTTGTTACACATAACTTTAGCTAACCATTAGCTAGCTCTTTAGCAATTTCAGTCCAGCGCCCACGGAGTTTTAGTAACACTTGGTCTGAAAGTGAATAAAATAACATAAGATAAGAACCAACCTGCATAAAACAGATGCTTTAAAACCTACTAATAATAAAATATCCACGAGCCTACTCTTGCTCGGTGCAGTTTAGTCATAGAAGAGTTTTGGTGGAGGAGTCCCCATACAAATGATCCAAATACAAACGGAGCAGTGCAGCTATTGGTCCATCAGAATGACGATTATCCCGGATTATCCAATCAGATCACACTGACAGGGCGAGCTCAACCAATCAGCGTCTCCAGACCATGACCGTACATCACGTGTGCTGTTTTATACCATAGATCTAGTGAAGATCGATATTTTTATAGAGGAGTTATAGCCTCCTGTTGGTCACTGTCACTGTATGTCAGCTATAGACTATGCAGCCTATGATATCAACATGTTTCTATTTCTAAACGTTTACAAGTAGGTAGCTTGCGCAGTGAGCTGAAACAATTCAGTGACAATTGCACACATATATTTTATTTGCCTTTATTAGTAGGAATAAACCAAATGTGAAAGTAATATGAGGTAGTCGGAAGTAATTGAACATTGACAGTATTAGCGAGATCTTTTTCATTGCTGAATATCTTTACATGAATGAAGATTTGTTATTGTTATAAAATGCAATAAATGGCAGTGACAAAACATGTGCAAAATGTTATGTTGAAATATACAGAGTTTGCACCATTTACTGAGTTATTGAGATAACATACTAACATGCAAAACTGTCCCAGACAAGTTAATTAAAGTTGTGTTAGTATTCCTGAGATAATATTAGTATAAACCATTAAATTGATGCTTTTTGCTTTTAAGGATCTGCATATGAGAAAACATAGAAAATTCATTTTCGTAAAAAAAAAAACCAAAAACATTGAGATAACAAAAAACATGGGAACAATACAAAAATATCAGAAAATATTAGTTAGAGTCTAACAATCTTTCAATCAAACACAATCAAATCAAGGACTTCATTAGTCTTGTTTCAGCATACCAGAGTTGTCTGCAAAAATAAATATATTAATAATTAGATGTTATAATTTGTACTGTATAGTATTTTAGATATTTTATGTCTACTTACTTTTAATTTTCTTCAACTTTTTTATTGTCTTTCACTTCATTCTTGAGCATACACATCCCCTTCTGACTGTCAACCACATCTGTCTTCACTTGACCCAGAGTTTGCAACAAGCACATGGTGTCAAATCCTTCATCGCTTGATTTTTGTAACAACTCCAGTACCTGTAATAATATGCATAATAATATGCAAGAGAAAGAGTGCACACATAATAATGTAAAACACAACCACTGTATAAAATTATTATAGTTTTTCTGTCAGACTAGCTACACAGATTCTGAACACTTTCACAAGATGCTCTGACCCAGTTCTCTATCCATCTCAGGTTACTTATTTTTCTTTGTCTGCCTCAAATACATCCACTTTAAGGACTAAATGTTCATATTCTGATATGACAACAAATTATTATATTGCAATTATTGTAATGTAAAAATACCAAAAGTCTAAAAACATTTTGTCAGTGCAGGCAATATGTACAATATTTTGAAATATGCTGATAATTATGCAGAAGTCACTATGAAGAACATAAATATATGAGTCTACACTTGCAATATTTCTACTGTGATGTACTGTGAAAGTGGTTTTAAACTGTATTACATCTCTATTCTAAGGTATGTGCCACTGAAGAAAGCCCAGCAGCGCCTCTACTTCCTGAGAAAACTCAAGCAGGCAAGTGCCTCACCACCCATCATGACCACATTCTACAGAGGAACCACTGAGAGCATCCTTTCCAACAGCATCACTGTGTGGAGCAGAAGCTGCACTGACTACAACAGAAGAGCTCTGCATAGTGAACAGAGTCAGGAAGATCATTGGTGCACCACTCCCCTCACTGCAAGACACATAGACCACCCACCTCACCCACAAAGCCATCACAATTGTGTGATGCAAATCACCTCACACACAATCTGTTCAGCCTCCTGTCCTCCAGGAGGAGGTACAAGAGCCTCCGTTCCTGCACCACCAAATCCACCAACAGCTTCATCCACCAAACTGTCAGGATATTCAATTCTCCCCTTGGACTTTTCCATTTATTATTATTTATTTATACACTTAGAGGTGAGAAACACAATTTCGATTCTTCATATGTTTCATATGAAGAGTTGACAATCAGCTTTTTTGAACTTTGAACTTGAACTTTTTGAACTTTGCTGACAGTGAACAGTTGAATTTCAGATTTATATTTCAATGCAACCTACCTGTAGACACTTATATGACTTCAGCTGGCTCAGATTCTCCTGCAGAAATAGTAAATATATGCTCAGATCATTGTAAACTGGGGTAACCACTCCTAAAGAGCCAAACCCAGGGAGCATATCGTAAGGCTGGAGGAAGCCCGAACTCTGCCGTGCTGGTCCGATTGCAGCATATATCACCAGAGGAGCCAGGAGGATGTAGACTACCAGGTTGATGTAGCTGAGTAGCCTGAACACACCCACTGCCACAAGCTTGCACTGCACTGCTGAGGGTACAAAGCTGTCATTTTGAAGTAAGCCTTTTCTCAAATCACAAGGAAACTCATCTGTGAGGGAGGCCAGCTGGATGTAGTAACCGAGGTAAATGCAGGCTAACAGCAGAATTAGCAGGGTGAGACCACGGCAGGCCAAGTATCTGACCACAAGGCAGCGAGAGAAGCGCTTGGTCTTGAGATAATGCTCCACTAATGGGTATTTGAAGCAGCCTTCTGTCAGGTCCAAGGCACTGTGGTAAAAAAAAAACATACATATCATTGTAAAGAACTTATGACAGCTGGAAAAATGTTAAATGAAAACTAGGGATTAGGATGTTCTGGTACTATGCAAATATAACATCACACATATAGGCTTACTTAAGCACATTCATATGAAATAGATGATTTATGACAAGTATTACACATACAATATGGTCAGTTAGACAAACTTAACACTTGAGTTAAGTAATAACAATGGTAAATTGTGAATAGATAACACTAATAACTTGCAAAAAATAAGCTTTTCATATTTTAGGATGTGTAGAGTCAAATTTTGCCCCAGTTTAGTCCAAATTTTGATGTAGTGAGCAAATATAAATTGAATATTTTGGTATATTAAATCTACATGCACATTTGACTAACTTGAATGGATACAAATATAAAAATTTGATATAGATTACATAAATCACATACATACAAAAAAAATCGTATGTTGTATTGTTGTTTGTTTTATCTATGTATGCAAATTGATTAAACATGTCTACACCCTACCTTTGAGAGTCATCAGTTCCCTCCTTGCCATCTAAAGAAGCAAGATTCTTGGCTAAACGAATTGAGCGATTATAAAAACGGTCCAGCTCCTCCATGATGAAACTGAGGTCTGAGGAAAGGTGTGGTGCAGCTGTGAACCTCCAAAACAGAGCAGGGATGTACATGAGGACAGCAACTAAGAGCAGGATGTATGGGAAAAACTAAAAAGAATATAAGAAAACAATTATTATTATTATTATTATTATTATTCAGTTGTATTACAGTAATGCGTTTTTAATTATTTCAGATGTAGTGATGGCAGTACCTTATGTAACCATAGTGGAGTGCTCTCAGATTGCTGCTGTACTGCTGCCCAACAAAATGAGTCAACATAATATGCTTGTCTCCAGGAGAAGTTTGTTGGAGCAAAGCAACTGATCTGTGTACCTGGAAGATGCAATATAAACCAATACATTGATACTATCTTCTTACAAAATTCTACATTCCAGTGCACAAGGTAGACAATTTACTTATGCTGTTTTTCCTCCTTTCTTCTCTATAAAAGAGATTCAATCAAACATGAATAATTCAATCATGACTCATGTGATCATTGTTGTTGTGAGTTTTTGTCAGTAGCAATATAGAGACTTACAAATAGAAAATAACAAGTCATATGACCATGGACACAACACATACCAATCCTGCTCCACTGCAACAGCATGACCTAGTTTGTACATAAAGAAATAGTCAATACTCTATAGCAGTCTATTTCTGATTCATGGAGAGTTTGAACTGACAGAGTTGCACATTCCCCTATGAACTTTAAAAATATATAGAGAGAGATTAGTATTGTATTTTGGTTAAGTTTGTTTGATCAGAAGAAGTTTTTAATGTGGTTGTTATATGCAAGTCATAATGTCACTTATTTCCCCATCATACACTGTTAGAAGTGGTTCTCCTCAGAGAACAAAATTACACTTTGACAATAACAGACAGGGTGGCTGTAGTTTTAAGAGGATTACAGATCTCCAAATGAACAACGAACCTATGCGCATATGTCACCAGTTACTTTCAGCAAAAGCTTTTGTGTTTATGTGAACCTGGTATCATCTTTATCAACATCAGCAGCGGTGTCTGTCTGGGTGTGATGCAGTGAAGGGTGGAGTCGCGCATCAACTCACATGTCCATGTCCTCAATGTCCACTATGTCCTGTTTGGCCATCCCAATTTGTAGTGTGAATGAAAACATAAGTATTTCTATTGACATCCAAAAATAAATTGTAAACACAACTCACCCACGGACACCTCTTGAGCAAAGGCGAGAGAGATGAGAAATAAAGGTAGCCCCACGGAAAGAAACGTGACTATTTTGTCCACAGCGAGTTCCAGGCGCACACCTTTGTATTTGTTACTCTGTCCCTCTGTTGGATCTTTCAATAAGAAATCGCTAAAGACATATTCGGTGGCTACGTGCGCGATCGCCATGCCAAGTATGAACAAAAGCCGGCTTTTTTGGTAAATTGAATAAAGGGTTAACTTGTGGTTCAATTCACCATCTCGCAACTAGCCTATATTTATAGTGATAATTAAATAGAAAGCCTCCGACCGCGAAGACTAGCAGAGTAGTGATCATTCGCCGCTGACAAAGACCATGATAGTAACCCTGCTGCTGTCCCGTCAGTCACAGAGCTTTGGCAACAGGGGGGCGCAGTCTCCCTGTCGACCACTAGGGGCTGCCATTGTTCTAAACCACGATATATTTTAGACGTATTTTGCCGTCATACGTCCATGTTATTTACATACACAAATTTTTTTTATCAGGTTATTGGACTCGATAGACTAGAAAAAATTGGGGGTTTGCACATTTTTCCCAGACCATAGGACAAATAGTTAGCTTTCATTTGTTTTTGTATACTCCTTTACATTTATAATAAAGGTAAATTAAATAAGCTAACTGAATTTGGATGTTTAAGGTTATATTATGGTGTTGCGGATGATTTATTACATTATTAGTAATTGCAGTGCAACAGACTGGCGCTGCCAGGCTCAATATTTTTTCGACAGCTGCGACTCATTTGCGGCAGTGTGTAGGTTACAAAAAGATTCGTGTTTCTGGGGACAAACAGAGGGAGACGGTCCATGGGGGAAATGTAACGACACCAGGTAGAAAAATATTTCACAGTTTTAGATTATTGTCGCTTTAATTTTACTAACTGACAATCAGATATCTTACTTCGAATATCTGTAAAACAGTGTAGCTTAATTGTTGATGATGCCTTTGGTTAGCTTCGAGCTTGTCATGTAACCACGGCGAGCGAAACGTATGTAATTGAAGTATCAAACGTTAGCGACTTTTGCTCATCAAAGTAAACATTTGTCAGATGTAAATTGTACTCCGTTTGTGCCTAGCTACTTGATGCAAAAGACATCAATAATCCTGTAACGTCAATTGGCTAAAAGACAACAAACAACAAGTTGACTGACCCAAACTGAGAGGTCGATTGGGCCACCATGTAAAAGTCTTGTTTATTGATCGACTGTATGTTGTGCTTTTGTATTTTAATGAAGACATGAGAGAGAAGAGGACCGAATTTGAGGAGAAGGACCGTTTTGGGATGAATGATGGAAGGACTGGGAAAAGAGGGATCCATATGCAGCTCTAGACCCTACCCATGGCTTGGCCCGAGCAAAACAGAAGCCTCAACTTTGCTGTGGAAACTCAAAGACTGCTTTTCCTATAATGTAACACCATCTACCAACACTGATAAAGAAGTGAGTTGGAACATCAAGGATGCAGCTTCTCTCAGTTTTCTCTCAAATTTTATAAATATTCATGTTTTCCTGTTTCCAGATGTGCTTTATTTACTAAATACAGGGACTATATCTTCAGTGAAAATGCACCTGGACATGAATCAAATAATTTGTCGGAGCTGAAAAGTGCTTCACTTTTAGCATTCAAGAATGTTAATTTCTGATGTAAGCATCAAAGAGCACCATAAATCTGAAATGTAAAGTCAGAAGGATTTATTAAGTCTTACATAATTAAAGTAACAGCTCAACTAGTCCAAAGAGCAGCATAGTTACAGGGTCTCTCAGGAAGGACAGGGGGAGAGCCCTGAGATGTGTGTGTTAACAGTTTTTATAGTGTGTGTGTAAATGTATGTATGAGGGAGGATCCTCTTCTGGTCAGCATAGCGTTATCTTTATGAGCCCCCATGCAACAGCAGGGCTGCAGGGGCTCACAGTCTCGCCCGTATGTGTTCTATGTGGCTGCATTTTACCCTGTCCCTAACCCAGAGAAATAATGTGATTTAGATGTCTGCATATCACTGTTATTCACTTGTTGGTAACAGTAGCATTAACATCAAGATACACATTTAAAGTAGTGCACATTGCTGAATGTGACTACATTATAAGAGTCAAAACATTGGTGATATGAACAGGGACAAGGCCATTGCTTATGATAAGCATTTATCTAAACCTTGCTTGTGTTAAAAGAAAATTGTCTTGTCACTGAGTTGTCATCATGAATCCTTGGAGATTTATTATAGTAGACTTTTTTTCTGACCAAAGTTTAGTTGTTTTCATACCTGACAGTTTTCACTGATCACTCACAGTCTTCCTCAGACTCAGAAACCAGACAAGTCATGCTACCATTACATGATCATAATTTATACTAATAAATTCTTTAAAAACCAAATGAACCTCACTGGACTATTTGAATATATTATTTTTACGAAATATATTTTTAATTCTGTCATTACATTGTGTAATGATGATTATAAAAGTCATGGCTGTATTGTCTTTTTCAGAGAAGTTACATGGAGAGCAGAAAGCCTGTGCTGGATCTAAAAGATGTCCCTCCTCCTCCTCCTCCTCTGCATCACAATACCTCTCCCCAGCCTCCCCAGCGCTTCTCTCTCGCCCCTCTCCCCATTCCTCCACCTTGCTTGCCTCCGCCTCCTTCGATTCCTCAGCAGCCAGCCCCACCACCACTGTCCCAGCAGCAACAGGGATCTAGCCCCAATGTAAGCACTTGCTCCTATTGTGAATATTGTGGCACAGGGCGCTATAACACTGTAGGTGGTGGAGCTGGTGTTGGCAATAGCAGTAGCATCGAGGGTCCCCTCTCCTTTTACATGGCTTCAAGCTCTTTGGGAGTACACAGCCCTAACAGTAAAGTTTACAGCTCTGGGCCTTGTTCTATGCCATCATCTGTTCAATATAAACTAAATTTAAGCAGTGGAAACCATGATGAATCTTTAGCTACGTGGAGCAGTCATAGTTACACATCCCAGTTACCTTCTTCTGTTGCTACCTCACAACCTGTATCATTACATCCATATGCACCTGGCTGTTCAGAACTGCTCCACTCCTACCCATCGCTACCTCTGTCCTGCAGCCAGACCAACCAGTTTCCCTCTTCAACTCCTCCAGTCTCCTCTCTTCCCGCTACTTATACACCTTTGCATGGCTCCTGCTTGGCTTCTTCTGGCTACTACCCCTGTGGTGTAGACTGCAGCCCTTTGACCAGGAGAGCCCAAAGAAGCACAAAACTGGGTGAACATACCACCACCACTATATCCACTACCACCACCTCATCACACTTTTGCTCTATACCTATGCACCTAAATGTAGAACGCACGGTTGGTGTGAAGGGGGCACAGCACTGCCAAGAGTGCTTGCTGAAGGTTAGTACATTTTCATACAATTTTAGCTGTAGCTCACAATGGTATTAGTGAATATTGTGTGCAATAATGAGGCTTGTGGTGCAGATTGTACTAGCTGTTTATTGGTGTCATACAAGTCCACAATGCTCATTGCTTATTGTACTCAGATGCCGCATGGCTTTTGTATTATTCAGTTCATTTTTATGATTTTTGCTTCTTTGTTAGACTGCAACACATGTAGTGCCTGAATCAGACAAAGGGTGGCCCAGTGTTCCTCTTCCCCAGACCACTCCCATCCCTATTTGTAATGGTTGTAGTACATCTGCAGAAACGGGACAGAAATATGGTCAGTGATGTTATTTGGATTTACTGGGTAACTATTTGGGCATATGTTCCTTATCTATTTTATTTTTATCTTTCAGGTTCTCCTGAAATTGGTGGTCCTGAAAATATCCCTCCTGTTGGGGTATTCTGGGATATTGAAAACTGTAGCGTTCCCACTGGGCGCTCTGCAGCTGCTGTGGTGGAACGAATACGCAGCCGCTTTTTCCAGGGTCACCGTGAGGCAGAGTTCATCTGTGTGTGTGATATCAGTAAAGAGAGTAAATCTGTCATCCAAGAGCTCAATAACTGCCAGGTACAACATGATGCACGATTCGCCCACATAACTCCTGATCTTACCATTTTATGTGCTTGGGTTAACAATTAAATTTTCCAGGTCACAGTTGCCCATATTAATGCCACAGCCAAAAATGCTGCTGATGACAAGCTTCGTCAAAGTCTGCGACGCTTTGCTGAGACCCACACTGCACCTGCTACAGTTGTATTGGTATCCTGTGAGTAGCTTGTAGACTAATATTTATTGAAGTTAATAAACCTTTGACATTGTGCTGATGTTTGGTTTTTTTATTAGCTGATGTGAACTTTGCCAGTGAGCTGAGTGATCTGCGCCATCGCCATGGTTTCCAGGTGATCCTTGTCCATAATCATGCCTCGCCCGCTCTTCTGCAGCACGCCAACTGCCACGTGGCCTTTCAGGAGCTCAGTGCCGATTTACCACCTCGAATGGTCAACGAAAAGGTATGCAGTAGTATATTTCTATTTAATAAAATACAAGTTTTGCACCAGATTGAAGCAGATGGTATGCTGTTGGTTGTTTGATGCATTCAAGTGCTGCTGCTGTTATTGCCTGATTGAAAATCATACAAACCAGACAGAGTTTTCCTTCCTTCAGCCCACTTTCAGCCTCCTCTATGTGCACAACCTTCCCATCGCCCGTGACAAGAGTCAACTCAATGCTGTGAAACTGCGGCTCCGCCGGTTATCTGCTAACTGTGGTGGCAAAGTGCTGGGTGTGTCTCACGGTACAGCAGTCCTGCGTTTTGGCAGTCCTGCCGCTGCCGCACGTGCATCTAAACGAATGGAGAATGAAGATGTCTTTGGCCGTCGCATCAGCGCGTCCTTCTCACCTTGGCCTGGTCAGCCCAGACCTGATCACAATTTTCAGGCTTACTTCCATCAAGTTCTTCAGGCTCTGCCTCAGCCCTTCCCAGTCCACAACCCATTGTTTGCCCCACACTTTTCCTCCTCACCTTTTCTATCCCTGGAAAAAACCAGATCACCCAGGAGGCCACGCATCCGAGCCGCCCGCCCGGTGCCTGAACAGCCCTGCAGCCCCAGGAGAGGGTGCAGTGGGCCTCCCCATGGTGCACCATTCACAGCTCTTCAGGTCAGGACACCCGCCAGTGCCTGCTTCCCCTTCAGCTTCATTGCGCTATGTTCTTATGTAGGCTGCAGTTTTTTCTTTTTTTTTTTAAATGCCAATGTCTTACTAAATGCGGCTTAACTAACTATTTGTAGCTCTATTGCTCGCCCTCTGCTTGTGCTTGCATGTAGCTTCAGTAGTCGCTGTATTGTCTCATTTTTCTGTGTCATTTGTTATGCTTAGATCAATGTGTAAATTAACATTCATGCTTTTGTGTTCTGTTTGTTCATCATGTGTGCCATGTTTCCATGTACATTATTGAGGAAACCTGTATGTGGGTAGTTTTGAGAGTGTGAGTAAACTTTAAACTGGGCTGTAGAACCTTGCAAAGAGCTGCTGCATGCTGCATGGGCCATTATGTCTTATAACCATACCTTGCACTACACAAAACAGAACAAATTAATGGTTTTTTAAAGTGTTGATTGATTCATATATTTATATATTCATATATTCTTGCTTAGGAGGTGAGCTGTGTAGATGGTAAGCCTGTCTTTCCAGACAAAGGCCCACGTGCCACGTCTTCCTCACCTCGTCGCAATGAGGCAGGAGCGCTAAGTCAAGTCCCCAAGCCTGCCCTCGCTGGAGAGTCTATGTACAGAAGGAGGTATGGGAGAGAATTTTTATACAGGATGTGTTCAATAACTTTTACCAAAAATATTACTCTACAGAAGAGATGGTTCAAGCCCTCGAAGCACAAATGAGTTCCCCATTGAAAGGGAGAGGACCATGGGGGAGTTTCAGATCAGCACACCCTCAGCTTTCAGCAAACTGAATCTGCAGCGGAGCTTCAGTCCCCTTGTGCTTTCACAGGGATCATGGTCTTCAAGGTGAGTGTTCATTAAGTTCCATATTAAAGGTAAAATAAACCGTTCCTTTTTTACCCACTGTATCTTTTTATAAAAGGAGTGCGTCTCCCTGCTTCTCAAGCCGCTCTTCACCCTTGCTTGCGCCTCCTCGTAGTCCGTGTTCTGAAACTTCTCCGGAACCTTTCTCTGATGGAGCTGAGGTCCAAGCAGCCAATCTGGATTATAGGATGTCTCGTAAGGATCTCCAGCAGACTCTTCATGACACATTCTCTAGATATGGACAGGTTTGTGACCGTAGGTTTCACCTTACTTATATAATGTCCTAATTTAATCTATGCCTCTCACTTTCAATACCAGGTCAAATCGGTGGAACTGAGCCCTCACACAGATTATCAGCTAAAAGCCACAGTACAAATGGTATCTTTACAGGATGCCATCAGTGCAATTAGTGGTCTGCACCGCTATAAAATTGGAGGCAAACGTATTCAAGTGTCTTTGGTCACTGGAGGTGGCAACAAGTCTCTGGCCATGCTCAGGTAAAAGTACTGGCATAGCACATTAATTAAATAAATGTTTCTCTGGGAAAATGTAATTTTCTCCTTTTTTTGTGCAGCAGTGAGATTATAAGTATTCTCCAGGATGCACCTGCCAATTGCCTTCCACTTTTCAAATTCACTGAAATCTATGAGAAAAAGTAAACTGTCTTCTCACTATAGAGCCATTTTTCCTCTGGTTTGAGTGTTTGTTGTGTAATTTAAAATATTTTCTCCTCAGGTACACGAAAAAGCTCATAATTGGAGATCTGTATAGACTGCCTGAAGTGGTTTCTGTACGTGAACAGGGAGGGTCGCGGCTTGTTTGCCTTTTAAACAGCAGCCAGATGCGTCAGAGCCCACTGGGGTCCTCTCAGTCTCAGGAAGGATCGTCCTCAGCGAGTGGCAGTCCCGTTGTGTTTGAAGAGCTGGAGTATCATGAGCCAGTCTGCAGACAGCACTTTGCACAACAAGACTTCAGGTTAGTCTCTGCAAAATGTGTCCTATATTTTTATACTAATTCATCTAAGTAATTTTTTTTGGTTTGTGAATTTTTAGTGAAGCTGATTTTGATCCTGATGCCTACAAAATCCCATTTGTGGTGTTATCTGTGAGCACTTTAACCTCTGATGTCCACACTTTGTTGCATTCTCATGAGGGCACCCTTCCACTGCTTAGGTAAAAGTAATTGATCAAACACAGTACAACATTATATAGACCTATGCTTGCAAAACACAATTGCAAGGATAATTAAAATAAAAGTGTTTGTGGAGGAAGTGGTTTTGTAATGGGCCAATGTCTCTTTACATTGTACGTCACAAGGTCAGCTGTTACAAGCTGATATCATAATTGTTTTGTACTTTCCAGTTTTCCAGATTGCTATGCTGCTAAATTTGGCCACCTGCAGTTGGGAAATGAGACACTAGAGGGGGGTGTTTCTTTGGAGCATCTCATAACCTGTGTTCCCAGTATCACAATAGTCACAGCTCAGAATGGCTTCAAAATCATCAAGTGGATTCATAATAAACCACCGGTGCCCAACAGTGGTATAAATTATACATCACTGGTTAACATCAGAATGCTGTGCTGTTTTTAATCTGCTGTCTTTGCAGAGCCATGGATACAGCGCTGCAAGAGTCCAGTGGGTAACCCTCAGCTCATTCAGTTCAGTCGTGAGATAACTGACCTTTTAAAGAGCCAGGCGTCCTGCATTATGCCCATCAGCAAGTTCATCCCCTCATACCACCATCACTTCGCCAAACAGTGTCGCGTCTCAGACTATGGTTACTCCAAACTGTTGGAGCTGCTTGAGGCAGTACCACATGTGCTTCAGGTATATTTCATTTTGATGAATATATTAAACATGAGGTGAAGGTTCCTTTCTTTACAGTGTTTGTAAATGTTTGTTTAGATTTTGGGCATGGGAACAAAGAGGCTGCTCACTTTAACACATCGCGCTCAAGTGAAACGCTTCACCCAGGATCTACTCAAACTGCTCAAATTTCAAGCCAGCAAACAAGTGGCAATCAAGGACTTCATGCAGGCATACCACTGGTCCGTCCTGTCAATACCGTAACTTTCTTTACTTGAATTTTTTAAATGGATTTGTAACTGGTACCTCATGCTCTCCTAGGTGCTTCTCCAGAGACTGGCGGGTCATTGATTATGGTGTATGTGATTTGATGGACCTCCTAAATGAAATTCCTGACACAACCATCACGATTACACACCAGGACCCAGACACTGTCATCTCTGTTCCCAAAAGAGGTACCATGACCTACAGGTACCAGTGATAAAAAGTGTTGTACTTTTCATTTCATCACTTTCGTGCACTTTTTTGTTAGAGCGTACTTCTGAAGAAATAGACCGCACCAAGCAGTTTGGGAAGGAGGTGGTAGATCTGCTCCGTCACCAGCCTCACTGCAGGATGCTCTTCAGTAAATTCATTCCCACATACCACCATCATTTTGGACGTCAGTGCAAGCTCAGCTACTACGGCTTTGCAAAACTCGTGGAGCTCTTCGAGGCAATTCCTGACATACTCATGGTCAGTCATATTTATACACTTTTTATGGTGTCCAAAGCAAATAAGAGGTTGATTTCATAAGAATAATTATTCCTATTGGCTTGATTTTATCTTGTCTTTTGTTGTTCAGGTGCTAGAGTGTGGGGAGGAGAAAGTGCTCACACTGACAGAAGTAGAGCGGATCAAGGCTCTGGCTGCACAGCTTGTCAAACTGCTCAGAGTCCAAAAGAACTCCAGTCTCCCTGTGAACCAACTGCTGACAGAATACAGCAAAACCTTTGGTTATGGGCTCCGTCTGCAGGACTATGATACCAGCTCCCTTCCTGCTCTGCTTGCAAAGCTCTGCCATGTTGTCAAGGTAATGATCAATAACCATTTAAGTTAGAGTTGCTGCTGTTTTGTTTTAAACCTGCACCTTATTTCAAGGTGGTGGATGGGCGTGAGGGGCGTGAGGTGCAGCTGATCAACAGGAAGTCCCTGCGTTCACTCACCTCTCAGATCCTGGCTCTGCTCATGTCCCAGGAAGAGGAGCAGGTGTCCAGGGGTCTGAAGGTGGATGAAGTTAGCAATCTGTACATGAGTGTGTATGCAGCGTCTCTCAACCCATGTGAATACGGGTTCCTCTCACTTAGTGAGCTCCTTAAGAGCCTGCCTTATCTCGTGGAGGTCAGTATCTCAGCTTTTCTTTATACTTGATGAGTCTAGTGCCCATCACTAGACACTAGGATTATCTGATTTTGTTGCCATAACAGTTGTATAATGAAGAATGTGAGGACAGCAGCTTGACTCAAGAGAGAGTGAGACTCACCAGGCTTTATCAGTTTGCACGTGATGTTCGAGCTCTGCTCCAAACTTACCATTACAACCAGATCTTCCTGACTGAGTTTCCTGGGGCTTATCACAAATTTACAGGCTGCAGCCTTGAGCCACGGTCATTTGGATACAATAACATTGATGAGCTGCTCAGTGCCATCCCACAGGTAGAACAGATTTCATAAAGAAAAGTTAAGGTAAAGTATCACAGAAATAAAGATTTCTTTCACTGTTGTCAGGTGGTCTGGATCAAAGGACACAGTCACAAGAGGATTATAGTTTTAAAAAACGATATGAAGGGTAATGGTAACATGTCATCAATTTATTCTGTGAAGAAAAAGTGCAATTTGAACTGATATCTTTATGTACAGCAAGAGTAAGTACATCAGTCCCCAGCAGCCCACAGCCCAGTGACAACACAGAAAGTCCAAGGGAGAGTCCTGTCAGCAGTGTGATTTCAGACTCTCACAGTTCAGGTACTGTAGCCTAAAGGGTACTCCGGACTTTTTGAGCAGTGGGTGGCTGGTGAAAGGATTGACACAAGCATGTTATAGGATGTTGAAGGACTTTTGCTGGAGATGTCTGTGCAAATAATGTTATAATGGTTTGAATATCTGATGAACTTTTATGGTGTTACATCCAGTGATTTAACACAAACAAGTTTGGATTTTTGATCTAGCACTAAGAGAATAGGCCTTGGCAGTTAATTTAGTCTAGACTAGATTCTAAATTACAATCAGCATTTGTGTTTTTAAATTCTTACCATGTTTTAAGTTTACTGTAAAATCTTGGTAATTTCACAGGTGGTGCTGAGCTGTTGTCTTCGATCTCCCCACTGGATCTCCTGTGCGGACCTGTACCGTCCTGCCTCCCCTCCCCTCAGCTACACCCTGACCCTGTTCTTCAGTTGGACTTGATTCATTTTGAGGAAAAGCCACCCACAACTGGTAGCACCTGTGATTTGGATTATCTGATGTATAAATAAATAAACTGACTAATTACTGTCTTTCACCTGTTTGTGTATCAGAGAGTTCTGAAGCAGCAGCTGAAGGGACATCTGATCCACCTGAGCCAGGGGACACACGGGACACACGGGACACAGAGGACACAGTCCCACCACAGCAGCCTCTCTCAAAGGGAGCCAGCAGCCCCCGGAGAGTGTCCCGCAGCAGGTTCAAGCTTGCAGCCAATTTCACCTTCACCACAGGGCTCTGAGTCCTCCTGGCAGATCTACACTCATTAAAACTGCCAACATAGGTATAACACTGATAGATGAGTTGGCTATATTAAATACCATAAACAAGTGCCCTAAGAATATTGGAAATGTGCTCTGTTTACCCTCCATTCTTATTTGGTTCCTCTTTGACTCAGAGTCCCTTGATTTTCACTCTATATGCATTTTCTTTTTGCAGATTTTCTGCAAGTGTTCAATTTGCCGCAGCCTTTTAATGATGTTTTAATGCAAAATGTGTCAAAACACATGTTAAAGAACAAAAAAAATCTAAAAAAAAAAAAATAAGTTAGTTGTCACTGCAATGATCAGTGTATTAGTTGGTCTTTTAGAGCAAAGAATGGTTTCCAACATTATCAGTTTAAAATGATAAAGACATTTTCTAGTTAAATATGTTTAACATATTATATATGACAAAACTAAGTTGAATCAATCTGTTCTGTTTATCATTTCCTTTGAGAGGTGAGCATAGATTTGTCAGTGAAACTTTTCAAGTGGTGCCTTTTCCCTGGTCCCAGTCTTTTGGGGGGCTAACATTTTGTGATTGTGTTGAGGTTTACTTTTCTCTTACATTCTGGTCTTTTGTCTCTTTCAAAAGACTCAAGACATTTTTTCTATTACTGGAGTAAGAATATTTTATGGAAGACTTTTGCCTCAATACTTGGTGTATCTCCAGGAGCAAACCGATGGTGCCAAATACTCATGACTTCTGTTTTATTACTGGTACAAAAGCTCATGAGTTTTAAGTGATTGGAAGCATTTTAACACTAGTGCTGTGAACATTTAGATCTTGACCCAAAGGTGTCTCAATTGCTACGTGTGTCTGCTCATGTTACTGAGGTCTGTTTTTCGTCTTCAGTTGCAGCCAACAGAAACTTGTTTTAAATGCAGTTTGGGGCTGACACTGGACTATGGTGGTGTGAAATATGCTGAGTGCATAACAGTGCTTATGCATCGTGTTAGTCCACAGACTTGATGTTTTTTGGCCCAGGAGATGGCGCTCTTATGGCTGTTTTTGTCAGTTCAAGGTTTGAGTGAACCTTGTCACTGGGAGACGCATCTTTTTAGATGGCATGTCGATGGCAGCAGAGGACACTCCTGGTCCAGTTTTATTTAATAAAAAGGTGAATGGGTTTTTGGAGGAGTACAGTGGGGGAGGTAGGCTGGCTGTAGGGGTAGGTGTCTATGAATATGACTATTGTGCCCACAGTGTACCCACTGTGGTGCGCTGGGATCTGCCTGGCTTTTACAATGGCTTGTATTTGCCATGGTGCTAAAAGAGATGCCATGTACCTCTCTGTCTCTCACTTTAAGATTTTACCTAAGCATTAGTTTCTGTTGGTCATAATGTAACCCTGTTGGCTGTTGAGATTGAGCAGGACCCTGATACCACCAAAGTTGGCACAAGTTTGATTTTTAGATGAAAACTGCACAAAGTCCATTGAGCCGGATTCTGTATAGACTTTTGTTCCCTGAGTTTCCTTTTGTAAGACCTGGTTGTACTTGGGTGTTTCAGTGATGGCCAGAAGGGTAATATTTTTAAAATGGTCTGCTTTGGTGTACTTCACCTGCACTGCTTTACTGATAGTCTGGAAACCTCTTTTATTAAATTAACTTGGAGCTAGGTCTTGTGTAGATTGAGAAGTAATGATTGATAATAAAAATACTAAAATTACTCATTTAGTGAATCAAGTTTGAAAGAAACAGTGACAACTAACTTAATTAGATTTTTCCTCTGGGTAAATCGGGGAGAAACTACTGCTTTGGTTAAATATGCACTCTGCATATTCTATAAAATGTGTTATTTTAGATGGTTAAAAGTCTCAACCTGCTCTGCCATAAGTTTGATCACATTGTTTACTATTTTAAACATTTGACAAGCCTGCACACTCTGTTGTTTAATGGTTTAGTGCTACAAATGTGGATTTACTTAGTCATCTGTCCCAGACATTTACAGTCTGCCTTTTTGTTTAAGTATTACTGATGTGCAAACGTTCCCAACCATCCCAAACAGTTGCTGTAACAGTTGAACATTGTTAAAGGGGACCAAGAGGAGTAATTTCAATAAACATCACAAGCATTAACTGTCTGTTTTACCTGTTTTTACAACATCACGTAATGCCTTCTTGAAAGATGCTCTTTATTTAAACATATATGTACAAGTATTTCAGCTTATTCTCTGCGTATAGTTAAACAATCACACTCAATGTCACTACCATTACAGAAAGCTACTGAAAGTGACAGCAACACCTGCCTCCACATGAACTACTGGTCCTTGATACACTCAAACATGTACGTACACTGACGGCATTTACAAGAGGTGCATTCGTTTCCCAATAGTTAATCATTAAAAATGCAGAACAAATGTAATGCATTGTGGATTACTCATTGTATACATCAACCTCTATGCAAATACTGAAGGCATGGCGATATACATTTTTACATCGCACATAACTGTTGCATTATATTCTGGTGTCGAGCGAGAAACAAATGATAGGCCAAATAGTAACACTTAAGAAATGTGACATCAAAATCTCAGTCCATGACTTCTCTTGGATATGGTGGAGTTGAGCACTTTTTAATTAAACGTTTTAATCTCATAGAAATTGAATAGTAGATATGCCTCAAAGACAAAATTTTAACAAATGTTTAAGGTTAATTTAAGGAAATTAGTCAAATTAAGTTTGTGCTTGTATTACTTAATGGGCATCTATACATTTATATGGTTTCACAAACTAAGAACGTTTTGTACCACACATGCAGTATTATCAGAACTCTGTGTGGTTGAATTGAGCATAGATACTGGAGGTCTCTGGTAGTATAGAGTGCTGCAGTTGCCTTGTGTCCTGTTACATGATGGCACACTGGGTCGCTCCGCAGCAATCCTTGATAATGGCCACTCCGGATTTTGTGATGGACGGTTTATTGGGAGGAGGTTCTGGGATTAATCTCTTGGACTTTGGGGGATCCTCTGGTAAAGAAGAGCAAAAAGGTGAGCATATACAAGCTAATATAAGTGTAATATGTTTTTGTTAGCACATACCCTGTGCTGCTTTGAGTTTGTTCTCCAACGGCATCAGCTTCAGTCTGAGAAAGTCAGCCATTTCTTTGTCTTCTTCTCGCTCCCTGAAGAGACGAGATCCAAGTTCAACTGTGAGTATTTGCACTTTTAGTAAAATGTATAAGACGGTGTGACAAAATATGTATAGCATGTTTAGATTTTGAAGTGTGAATACTGGAATTTGTCCTATAACTGAAAGGATGGCCCTGAATTCATACTGTCATTGTGTTTTTTGGCAAGACACTTACAAAGATGCAAAAAAGTTGCTACACCCTCTGGAGAAACTGGCTACCAAACAAGCCCTTGCCATCAAATATGAGTGGAATACTAACTAAATACACCCACAACTAAACCAGGACTAGGACCCAACAAGTATTCGTATACTCTCTGTAAGGTTTAGACAAGACTTTACACATTTGACATACGAACCTATAGTGTAAATTAACCATGACAACTATTGGAGGCAGTGGATCCTGTTGCTTAGAAACAAAGACTTCTCTTTAGCCTGCATCTTTTTCATTTTTTCACCTCTATCATGTGATTTATCTGTGAGTCACACTGTATGTTAGTTTATCAGGAGCGGAGGGGTACAAAGCAGGTTTTGTCTGTCCCACACCCTCGTCCCCTGCCTCCATCACAAATGCAAACCCACTTTGTACTCTAATACTCTAATGAGGGTTCCTTCTGCAGTTTTTTTTTTTTTTACCCGCATATCTGATATCTATGTGTTGTTTTTATTTGTACCTTAGTCTCTCCACCTCCGCATCATCCACCAGGAAGTCCCTCTTCTGAACCAGTTTATGGATCTTCAGGATCAGCTCTTCTTCCCGCTGCCGATGCTTCTTGGTCTTTTCTTTCTCTGCAGGAAATGAGGTAAAGAAGAAATGTGTACAGATGAAAGATTAAACGATCAAATAAAGAATTTATCATAATAACTTCTTCTCTATCTTGTTTATAGCTGATATGTATTACTTAATTTCTTTATTTTTATTTTTACATGTACATATATACATTTATGTAATTATTTCTTATTTGACAATGATCTCTTTACTGTTTTTGCTAATTATTTAGAATCATTACCATTTATATATATTTTTCCTCTTTGTTATTATAATATGATGTGTGAGCTACTGTGTAAGTTGCCTTGTGGAGCAATAAAATTTGTCTCAGTCTAAATAAAAATAATGATTAAAAATCTGAAGCCTCTAAACACTTGTCTTGATTCAGTCCTGGTTTAGCCCGTCTTTAGTGCTGATGTAGACATAGGCTGATTTTCTAGTCCTGGTTTAGTTCTGGTTTTGATGTGATGCTTGTGTGTACACACTTTGACATTTGTGAACAACAATAGCTATTATTATTGGTTTACAAAATGTGGACACTACGAACTGTACATGCATCAAGTAAAATATCCTAATCAATAAAGGTGTGAACAATTTGAATAAGTTAACAGGTCAATTTTTCAGTTTTTAAGTGCAGTTTTGATAATTAACTAAAAAGCTGCAGGTGTATCATAGCACAGTATTAGTGTTCAGCAAGGGACATTTCCATGAGTGGAAAGTGTTTTTGCTGCAGGCTTTGGCTAATATGACAGATATTTTTATTTCAGTAATTCTTCATCTTGAACTCTTCTTTAAATCCTGCCTCATGTATAATTCATGGCATCTAATCCACTGACTTCATTATGTTTATACTTTAAAGCTCTATTCATTTCATTGCACAAAGATCTTACTATCAGCATAATGTAGTCCACTTCTGTCTTTTTAACCTTGGTCATCAAAAAATTAAATAAATAAATGAAATGCAAACTTTGGACTTTCATGTGAGTCTGTATTCAGGGCGTTTATACAAGTATTTCTGCTAAGTCAGCTTTTTTCCTCCTACAGAAATAAGTGGAGCAGTGCAGTTCTACCCCCAGGGGCCCAGGGCAATCTAACCAGAAGGGTGTCCCACGTAAATCTTAATGTCAGAGGATCTGGGAAGGTCCTGTTGTAAGGTTGTGTGCATTTTAATATGAACTCTTGCAGATCCAAAAGAATGAATGTAAATATAGAACTACAAGATTTGATTATTTGTACCAATATGCAAAATCCTATAATTTTTATTATATGTATTTAATAACACCTTTAAAATAACACCTGAAGGGTAGACTGCACACTACTTGGCAGTTAATATAAAATGTAACTGAAATAGATGCTCATTACTCCTAATCATAATTACTCTTCCTGTGGCAGTTAGTTATAGAAGAGTGTTGTTGTAGTCTCTGATAAAAGTATTATGTGCAGTGCATTTCTGTTTCCATTTTAGATGGTTTATAATTAACAAAACAAAACAAAAAGTCATGATCTTTTGTAAAAAAACAAAACAAAAAAACAATTGTCTTTAACTAGTGTGTGTTTTTCCATTATATATTTTAGTCATTCAATTTGAGTAATCTCGTGATGTATAGCCTATAATTTATGTAGGTCATGTCTCCATTTTGTGCCACTAAAAATTCCTGATTATTGTTGTGTTGATGCTAAAATGAGTTATGTATTACAATGAAATGTTTCTGTTCGAAGTTCAGAGTTCATATCCAGAAACAGCTGACATGTCCTTGCCCACGACTGCCACCCGTCCCTGTACAGTACAAACAGGTATGTACAGTGACAGGGGCCGGATGACTGTGTGTTACTATGTGAACAATATAATTTGTATGACAAAATTACAACGGCCACATGAGCATACAGCACTCTGTAAAAAATACTATGTTCTTATTAAAAGCAAAATGAACATTTTCTTGGATGTTAAAAAGGAACCAAGAATACATTTCTAAAGCTAATCATTGTTCTGGATCCATTCAGTATTTAAAGCCCTCAATTAGCTAACAGCATTTTTCACAGCCATCTACAACTTCAAGCCAGTAAAAACTATTGCACACATAAATCAAGACATAACCAAGACTTTGGATCAATGGTGCGTGTGGTTTAGAGCAACAGCCTGTATGAATCTGTATTAAAGCAGCATTTTATAGGATCCAGTGAGAATGACGCAGACTGAAGCCAAATATCTATTTTTAGTCCTGGGCCAGTTGTGAAGGACATCTCTCTTTCTCTTTACTTATTATTTCCTAAAAGTGTGTGCCTGTTCACATGTATGTACTTGTAGTGCTTACCTGGTACTGCCACTATCTGCCTCAGCTCCTGCTTCAAACTCATGATGTCTTTGCAAAGCTGAATGTCGTCCATCCTGGAAACATAAACAAAAGAATCAACTAGGTTGCATTACAGAAGGGTCCGGTCAAGCGGTAACGGAGGGAAACGGGCAGATTTTTTACATTAAAATAGCTCTTACTCAGAAACTAGAGGGACTATTGAAATAAGTAAGGTATTAGAATGTAAGAAAGAGTTAACACTCCAACAGGGTAAAGTTAACCCTGCGATATTCTTTCAAGTTGTTGACAAAACATTTTAAAACTCATGTCGGTAACTGAGGGAATGAAATATGCAGCACATTTTGGGCAATAAATACGAACAGCAATAACTACCGGTTCTCACTTACATATCCTTAACAAACTGGTTTGAATATTTGCTTAATATAGTTTTCTACCATATGGTACAAGATTAGGTTGAAAAACCTCTTACTTTTTGAGTAAGGAGATTTTTTTATTAAGAAAAAGTCATGGTAACGGAGGGAAAAGTAATGGAGGAAAAATTGTGCAAGCAAGTAGAAGGTGCATGGTTTTGCATAATTTGTCAGCTTTTTCTTCCGAATACTTTAATATTACTTCAAAATGAAAGGTCACAATTTTCTATAAAATATGTCAATCCTTCCAAGCAAATTTTTATCATTTTAAATTTTTTATTTTTTTTTTAAATCATGTACCTTCATCAACAGTTCAAAGATGGAATAACACAAGATATGATGAAATACATCAATTTATTTACATGATTTGCAGGTCTTTGAAATTTGGGAAATAATTTTTTGTTCCATGTTGCATACATAAAACGTGTGCAACTTTAGAACAAAAAATGGTACAGAAAAAAGGTAAATAGTTTCATAAACTAGAGTACATATGTGATCTGTTGAATACATTTTTATATCAGATGCATTAACTTGAATTTTTGGCCTTGCTGTATACTACTGCTTGACCGGGCCCAGAACAGAAAGTGCTATAAGCACAAAAGTTTTTAAAAGTATAAGAATAAGTCTGTGAATGGAAATTAAGTCTTCCTTTAAAAGCATATACAGCAAGTACACTAAAGAAAGATTATTAATAAGTACATACATACATACATACATATATATATATATAGCATAAATAATTTGGATAGAGAACAAAGACATGCACATTTTAAATCAACATTTCCTGGTCATTTCTTTTTATATACACTCATAAGATTGTTTTCGTCCTGTCAATATTAATTCTATACTTGCAAAACATCTCATACCAACTGACATTTTGATCAAATCTTATCACAACCATCACATTCGCTTGCAATGGAACTAAATGACAAATGTATTGAGGCCAAAATAACCCTATCAGGCAGACCTAACAATCAATGCATATGAGATTATTTTTAAGAGATTAATCAATACTTCATTTAATCTGTTTTGGTAATATCTGAAAGTGCAGAGGTAACGCTGTGCCCTGACCATGAGCCTCTCTTTGCCTCGAGAGCAGGAAAAAAATAAAATAAAATAAAAAATACACACTGTAAATCAATCTGTTGTACTCGCGCCAATCTCCCACAGCCCTGACATGTGACCTCCTGCTCCATTACTCTGTTACTGTTCATCTCCTCTTCCCCTTTTCTCCTCTCTTCTCTCCTTCCTCTCCCCCATCTCTTCCTACTGTACACCTCTTTCTCTCTCTGTCCTTCCTCCCTCTGTCCTTTCTTGCCCCCTCTTGTTTCTTTCCTACATCACGCTATTCTACCCCCTTTTCCTCTTTCTTACCCCCCTCCTCTCTTCTCCCCCTTACTCCCTCTCACTCCCTCTTCTTTCTCCTCCTTCATTCTTTCTCCTGTCTTTCTCTCTCCCTTCTTGCCCCCCTCTCCTCTACCCCATCCTTTCTTATTCCTCCCTCCTATCCCCTCTCATCTTTCACCTCTTTTCTCCCCTCTTTCACTCTTATCCTTTCTCCATCTCCCTCATCTCTCCTCTCTTCTGTCTCCTCACCCTCCACTCCTCTCTTTATCTATTTTGTTGTTTTCCTTCTTCTCCCCTCTTTCCCTACACTTTCCTCCCTGTCTCCCCTCTTCTCTCCTCCCTCTCCCTCTTCTCCCCTCCTTTCCTCTTCCAACGCCCATCTCTTTCTCCTCCTCTTTCTCTTTCATTCTCATCCTTTCACCATCTCTTCCTTCTCTCATTTCTCTTCTGTCCTCCTCTTTCTCTCCCCATTCTCCCCTACTCTCCTCTACCTCCATCCTCCTCTCTCTCCCCTCTTTCCTGTTCCTCTGCAGAGAAGTGACAGTGAGCACAGATTTAATTCAGCCTGTGATGGATCAGGCCTGATGACTCATGCACAGCCTCCTCCCTCTGTGACCCGTCCTCCCTCTGTGACCTCTCCTCACCACTTCACACTCCCAATGTGTGACATTGGGGCAGCGACATATAACAATGCTCCTGATGTGAGTCCATGAACTAACATTATCAACTCTCTGCCATCACAGACATTTCCAGCAAGTATATTTCTGCCGTTAATACAGTGCTGCCCAAATTTTTCACAGCATCTCAGACATCTCCACCTGTGCTACACAAAACTAAAAGATTCAGTTGATCTGTGTTGTTCTCAATACCAGGACCAACCTTGGCCAACTAGTCGGTGATTGTGTAAAAGATAGACTGGTGTGGGCAGAGTTGTGTTTTAGTTTTTCCTCAAGTGATGAAAGTGATGAAAAAAAGATGGTCACTGTCTGTGAATGTTCATGTATGTTAGCTGTTTAAAGTTTGACAGTAGGTCCCCCAAGACCTCTAATCATTTGCTTTACAGGATAAAATTGCGAGACATTCAGTGCCTGCGGTCCTGAGGGAGACTTTGGAAGGAACCAGGTCATATAAATGTGGCAAGTTCTCTTTTTATATTCAATCTACATTTGTCTAAACCTGAATTTCACAGTGGCCAATATAACACATGTACTGTATGTCCCACAAGATTAAATACTTAAACACAAATGTACAACTTCTGAATAATATTCTATTGAATGCTTGTGGCCTTTACCACAGTTTGAGAATCACTGATGTAAAACATGCAGTAAGTAACTTAATTTTTTGTTTCTAAAGTCTAACTGTCAATATCGGACAGGGACATTTCACCATCATTGCTGCACCAGGGTGTAAACAAGTTCAACTGAGCGGTGACTCACTCTGTTTCTATTTATAACTTTTGAATAATCTGTAAATAGTGACATTTCGTGGAAAGTTGCCAGTGCTTATCACCAAATGCGTCATAGCAGAAAACTCTGACAGTGATCTCCGCCTTTAGACCACACCAATAATTAGATCTGATTACCCTGATTAGAGCGATATGGAGTGGACTTACATGAAGCGCAGTTCAGACTCCCTGCGCACCAAGACCTCCCTCAGGCGCTGGATACGAGCCATCTCCACTTCGATTTCCTCTGGAGACATTGTGCTCTCGGCCATGGACACATCCGAGTGGCCTGTGCAGAGAAGACATAGACCATGCAGAATATGATGACCACTGACAGGCAAAGCATGTAATGACTAATCTGGCCAAATGGCTGGGCTCTTTGTAAAATCGAGACTCTGTAATGTTTATCTCTGCTGTATGATCTACTCTCATAAGTGAGTTATGCACAGAGGAAAATCAGATTTTAAATGCCACCTATATTATTGGTGCCTGAGGGATGACACTAGAGAGAACATTTCTTGGGTTTTGACAATTCCCATGTCAAAGCTGAAGCACATATCATTAAACATGAAATTTAGGAGCTTGTAAAAAAAAAAAAAAAAAAAAAAAAAAAAAAAGTCTAGGCAGAATTCCTATTAAAGTTCTGTTTTTTGTTGTTGTTGTTTTTTTTTTTTTTTTTGATTGTTGATTTGATGGAAAATAAGGAGTTACAACTTTCCCCAGGAGGTTCACAGTTTCATTTCATCAGATGATGGACAAAAATAAGAAAGTAAGAAAATTTTATACTTTAATTACCATCATTGCACTTGCTGATAGTATATTTCTTGTGATATATAAGGCATGATAAGATTTTTGAAGCTGGTGTTTCAGAAGATTGAAATTTGAGAAAGAATTTGAGTGATATGTCTATTGGTACAGAGCCTCACCATAAGTGCAGCTATGAATGTATTTTAGCAACAGTGCAAAACATAAAAGACGATAACTGTTCTTTTTTGTATAGTTTGCCTGCTCTCCAGTAAGATTTTTTAAAAAAAAAAAACAATACTCAGATCCTAATCAGTACTAAAACTAGTATCAATATTAGACACTATTTTGAAGTATAAATACTGAGAGAAATAGACACATGGCAGCATCCTTTACTGAATAGTTTTAGCATAGTTTTGACTTATATTAGAACAACTAGTTTTCAAACTGTATTGTGACAACACTATTCTCCACCAGAATTAAAAACAAAAATTGCACTGGCTACTGTCTGCACTGATAATCAAACATTTTTTACAATAAAAAGGCACATATTTTATAACGGCTGGTATAACTGTGCGATGATTTGAAGTTTGAAGGCACTGCAGCTGTTCAGCCACATGTGTGGCCATGTGAGTTTTCTATCACTATCACAGACTCTGATGGCAGAGGAGGTGCTCATTTTAGCCCAATTAAAGCAACATGAACACTTAACACAAATTCAACTCATCACTGATCCTACAGAATGAGTAAATGATTAAACAGACACAGACTGACTGCATCTGCTCTCAAAAGTAAAAACCACAGCCACTGCAGAGAACAGAGGGAAGCGCTAATTGCTGTGGGCACAACCTCCGCAAATCTTGCAAGGGCCAAAAACATTCATCAGATTCATGCTGCTGAGGAAAGAGCAAAAAGTAAAAAAAAAACTGCATGTACAGTGTAAATAGGAAAAACAAGACCATAACAACAAGACCATAACACGAAAATGTACTTTATCTGCCACTGATGGGAATTTTTGTGAGCAGATAAAGAGATATTAGGGAAGCGGTTTATGGCAAAACATTGTTAAACAGGAAAGCACCGGAGATCAATCTCTTACAGCTGGCAGATTTTCACAAATGTTGTCCTAGTCAAAAATATCTGTACATCTGTAAAAAACAACAGTTGGGAACCATATAGCCTAGATAGAATTAGCAACATATGGAATTTGTGTCTTTTAGGTGTCAAATGTCACTGGTTTCATCCAAATCACAGACTTCATACTCTTTACTACATTAATTATTTACAATGTACAGAAATGCACCATCTAGACAAAAGGGTGATCTTGTATAGCTGATTGAGAATATTGCCTTTGTTCAAGGCACATAAATACCTACACAGACTGGAGCACCTGACAACAATAAACAGTCCCTTGCTGTCATTTTGAGCACAGCCTTTCTGCAGTGTCTGGTAATATTAGAGGAGTATTGGTGGATTTGCAGTAACTTCAGCTGCAGTAGACCTTTACATATGAGGATAGCTGACTCACCACAGCAGACTGGAGCTGCACAGGGGGCCCATTTGTTTATAACCATCTCATATTGAATCATCGCCCAAAGAGGTAGAGCTAAGTAAACAGTGACAAAACAAGAGTTGTAATTTTTCCAAGCAGTAAATTTTTTTTTCCCCCTTCCCCCCATCAATCAGGGAAAGCAACATTAAATCTCAATGGGGCAGTAATAGTGGCAAAGAGCCAGCTTAGTGATGTCTGGACAGCTCACTCTGTTATCCTTGTGTGTCTAAATTATTACAAGTGCAAATCGCTTAAACACTTTCCTAATTAAAAGCACAGCATCCACCTGGGAGCCGACACACTGCTCCTTAAATCATCCATGATTGTAAACCAGTCTTCTCGTTGTCATTCCTAATAGATTTCATTATAATTAAATGTCCAAGAACATTGCCGTGGTGCCGCGATAGGGCTTGACAACTGGAGACGTCAGCATCTGTATGACAACCAATGCAGATGGAGTGACATGCTGCAGTTACACTCAGTAAACATGGAAAAGCCCTGCTCCACGCACCTCCAAGCAATAAAAGCAATACTATGTGGGGGAAACGGTATTGCTTCTATTGTTCTTTTATGTAGGCTTGTGTTTTGGGTGCTCACAAAGAGACAGGTGTTTCTATAAAAATCCAGTGCTTTTATGAAATTTCTTCACACCTCCCTTTCACTTTGACATGTTTTCAAAGGGTGCAGTTGTTTTGACTTCTGCACAGGCATTTACAAACCACCTGAAAAGAAGTTATAGAATTAAAATAATTAATAATAATGACAGCCTATTACACTTTAGTTTCATTGGTGAGCTATTTTTGGAGCTGAAAAATGGTCTGAAAAAAAAAAAAAAAAAAAAAAAAACTAAATATTTCTCAATTATGCTGGAACACTTCACTGTGAACAAAAAGTTCCCTGTTCTTTTTAATGTCTCTATAATGTCAGCTGCACTCAAATGCAAATGTTTATAAATGTAATTTAAGGGCAAAACATTAACAACAGAGGTTGAAATCCTATGTTACAAGTTTGAATTAAATCTGTGTTTATCATTTAACTGTCTGTACTATTTGTATTGGTGTCATCATCATTCTGCATTATTCTGTGTCTCATTCATTGGAAAAATCGCCTGACGCTATAGATTGAATATATGTGCACTGATCATAGGCCCTATAGCTCCAAGGAACAGCGCCACTCCAGGGCTTTGTGATCCCAGAGCTGCGTGAGTCACCGCTGTTTTTGCGCTTTCTAAAACCTGCCGACGCTACGGGACAGGCTTCCTTCATATCGCTCACCTTTGTCGGTGGTCCACGCCGTTTCAGACACGGCTCCGTAGCTCCTCAGTGCGCGCTCGGTGTCTGAAATGGATTTCTTCAGCTCCATGCCGGTGCCTCTAAATGTATTCCCTGTCTTGATAGATGTGTTTTACTGTTCCAGCGGTGCTTCAGGAAAAGTTCCGTTTCACCCAGTGACGAGGCTGCGGCGACCCGCGACGCTCTGCATCTTTATCCGAGCTTTGAAGTCTCTGGACGTGGTGTGGATGAAGAGGATTCAGGGAGCATGCGCAGTAAGAACATAGATGTGAGAGACTGGGAGTCACCCACTGACACGGACATGACGTGAAAAAACACTAAAAACACCACAGCAACAAAGCAGTAGTTTACACTACAGAAAATAAAGCATATGAATAACTATAAAGGGTCCATATTATTTTCTGATTTGTTATAATGTTGTTTCCTCATCACAAACATGCCCAGGATTGTTTTGTTTCATTCACGTTTAACACTCAAACCCTGCTGCATATTTAGGCTGATTTCTTCTCTCAAACAGAAAACACTCATGTCATACAGGAAGTGCTCCACTGTGTTTTTAAACTCAATACACCTTATCATTTGCATGATTTACAGATCTGGAATTGCCCATCTCTACTGAACAAAAATAAACTGTTAACTTGAAAACTACAGCTCTATGACATCGCAAGGTTGAACAGAGCATTTTCACCTTTGGAGATAGGCAGACTAATAATGCAAGACATGCGTGAATGAAGCAAAACATAACTCCAGGTCTGTTTTTGATGAGGTAACAACATCATAACATGGCTAAAAGCTAAGAGCGTGTAATATAGGACCTTAACTTCATGTTGAATCTCAAAGGAAATAGTTTGGCTTAGGCCAGACTGTATAGACATAATTACATTTCTAACCAAAAAAGAAGCCTTTAGAGGAAAATTTCAGAATTAATTTGTTCTTCAGTTTTCAGAGATGACTAACGGCCTACATCCTGGGATGAAAACTAAACACATATACTACCCAAATACCGCCTTTTAAATTTTAAATGTGAAACAGTTGTAAAGCATTTCTTAAATAAAGACACCTCACAGATCAACACAATTATAGCATGCTTTATTTATGAACACAAATAATTTAATTCAACTGGACACCATCAGGATTTACCAGCATAACATTGCATTACTACTACATCTATCGTACCTTATAAATAAGAGTATTTATGTAGTGAGTGATAAAACAAATATTCACACTGTATCCATATATTATCAGTTATATAAACACAATCCACTTTCCTATGTGCGTATATATTATATCAAATATGATTTTCACAAGTTAATTTATATACAAATTATAATGTATTGGCCATGTGCGAGTTTGTATGCTGTAAACAACCAAATGCACTCATCTTCACCAGTGTTCATGCACAATTTCAGGAAAGCACCTTTTCATTTAGAGCAGTAAGTCATTAGCTGCCCCTCTACATTTGTTACCACTAGTTTTGTACCACATAAAATATGAGTCATAATTGTCCAGTTTCTAGACAACATCAAATCCTTGAACTTTCACTTTGTTCTGACTGCCATTTATGGCTCCATAGACTTTTCACTTTGCCCTCTTGAAATGCAGTCACGTTGCCAAACAGGAATGATCTGGGAGACTCTGGACCATGTTTTCTGGATTTTTATATAAGCAATTCTGCATCAACTGTATGGTATTTTAATAAATGAAATTAAGAGAAATATGAAAATGTTGAACCTGAGCATTTATATTAGTAAAGTGGTCCGTTGCACATCATGATATTTATGCAACCACAGTGCAAAATTTGAAGAAAGGCAGTAAATATCCTGACTGCCCCCTTCGCAAATGCAGGCCTATAGAATGTAATGCTGTCTTAAACCCAGCAACAAGTTTGATATGGTCAACATTCTACGACCTCATACCCCACGTGTTGTAAGTTTTCTTTGACACAGAGCAAAAAGCAAAACAAATTAAAAAACACCAAGAATAACCACAAAGTACAGCTCCAATTAGTGTTACAATAGTTGTTTTTTGTAAGTCAGTCAACTTTTAGGTGTCAAGGACATTATATGTTTAACTGACACATTGGAAGCACCTTCATATATTTAGCCCAAGTCCTTATGCAGCATGTGTTTGCAAGTTGCTGACAAACATTCTTTAGTAGCTTTGGCTGGTTATTTTTCCTCTTCAGAAGCACTGACCTTGTTAGTAGATTTATCTCGGTTCTGGGTCGTTTCATCTGTGGTGGGGAACATCCGTGAAATAGCTGCAGCTAGAGTGCCATCTCCACTTTGCCGCGAGAAACACAAGAAAGTGGCCCAAACAAATGCACAGCAGCCAGTAAACACAGTCCGCACATACAGGGGCACCAAGGCAAAGTTCAGGAACTGGAAAAAATATTTTAAGAATGAAACTTGCATTCAAGTGAAACATTACAATGATTTAAGCAATAATGATGTGGTCACTACTATGCTATGACCCCACATAAAGCCCATAATGTAGGCTCTGTTGTAAGAGCATCTTACCTGCACAAAAGGCCAGAACATCAGTCCTGTCTGAAAGATAAACTCTGTTAGACTTGACCCAAACAGACAAAGTTATTAATTTATTACACTGTATTATATGCACTTGCCTTGTATGTATTTACAAATTTTTCTCTCCAGTCCTGTGTTATGTCTTCTTTACCCTCTAGAAAACTCACACCTGCAATAAATGGGAAACATTCAGAGATCAGAAATAAGGAATTCAACCAATTAAACATGAACTAGCTTACATTGTTCAATTAGTTTCAACCATCTAATTTGTTAAAAGCATGAGACATTCCTGAATGTTTTTGATACTTAAAGTCATTTACACTACTCACTACTAGGGATATTGACAGAGAGCCAGTGAATGTCATATATACGGTGTTTGTTTCACTTGAGAAACTTTTGGGATAGGGAGGCAATTGTATTGGGGTGATAGACAAACCTCATTTTGTGTTTTCCATGTAATGGTCTCACTGTGTACAGTGTGCCTTCAGTGTTGGGAGTAACGCGTTATAAAAGTAACGAATTACAGTAATGCATTACTTTTTGCTGTAACGTAATGTAAGGCATTACAGGGGAAAAAAATAGTAATATTTTACTCGGTACAAATGTGAGTAACGCGCGTTACAGTGTTTTTTTTTTTAACCTGGATTGAAGTGGTGGGTTTTTCTTCATACAAATTCGCTAAAATCACCTCGATATCAGCAGCGGTGAAACGCCGGAGATGCGCCCTCATAGACCTTCAGGTAACCGCGGACGAAAGGACTGACAAAGAACTCCACGCTGTTTAGACCTGGGTCAGTTTTGGTTTAGACCTGGTTTAGACTTGGGTCAGTTCTGGTTTAGACCTGGTTTACACTCGTCCCTCCCTCTATCGCAGTTCACTTTTCGCTGTCTCGCAGATTTTTTTTTTTTTTTTTTTTTTTTTTTGTGCAATTTTGCATGCCCTGTTTTTTGTTTTTTTTTTACATTGTATGAATGCGTATTGCGTTCCTCCCGCTGCGTCCTGACTGGCCAAGGGACTCCTGTCTCCTGTACAGTACAGTACAGAATGTGTTCAGCTGCCAAATTTAAATACATGTTTAATCTCTAGCAGTGTGATTCTGAAGTGCTGTACGGTTGCAAGTTTTCTCCCCGACGAAACCCACAACGTCGACGAAACGTTCTGCACCGACAAAGTCTCCTGCGCTCGCACCCAAAAGGCAGAGGAAGATGCAAACCATCACACAAAAAGTTGGACTTCTGGACACGCTTAAGGAAGGTAGAAGTTACGCGCTGTAACAGAGTCTTGCACCGGCTCGGGTACCTGCAAATAGTTGCTGAAATCAGGGTCGCGAGCCCGAGCATCAGGGTCCATAAAGAGCGATCGGGCGACAGCAGCTCTTACCTCCGTGAGGTGCGGAGCAGAGCCGCTCCTTTCTCCTGCGGTCACCTTCGAGCCCGTCCCTACAGTGAGTCCTGTTTTAGTCCTAGTTCAGTTCTAGTTTAGTCCTAGTTCACTTCTGGTTTAGTCCTGGTTTAGACCTGGTTTAGTCCTGGTTCAGTCCATATACAGCGCAAAAGTTATTTTGGTGAGAGTAACTTAAAGTAATGCAATAGTAATGTAATGCCTTACATTTTAAATGCAGTAATATTGTAATGTAACGAATTACTCTGAAATGACAGTAATAGGTAATAAATAACGCATTACAGTTTCAAAGTAACTTGCCCAACATTGTGTGCCTTACATATTAGAACCAAAACCCTTTTTAATGTGGCATCAATGTCAACATTCTGTGGGTATAAAAAGCTGGTATTGTCAAGTCATTCCAAGTTCACAATTCAAACGGCCATGAACACACGACGTCACTTAACAGATGAGTAATGCCACCTAGCCATACCGCGCCTTCAGGGTTGGTGGCAGGCAGTCAGATGTTGCTCGTGAACTTGATGTGTCTCAAAGTGTCATCAGCAGACTTGCATCAAGACACAGAACTACTGGCAGAGTTCCTGACGGACCCAGGAGTGGAGCCTCATGAGGGACAGACCGCAACGATGACCAGTAACTAAAGACCTATGCACTCAGACATCGTTATGCAACTGCCACACAGCTGCAGGCTCGTTTTTGAGATGTGAGGGGTACTAGGGTTTCCAGACAAACCATTCGAAACTGACTCGAAACTGACTTTGGTTTGAATGCCAGACGACCGTTGCAGGTGACTCCACTGACACCAAGACACCGCCGTGAATGTCTGCAGTGGGCACAAGACCATGTGACCTGGACAATGCAGCGGTGGTCCACCGTCCTGTTCACTTATGAGTATTGGGTCACTTAGCACAGAAATGATGGTCGTCAGCGTTGCTGGAGAAGGGGAGGTGAGCGATACGCCGAGGTCAACATGGGTTCGCTTTGGTGGAGGAGGTGCAACAGTCTGGGCAGGCATCACCAGTCAGCGCAAAACAGATGTGGTTACTGTAGATGGCTCAGTCACTGCATGTTCTTACCTCAGAGACATCATTGAACCCATCATCATTCCCAATTCCGCCAGCACCCCCCCAACTTTCTGTTCATGGATAATAATGCTCCACCACATCGTGCCAGAATTGTCACAGCTCGACTTCAGGAAGTCGGAGTGCCTCATATGGTACGGTCAGCAATGTCCCCTGACCTGAACCCCATAGAGCACATCTGGGACCAGCTGAAGCAGAGACTGGATGATCGTAGCCCAGCCCCACATGACATGGTGGAACTGCATGTAGCACTGGTGGAAGAGTGGAACACATTGCCTCAGAACAACATCATGAGGCTAGTGAGGAGCATGAGATGTCACTGTCAAGCTGACATTTCGGCAAAAGGTGGAAACACCCGCTACTGACATTGTTCATTTTTGTTACTTGGGGTTATCCTTGTTATTGTCTAAATTTTGGGGGTAATAAATATTAAACTAATGAAAATGGTGTTTCTTCTCATTCATTCTTAGTAATATCAAAGGGAACTTTTACTTATTTCATTAAAATTCAGACCAAATAGGAAAAGCACTCATGTAAATAATAATATCCCTAACTTATTGTGAGTAGTGTAAATAATATAGCCTAAACTACCACTAAATTCAATAGCCTGAAACTGCATTTCACTGTCTCAAAGTATGTTATAGTATTATCCTTTAAATGCCTTTCATGTGGCATCTGACCTGCAATAATCAATGTGAAAAGGCTCCACGTGCCCTCTGTGTGGATATGCTCACTTTACAGATTGACCCGTACACTAGTGCGCTATTAACTACTCTAAAACATATTTCAAACCACTTGAGGTCACTCAGACGGCTCAGCTGTCCTGTCCCACACTGACCTGTGTAGAAGACACTGGTGGCGAGAGGCGCTGCTGTGGTCTGGTCTAGGGCGAGCTTGCGCAGCACCATCCCGGCGGAGTTTCCGGGGAACGTGCGCTCCAAAAACCGCATCCAGAAGAAGTTGAAGTTGCCATGGAAACTGAAGGCTACTATGGCGACGTTCCGCGTTTGGGTCCAGTTGATCTGGTCGCTCCGGGAAAGGCTCTGGTGCATGAAGTCTCCCCCGGCGTACAGGCACCCATACAAGGTGACATTTGTGACCCATGGGAAACGCCGGATAGTCTTAAACATCATCTTACACACCACGGTAATAAAAACAACAACCTCTCAACACACTTAGCTCCTATTATTCCTGCCCAATTCGATCATAACGTATTCTCCGTTGAAACGTCTCACAAACATACGCAGCGACTGTCGCCTAGTCTTTCGTGTACGCCTACCGCTGCGAATGATCTCGTATGAAGTGCATCGCTTCAAAGTATGGACATGGCAATGGCGAAGAGTCTATTATAAAGTACTCTGTACTCTTTGACCGGCTGCTCTACTGTCCCCATGGCTGATGGTGCACCCCTATGCACTGCTATGCCTCTACAGCGAGACTTGGTGGGCGGGGCCCCACGAATACAGTAAAACTAAACCCTTTCTAGCAGCTTCCAACCTGTTTTCAACAGAACTGGCATTGAAAATGTTGTAATGCACAGCAAAAGACTAACTTTTGAAAAAAAAAAAAAAAAAAAAAAAAATTGTATGGCGCAAATTAATAATAATAATAATAATAATAATAATAATAATAATAATAATAATTAGGGCTGGGCAAAAATTTAAAAATTTAATCGCGATTAATCGCATGAGTTCGAGCGATTAATCGCGATTAATCGCATGTTATACGCAAAACCAATTAATGAATTAAAAAGTAGAGAATAGCGCTCTTTTATTGGAAATGTAAATGAAAGAGATTTGTTGTGCAAACAGAATTTCTTTCACAGGGGAACCTCAGAGCCTTCAAGGTATTCAGGGAAGGCTCAAGAAAAAATATTGAATGGACGTATGGACTACTAATATATTTATTGAATATTTTTTATGCTGTGAGTAATGAACACTACACTAGTAATAATTTCTAGATCAGTGTTATAAACTTGGACTGATATTTCTTAGAAAACAAAGGGTTAATATAATGGAACGGAAATGGACCAATCACATTTTTTCTTCCAATTTTATCTGGGTAAATCAGTTACTCCAGCACTGAACTAAAGAAATAAGCTCCGCTCAGAGCCAGTGACCGCGGCTGAACCCGCGGCTGAGTCCGCGGCCGAAGCCGGAGCCCGCGACCAGAGCCCGCGGCCGGAGTCGAAGCCTGCGGCCGAACCCGCGGCCGGGCTCGCGGCTCGCGGAGGCTCGGGCACGTTGCATCTCACGTGGTCAGAAAAAAGTGAAAAAAGTGTAAAGAAAAGACGTCAAACTTAAAGAAACGCTCGCGGTGGACTTTTTCAAAATAAAGCCAGTGAGAAACAGACGTTTACAATAAAATAAATAATAAAAACTGCGTTAACGGCGTTAAAATAATTGTCGGCGTTAATGACTTAATTAGTTAACCCAAAGTTAACGCGTTAACGTGCCCGGACCTAATAATAATAATAAAAATCTGATCATTTTATTTCATAGGCACGTGAAAGAAAATTTAATTTCATAGGCCTATGAAATAAAAATGTTATCAGTTGGTAAAAAACAAAACATAAAACGGACTGCTTTAATGTTTGGCACTGTTTTCCTGTAATTGATTGCAGGGTTTCCGATGCCATTCTAAACACCAAAATTCAAGTAGCTAAAATGGTTAAAATGCTTAAAAAAAATCTCTCTCCAGTCACTCGTTTAAATCAACAGGTAAACAGGTTTACCATTTGTGATTTAACATTTTGAATATTTCATAGGGAAAACTTCAAAATGTAATTTCTTTGTTACCAAAATGATATATTTGTTGCTGTGTAGCATTTAGATTATTGGTAAACTTGGGGATAAAAAGTTTAAGCATGTCCAGTGGTCCAAAAACACACTGACTCACTCTTGGAGCATCACTATAGTTAGATCTTGTAATTATTAACTCTGTAAAACTTTACAATAATATTAACTTTGTGTTAAACAATATCAGGATGCCATATTAGTGGAAGGCACTATACAATGTGCCTTTGTCTGCACCCAAGACAAAGGCACGTTGTATAGTAGTAGTGCACCTAAAATCATTTGTTCATCTTTTCAAGCACTTTTAAGTTTTTCTTTGTCAAGAACGTTTATTTACATACATGATCGTGTTCTCACATATCAGACTGGAGTTCTCCCCTGGGCCAGCCAGAAAGTAGAAAATAAAATAAAGGAATACACATTGTTCATCAGCTATAGGCCTTGACATAATTGGGTATCGCATTGTACTTGAAAAGCACATTGATGTTACCACTATGTGTAATAACATGCAACACCTCTATTTGGTAGAAGTCTCACTAAAATAAGACACATTGGAAACATTGAACAAATACAGCAGGCAATGCAATTCCTGTGCACCATGAGCTGAGAGGCAACAGAGGCTTCATGTTAAGGTATTTGATGAAACAGAATACAGTACATCTATGGCTGGACTGTCCGTTCCCATTCTCCTTGTTCTGTCCTGTGATAGAGCTGTGGTTGTCCTGATGGAAAGAGACTCTCTGAATTTGGATGGTCCAAAATGAACTGGATGGTTGACTTCATATGCTGGACAAAGTGAGGTGGTTCAGCCTTGGGAGAGGTTGACAGGTACTGTGTACAAATAAAAATGTATTTATAATTATAGTATATATATGTGTGTACACCAGCAATATCCAAAACCAACATCAACCATACATTTAAAATTGTGGCATCTTTTTGTGCTAACCAGAAACCAATTTCCAAATTCGGAGACCACTTGCAAGGGCCAATTTTGACTAAGCCTTGGCTTGAATCATATATTTCTGCCATCTGCAACATAACCAAAATGTGTAATACAGCTTTACCATTGTAATACGATTGTAAAAATACTAAGATAAGATGTATCAAGCATGGCGTTTCTCTACCTGTCCTCCAGTGAATGTTCGTGCTGAACGTAGTTCCTCTGCAGGTCCTTTACAGGTGAATATAGAGGGGAACACGTCACCTGTTTTTACATTCACGCCTGTGAAGAATCAATAATGACATATGATGAGCCCAGCCTTTCTTTGTGACACTGTGGCTGTATCTTACCTATTCCATACACTGCAGGTCTATGAATCCCATTAACAACAGTGTCGTTCATTTCTGCAAAACACCTTTGTCAGTGATCATGAATATGTAGGAAATATTTAAAATTTACTATAGTTACCTGTTATGCAACATGTCTCAAGATGAACATTTTCTTTTTGTTTATGAAATGCAGCTGTAAATATAAAACCCATTTGCTTATAATAGTATTGCTTGTAACTTAACATAACATTTAAACTTACCCAAAACGTTAAGGCTTAAATTATCAGATGTTTTTGAGTCATCATTGAATCCCCCAACTAGATGAAGCTCTAGTCTAGACATGGCACAGTAATAATGCACTTAAATTAATGTCAATACAACCAGAAAACTGGAAACTGAAGACTGAAGACCATACCTGCCGTCTTTGCAGTGGTGACTAAGTGACATCACAGTTTTAATAATAAGTTGAACTTCTGCCCAAGTACTGGAGCCATCCAAGTGAGCAACACAAGCTGCTCCACTTCCTAAGAGAATGTAAAGAAGAAGAAGAAAAAAAAACATTTTAAAATTATAATACATACTATTCAAACATAATGGGCTAATTAACCTGTGTGTCGGAGAGCAATTAAATGACAAGTTGTTGCATCATCTGATCCAATGACAGAAACATATTCTGTAAGAGCAAAAGAGAAGAATATTTAGAATAATTTAAATAGCATGATTTTGTCCTGGGGCTTGTTCTTGTTTTAAGTTTTGTTTGTTTGTTTGTTTGTTTGTTTTAGAAGTTTGTGTGTTTTGTTTAACTTACGGTCTGTTGGAGTTGTTGCAGCACACTCTCTTTGCTGAACATATAAGAAACATTTTGGGTCCACATCCACAAGTGGCCTGGAACGAAACTGTCTTGCATTTTCCTTGAAAACAAATTGACGTAATTTCCACAGGTCAACACGGTATCTTCCAATGCAATCACTGAAGCGTTTAGATAAATTAATTGCTAATTACAGATGAAATATGTCACAAATTGCATAAGGCTTTCCTTTAAAACCAGGAAGTCCCTTCAGATAATCTTATCTACGAGAGATGGCTAGAACCATTATTTATGAAGCCCCAGATGGTCTATATTACTTTGTTTGTATTAATTACATTATTTTTGGGAGACAGTTAAAGTATATGCAGTATATGTATATAAGTATATTAGACAAACCTGTAAATGCGGATACTTCTCATACAGGTCTCCTGTCGAGCGTATGCGGTCAAGCCCTTTATTTTGAATCAACAAAGGCATGACCTTACGTCAAGTCCACTTCAGACTGTTACTGTACTATCTGTAAGGCTTTTAGAAGACCTTATCAACTAATCTATGGGATATAATATGTCCATTTAACTCTCAAACAGGGCACATTACATAGATAGAACTAACCCAGGGCTTGCGCTTCCAGGAAAGCTGACTTCTTTCCTTCCTATGAAAGCCTTGTTTTTGCTACAACGCCCCGCTGCGGCGAGGAAAGGCGAAAGTGCGTAAGTGTGATTCACTACTGTAGTTAGTAAATATTTGTGCGTAGTGACACTAGACCAGGAGGTGTTTACGCTACATTCTGTTTGACGGTACGTTGTGAAAAAGGGCAGGCCGATTGTGAGATTACAACGCTCGTCGCCTTTTGATGCGTGATAAATACCATATTTGCAAACGAGCAGGTTTATTTTCGATAATTCCCGATAGAAATTGCGAAGTAACTTATTTAGAATTTGATTTGTATGTCAATGCACACGTTACATACGCACTGAATTCACGTAAGTAAAGAGTCGAACGCACTCCGACCAAAGCTAACGCTGCAAAATGCGAGGTGGCTCTTATGGAGACCGAGACAGGGACAGGGACCGAGACCGCGGTCGAGACAGGTAAATATCCCGTTATTATGCATCCAAAATATTAATAAGACCATAGTTTACCGTTAGACATTTTGAAATACACTGTGATTCGCTAATAATGATGACAATGCAGCTACCATCTGTATTGTTTTTCTTCATGGGTGGGTAGGCCTCAACATGCATGACTTATTCAACTTATATCAACTCTAGGTCATCATGCAGTGTGCTCTTAACTTGGGTTATTTATTTTTATTGTATATATTGGTATTGATTGGTATTCATATATATATATATATATAAATAAAATGTTAGCTGTATAAAGTTTAGGCCTAATCACCTGACTTGTTGTTTAGAAAAAGAAACATTACCAAAATATTATTGAGAATAATGATAATAACAAGCATAATTCATTTATTCATGTTTTTAAATCTAAATAAGCTTTTTTCCCATTTTCTGACATTGTACTTATTTCTACACAGACCACGGTTTGGGGCACCAAGTGGTCGAAGCAGTGGCCCACCACCTATGAAGTTCGGAAATCCAGGGGAGCGCCTTCGTAAAAAAAGATGGAACTTAGATGAACTGCCCAAGTTTGAAAAGAACTTTTACACTGAACACCAAGAAGTACAGCGAATGACTCAGGCATGTGTTTCCTCTTCATTCTTTTAACTATTATATACGTGATTTTAATATTTTTCTTTTGGTCTGAAATACAGTACGATGTTGAAGAGTTTCGCCGAAAGAAGGAGATCACACTTCGAGGCTCGGGATGTCCACGGCCTGTGACAGCTTTTCACCAGGCCCAGTTTCCTCGTGAGTAATCCACATGTGTGCATGAGGCCCTTGCATAACTAAAAAAAACACATTAATTTATTCATATAGGTGATTAGTTTATTGTTTGTGTGTAGTAGTGTATGACTTGTATATATTTCTCTCAATTTGTAGAGTATGTAATGGATACACTGATGCAGCAAAACTTCAAAGAGCCCACATCCATCCAGGCTCAGGGTTTCCCTGTGGCTTTGAGTGGCAGAGACATGGTGGGCATTGCTCAGACTGGTTCTGGAAAAACACTGTCCGTAAGTACATAAGCCAAATTTTAAGAAACATTGAATAGTGAAGTGCATAATATAATAATATTCTAACATATTCTTTTTGATGTATTTTAAGTATCTTCTCCCTGCTATTGTCCACATCAATCACCAGCCATACTTGGAGAGGGGTGATGGTCCAATTGTAAGTTCAAATGGAATAAGGGGTAAAAATCTATCTTTTTGGGGTGATTCACTTTATAGACCTTTTTTTAGTGTTTGGTGCTTGCACCTACCAGAGAGCTGGCCCAGCAAGTCCAACAGGTTGCATATGACTATGGAAAGTCTTCACGGATCAAAAGCACTTGTGTCTATGGTGGAGCACCCAAAGGACCGCAGATCCGAGATCTTGAGAGAGGTAAGTATTGTGCACACTTAGATTGTCAATAAAAGTATACGAGGGATTGCACAGAATTATGTTTAATATACATATATTTACATAATAAATATTTCTTCTTTAGGTGTGGAAATTTGCATTGCCACCCCTGGTCGTCTCATAGATTTTTTGGAGGCAGGGAAGACTAACCTACGTCGATGTACGTACTTAGTGCTGGACGAGGCCGACCGCATGCTTGACATGGGCTTTGAGCCTCAAATTCGCAAAATAGTGGAGCAAATTAGGGTATGTAACATTTATTCACAAGCTTTTGAATTGCACTGTACCATATGGTGGTATTTAAAGTGTTTATTGTGGTTCGCAGCCTGACCGACAGACCTTGATGTGGAGTGCAACCTGGCCAAAGGAAGTTCGACAGCTTGCTGAAGATTTTCTCAGAGACTACATCCAAATCAACGTTGGTGCCCTAGAGCTGAGTGCCAACCACAATATCTTGCAAATAGTGGATGTTTGCATGGAAAACGAAAAGGACAACAAGTAAGAAGAACATGCTGTTTTAACAGATGCTTGGGATCTCATGTGGAATTAACAATTCCTTTGTGCTCACTTTGCTTAAATTTTAGACTTATTCAACTTATGGAGGAGATTATGGCTGAAAAGGAGAACAAAACCATTATTTTTGTAGAGACCAAGAAGCGTTGCGATGATCTAACTCGGAGGATGAGGCGAGATGGGTGAGCATTGTGGCAAAAACATCCTAGCCAGTTACTTTAAAGAATGATTTTGATGTATTATTTGATTACAGTTGGCCTGCTATGTGTATCCATGGAGATAAGAGCCAACCAGAAAGAGACTGGGTGCTCACAGGTACAGAAAAAGACAGTTTTGTAAGAATCCTTCTATATTTATTTAATTTTATCAATGCTTATTGTTTACTATACTATTTGTAATTTCACAGAATTCAGAAGTGGCAAAGCCCCCATTCTGATTGCCACCGATGTAGCTTCACGTGGTCTGGGTATGTCTTTATGCACAAACTTACAGGCAAATCAAAATTGATCTTATCTGATATCTTATATAGCAATTATATTACTGATAATGGTATTTATTAATATATACTAGACCTCAAATGCTAATGTAAACAATTGTCAACCACTTAATAATAGTTTTATACAGTTTCCATGAGTTTGTGTTTGGTAAGTATAATGGACAAAAACATCTGAAGACGACTGAAGTCCTGCCTGACTCCTAATGTATTTTTAAAATGTGGATGATGATCTTCGTATCTGCCGTGAGAAAGTAATGCAGAATTTGTGACAGTGCCCAAGGACCTTATGGTTCACTGGATTTCTAGTCTGTTTCTTGTTACTGCAGTTCAAACCTCCTTCACCTGGGGCTCTTTGGCACGCTGCCCAAAGGAGGGGTGTATGGGGCAGAAGCTCCTGTGCACCTTTTCTTGTCTCCATGTTATAGATACAAACTGCCTAATGATACCTTTGCTTCAGTTACACATTTACTTGTATATGATTTACTTGGCGTATTTCCAGTTTTTGTTTTCAATGTCAGTTTTAGGCAACTTTATTCTGAGAAGGGGGGCAGGTAAATTGTTCATGGCTTGACACAAAGAATTTGACGTATTTTCTTTTTTCCCCTCTTCTCCTCTCAGGGTTTGGCAGCTCACTGCAGCTGTAACTCTCTGAGCTGCTTTCTGCCCCCTCAGTCATGCTAAAGTAGAGGCTTGGCTAGTTTTAGGGGAGAGTTTAAAGCCCCTCTTCTGTACTTCTTGGGTAACTCAGAGCCCCCCCTGCCCAGTACCCTCAAAGTTTGTAAATCCAGCGAGCCTTCCTTTCGAGAAGCCTGAGGGTCCTGTATGTCTGCCCACCGGCCCGTCCCAAAAGCAGACAGACAGGAGAGCGCGTTATAGAGGGCTCGTCTGGATCCAGTCCTGGTCCAGGGTCTGAGGCGGATCCCGCAGTGCGACGAGAGCAACAGAACCTGCCCGTGTTCTGCTCCCGTCAGTCTCCTGCCGCCTCAGCCCCACCTATCAACCAGGACTGATCAGGGGGGACTGGCTACCTTTGTAAAAACAACATGAAGGGGGTAAGTACCGCAACACCCCTTTTCTCTTATCTCCTCTACAACCTCAGCGTACATGCAGCTACTTCCATCACGCCTGTATATTAGTCCAATTTCATCACAGCACATTATGTTACTGAAGAAGGTAGTGATGAAATGTGAAATGAAGGTGGAGGAGACTTGAGGAGACTGGTTATGCAGTGTTGTCAGAGCCCCACACCTCTGTAATGAGAAACAGACATTCTGATCAGCTGTCACATTTGCGAGTGAATCAGGTCATCCTAAACTAGACCAAGACTTGTTATACTGCAATTCAATTAAGCAGGCAAAACTTTGTCTTTTAATCCATATGGAATCTACATTACTTTAATGTCATATCATTGGCTTGGAGATTGTTTGAAATGTGATGATCTTCACAGGTAAGTTGGCTCAATAGGATTCATCATTTTATTTAATAAATTTCCAGGTTTGTATTACAATATCAAGTATTTATTATAAAATGCAAATTTACATGTAGTTTTAACATCTCAATTTTCTGCTAAAAAACAAATGTAACAGATGTGGAGGATGTCAAGTTCGTCATCAACTATGACTATCCCAGCTCCTCTGAGGACTACGTTCACCGTATAGGACGTACAGCCCGCAGCACCAACAAAGGCACTGCCTACACGTTCTTCACTCCAGGAAACCTGCGCCAGGCCCGAGACCTGGTCCGAGTGCTGGAGGAGGCCCGGCAGGCCATCAACCCCAAACTGCTACAGCTCCTGGACTCAGGGCGGGGAGGAGGAGGAGGCGGTGAGGAGTACCACCATAATAGTGCGTGTACTGGTGACATGGTGTTTTTTGACTATTAATATTTCTGTCACAGGTGGACGCATGCGCTTCCGTGGTAACAATTCTAACAACCCCAACCTCATGTATCAAGAGGAAACTGAGCGCCGCATGCGCACAGGTGGAGCTGGCAAAGACGGACGCAGCAGCTTCAGCCGTGACAGCCGCAATAACCGCGACGGGGACCGCTCCAACTCCTCTTCTTCCTTCAGAGATCGAGACCGTAGAAACAGCTTCAACAACTCAGACCAGTACAACAACTACAACAGTGGTGGCGGCAGCTACAACTCCCGCAGTGGCCCACCAGGGGGGGGTGGTGGTCCGGACCAACCCAACCAACCCCAGGGTCAATACAACCAGCCACCCCCACCTCCACCCACTGGAGCCCCACAGCCTCTCATGGCTCAGCAGTTTCCCCCACCTCAGCCCCCCCTTATGGGCTTCATGGGCCAGCCTCCATACCCCTTCAACGCCCCACCTCCACCCCCTCCAGGACCTCCACCTCCTCGAAAGTAACTCATTATTGTTACTCATTTTGTTTTGTGTTTCCAGTGTATCTTCACTTGTATGCCCAACTATTTTGTATTATGTAGTAGTAAGGGCTTATATATTTGTAGTTATTGTTTCTACTTGTTTCTTCATCCACACTGCCTACCTGTGTGTATGAAAGCCTTGGTTGTCAAATTTTATGTGAAACTTTGTACTATGTAAAGTAGTTGACCTCCTCAGAGAAGTGTATCATGGGTGTGCTGCAGAAATCAGTTCTGATCAATATTCTTACATTCCAGTGTTGCTCGTCCTTATCTTTTTAGAGTCAAATTTGTACCTGATTACCTGAAAAAAGGGCAGTAACTTTACATAAAAATGTATAAAAATGCTTGTACTAACCTGTACTGGCTCAATTCTTTTTACACAATCAAACCCTCTGCTTCAGTTTCCCTTATGCTTTACAATTAGATGCCACGCATGCCTTTCCAGCTTGTTAATGAAGCTCTGTTACCTGACTTACTTACATGCTACTTGTAATACTAATAGTTTTTGTAGTTTTCTTTCCGCAATAAAATGTGTTAAATGGAGCTGTGTCTTGGCATTAAAAACATTTGATCATATTTATAGTAAGTTAGGAGTCCCATTAATATTATTTTGCATACACATGCACTTAATATACATTTTAACTGTGGACCATTTGATGGCCATATTCTCACAGCAATGTACATTGTATGAAATTAAGATAATTTTTTTGCCTACTCTTGACTTGTCCAAAGTGGTTAATATGGTATGCTGTTGCAAATTCTGCATGAAAAGTTATTGGTTACTTATAGCAAAGCATATCACAATCTCTGCGTTCTCTTTATTTCTTCATCAGGGGTGTCAAAATCTCAAAGAACATTTTTTTAAAGATATCCCATTTGTTAACGTTAAAATATGCATGTATACAGTATGTACAGTTCCAGGCACATGTGGTAGAATCAGGATAAAATAAAAACTTCTTTGGGTCAGTAGACAATAGGCAGCAATGGAAAGTCAACATTATACTTCATATGTTGGAAACTGAACATGCAAAAAAGAAAAATAGAATAATTACAAATCAAAATCCTGAGCATACACATTATAGAAAAAGTGCAGAAATAAAAAAGATTGTACTATAATTAAGGAGTGTGATATCCCTTTACCATTGTCACACATGGTCCCTCAGGAATCCAGCCCAAATAAGTGACATAAAATACTAATCTAAATGGTCAACAAAATTGTAGTTTTTCAAAATATCAGTAACATCAGTCATACATAGGTACTTCCAGAACTTTGCACCTTTATATTGTTTAGTGAAGATTTAGAAAGAATAATTTCACCAATTTATAATGAAACTTATAATTTATATTGTAATTGTAAATACATTACATGCTTTAAATTCCAGCATTTGTTCATTAAAAGCATAGCTCTTTATGATGGAGAAAACATCAACTATAATTTGGGAATTTTTAAAAGACAGCCGGTAAATTCACATAAAATGGGGAACAGTTTTTCTTCATCAACATAAAACAAGCCTCTGCACATGATTTCCCCAAGTCTCCTTGATTAACATAACTTAACTGAAAGGAGAATCAATGAAGGAAGGCACAAAGTAAGCACATGACCAGAATTGAACAAGTGGTCATTAAAAAAATTTAATAAACATCTTAAATCTCTTCTTCAAGTTTCTTGTGACCTCTTCATCTCAAAGATTGCCCCACGTGTTTGGAGGAGGGAAGTGATCGACGTCTCCGGATACGTCATAAAAGTTTTCATTTAAGTTAAATGTGAGTTTGTACCGCAGTCGCACTTTCTCCTGAAAAACAAATGTACAGGTCAACAGTGATATCCAAAATGGTTTTCTTAGGAACTTTTGGTGTAGGAGCTGTCGTTTTAATTTGGTTTTCTTTTCAAGTTAAGTACATTATTTTGATTGTGGGTATTTCTTGTGTTCTAATTCAAATACAATCTTAGCAATAATAGGACCTGTAAAATGTATTTAAAATGTACCTTTTGAGGATTTGCTAACAGCAGAATCTGTGTAATGGCAGCTGGAGGGAGAATGGGGTTGAAAGCTGGAAGTTCAGTTGCAGTTGGCGGTTGTAGCTTGACCTTCATAATCTAAACCACAAATACACAGATTTCAACTAATATATACAACTTTTTCCAAATCCCACAGTCCAACATAATAAACATTGTTCTTCTATGCTCTGTTATGAAACACACATGTATTCTTTACCAGTCCACAGCTTTAAAAAAAAAAAAAAAAAAAAAAAAAAAAAAAGGATTTTGGACCAGGACAGTACTATCTTCCTGTTGTAGATGACATTTTGAAGACCCTGAGGACTTTTGACCATTCAGAAGATATTTTATGTTGTTTTGAATGTTAATAGTTATTATTCACCATATCTCCAATTATTTTTTGTTATTTTCATTGGGGATATATCATGAAATTAACACATTTTATTTATTTTTTTTAATTGACAGATTAACGCATGAAAATTAGGACTCTATATTTGTCATGTCTTACCTTGGGTACAGCTGCCTGGAAGCGGATACTGGTAATAGGAACAGGGGCTGATGATAACATAGAGATGATCACAACAAGCACATCTGGGCGAGAGGGCGGACAGTCACGGGCAAAAGTAAACAACACTCGAAGACTGTATTTATCCATTACAGTAACAGGTAACAAGGTACCTGAAAACAAGAAATGCAAATACTCAAATACTCAAAAATAGATGAGAAAAACTAAAACTTTACTGAGGTAAGGTTTAATTACTGGGTCTGACTGATTCCAGAGGGACCATGACATCAGATAAAGAAATACTTTGTTGGGGGTCAATCGCAGGTATGGACACAGGTGCTGAAGTAGTGATGGACTGGTCCAAAAGTGCAGATGTAGAGGAGCCAGGATCAGTTGTGGAGTTCGCCATACTCTGTAAATCTCTCAATGAGACCTTACTGTGGGTCTGAATTTTATCCCTATTTAAAAGATAAAGGATAAAATGGCTCAACACTTCTCTAGCCTTTAAGAAAAAAAATGTTCAGGAATAAATATATGAAAATCAGAGAATGTTTTTAATCTGCACAATCTGTCTATACATAACTAGCTGCCCTGCCATATATAAAACTTTTCTTTATAATACAAACTTTAACTCCTTCAGTCATTTGAATGAATTTGCTTTACTACACAAGGCAAGCCACAACTCCTAAATATTCCAATGTGTTAAAACCAGATTATTGCCATTATTCACTACAGTTGTCAGTAGTTTTAATGCTATATCAGAATATTTTATGTTGTTTTGTACCATTTGACCTGCTGACTCTCAGGCGGTAAGGACTGCTGCAATAGAGTCTTCCCCAGTATGTCCAAGTCATCCAAAGCTTTGGCCGGTGCACAACCGCCCTCTACTGGTGCTACTTGTACTTTCTGGACTGCAGACGGGAGCAACGCTGCAGTTGGGATAGGAGTGGAGTTTTCTGGACAACGGTGAAACTAAAAACAAGGACACATTTGCTTAAGTTTAACTGACTTACAAACTAGAGGGAGATACAGAATTATACTAAAGCCTACCTGAAAAGTTGTGTGGGAATTCTCTGTTACATTTAGACCTAAAACAAGACAAAGCATTCTTTATGCGACATAAAATCTTTAATATACATTTTATTAATATTAAGTGGGAATGGGATTTGTAAATAAATGTTTATAAAGGTTTTTTTTAAGGCTGCGTTGCAGGTTTTAGAATAGGTTTTGCACATTAGCCAGAACCAAGTATTTTTTTCTTTCTTTTGGTATACACAGGTGCGCCCTTTTGAAGTCTGAATTCATCACTGCAGGAGGGATACCCCGGGAAGCCAGAACAGCATCTAATAGTTGAAACATGTGCTTATGCTGCTAACCAAACTTTAATTACGTATAAAACATGAGGTCAGTAATTCACACTGAGCTTTTATGAGTCAGACAATTTGCTGTTAATGAGTTGTTGTTACCTAGTGACATGAGTTCATCGTCCAAAAGGCTGATGCCCATATTCTGGGTCAGGGTCTCCAGGTTGAAAGAGTCTGTGCTGGTTGGTGCCGAATCAGCCAATGGATTTATTCCTGCCAGATCTAAAAGTGCTGAATTGCTGTTGACTAACATTGGTAAGACCTATGATTAGACAGGTTTAAATGAACTATGTATACTGTGACTTTGTATTGTACAACTGAAATTACCTTCTTGTGATTGCGTTACGTCATCTTTGTTAATCACTTCACCTTTTACCAGCTGCCTGTACATGTTTATAACTTGAGTCAACCTGTCATTGGCCTCCAATATGTCACCTAAAACAGAAAAGATAAATGCCTTAAACTAAATTAACAATTACCATCACTATGCTTTGATGTTTGATGGCTCTATCTATACACAGACATATTCCAGTTTAAAGGTGCACTGCGTAACATCAGGTGGCTGCTTGCCAGATTTTGCCCAACAGTAATGCATTAAAAATGATCTATATAGCTTTTTTGCATTACAGGTGTTTTATTGCTTAAAAATACCTTGGAAAACACAGATTTGTAAGTAAGGTCACCTCTCTGGATATAACCTATAACTTGGACTTCTACTGGAACTAATAGTTTAATCCCACACTAACAACATTCTAGACAAAGCAATAACATCTCCACTGAGGCAATGGTGGCCAACCCTCCACCAGTATGTTACATAATTCACATTTAAGAAAAAATGTGCTTATATCATTAATCATTTCATGTGTCAATGTATAATAAGTACCCAAGAGTAGATTAAGTAAGTACATATACCTAGAGCATCATCACTATCTTCAGTGTCACTCGCTAATCGGAAGAGCGTTGGCCTCATTTTCTCACAACGCTGGTAAAGATCCTGGAAACCAAAAAATGATACAGATAGTCTGATATATTATTTTCTCTTCAGTGTCTGTGTGCAAAGCGTGGTTTAATTTGCTGAGCAGTGCAGACCTTAATGAGTTCCTGGTTGCTCTGAGAACTGCTCTCCTTGCTGTAGCCTTCCAGCAGCTGGCTCAGCAGGCTCACACTCTCGTTCACCTCCTGGATGGCATTAACTCTCTTTGATACCTTTTCCACACGCTTCTGATCCTGAACACAGGAAAATGCTTTTGACACATTTACCCCACCGGAAATGTTTTCTGTATTAGTGTTTTAGAAAGGTGTACTTTTTGGGATGGTTAGTGAAAATTAGAAGTTTAATTTAAGAAGTAGTCACAATATCTTATATGGTTCAGTCTATACCAAAACAATAAGATCAGATCAAAGTTAAAACAGAAAGCTAAATTAAGTTGGCCACACTATGGGTAAGCTATAGAGATCAACTTAATATATGTATTTCATAAAAGCCAATAATTATGCCAATTATAAAATCACCATATTTTTTTTGACATAGCAACACCCTTAGCATTATTTTGGACCACACCCACCTCTTGGACCATTTCCTTAATGAGTTTGTTTGCTGCTCTTAAATCATCAGGGTGTGTGCTCTTCAGTAATCGAGACAGCGCCTACAAAAACAGGATAAAACATAGGTACAAAAGAGGAAGAGGTTTTAGTAAACTGTTTACCTAAATGTAATTTCCCAGGACAAAGGGCAAATTTGGAAATAAAAAATCTCAAATTTATCACGTAAAACATTATTTCTTTTGAGTTTCAAATGCAGAAGTAGTGTTTTATTTTGTATATACAACAAAATCTGTTTCAATAAAGACTTCAACCAGTCAAAAATGTGGCCTTCTACCTTTGATTTCTCTTCATCATCAAAAATGGCACTTTTGGCTCTAGGTGGAGGTGGTGGGAGTGGCTTGTCATCAGGAAGTACTGGATCCTGCTTGACAATACCTGGAAGAGAACAGGAACACATTTAACTTTAGCATGGATACACAAACTCTAGGTCTATATGTGATTTAAACGTGTGAGGTTACTACAAGTAAGAGTTGCTGTCTGCATAAACAGCTTGTGAGAGTTCAAATATTCAACTGTACTATAGACAGTGACTGTTCAATCATGCACGCTTCTTACTCATGTATCACTCCAATAAGAAGAACTGACACAAATAGACAAAACATAGAAAATAATTTCCATGAACCTAAAGTGTGAATACATGTAACATTTAAAATACATAAAACAATATTTTAATGTATGGGCTCACCCTGCTTTTTCAGCATGTGATAGGCTCTGAAATTTTGGCCTCATCTGGGAGCATTAATGTCCAGCTGTACATGATTTCTATAACCTTCTTCTTCACTGGTTCTGGTGCCCGGGAGCCCAAATACTGCAGAAAAAAATAAAACTTATCTACCATAACTTGTGACAAACCCATAATAATAAATGTGTTATTCATGTGGAATTAGTATTGATTAATTAATATGCAACATTTACAAGGAACATCTAGTGTATTTCTTTGGTACATGTGTAGAAAGAAAATCTGGTAACAAACTAATTTTGAATATAAACAAAATGAGTGTCTATAATTGTCTATAATTTAGATTATTGACAATTACCTTGGGTGATACCACCTTGATGAGCTCATTGAGAAATCTAAACTTTCCTACTTCAGAGTGAAATTTCTTCCCACAGTTTTTCATGCAGGTCTCAAGCACCTGAAATTATAGGTAAATATTGTTGACTAAATAACAGTGGTTACCTGAGCTACTTATTTATTATAAGTAGAGTGCCTTACTGTGAGTGCTTGCATAGCCTCCCATTCCTGAGGAGATTGGATTTTGTGAGCCAGAAGTCTTGTTGCAAGCTGGGGTCTGAGAAAAGAATATATTTAGAGTCATTACAAATGGTTATCGTATATTTGTAGCAACACTGTGTGCATCTTAAAATAGGACCTACCCTTCAGGTTCATTGTTGAGCTGCTCACAAAACTCTTTGATACAGTTCCAATCTGTCTCTTTATTTTGGGGGCTAGTAGCTGCGTCTGCATGAAATAACAATACACATTTCACACACTTAGAACTGATTGCGTGATTTTAATATCGGCTTTACACATTGTATGGCAACACTGAACATTTCTTTTTCAATTTCTACTAACCAAAGTCTCTCTTAAAGGCTGTATGTCTCCACCCTAAGTCAGGTGGTTTGTGTCTGTTCCTGGTTGTGAAAAATACCTGTCTGCGAAGGTAGCCGAATATTTTCAAAATCAGTCCTGGCTTTTACGCTGAAAATAATCGTATGCCATTGACAATTGCACTGCATGGGGGTTTAATAGAAGAATACAAAGCAAAATCACGGAGTTCTATATCTGAGACTGCTGCACTTTTTGATGAGAATGACTTGGCTGCCTCGTCAACAAATATGCTGCAACTGTGAGATCTAACAAAGTGTCCTCCTAAAGCGGCAATGAAACTAATCCCGGTGTAATGTGAAAAGGTGTCGCTACGGCGTAGCACTTAAACAAACATTCAGTGCTGTGTGTGGTGTGTTGACTTACTGATGCGAGACTGAAGGCTAGCCTCATCTAGAGGCGGCGCCGCCATCTTTGCCAAATACTAAACAGTGCCAAATCCCGCGAGACTTTCAATTCCTGTTGCGATTTTTTTTTTTTTTTTTCATCACATTCTGAAATAATATGTGAACCAATACTTCCCACAATAGACATTTTAATGAACTAATACGCAATATTAGTATTAGGAATATTAGGATTTTCGCGTACATAAAATAAATATGTAATGCCCATAGATTATGGTAATGGTATATCAGGGTGTTCAGAGTACGCACTTTAGACCCACCCTCCGTTCAGTGAAGGAAATACAACACAGAGCGCTGTGGCTTCTGGGGCAGTACAAGAAAACGTGATGCTCAGCAACTAAGAAAATGTGTTATTTCTTCTGCTCAAATAGGATTAGTTTGGGACATCTGTGTGCAATGGGATGCTGTTGCCACAGAATGCTGCCGTGAATTGTAAAAAGTGTTCATTTAAATTACTGGGCACTACGTAAGAGCCTCTTATTGTTTTGTTCTTTCTCTAAACAAGTAGGAAGGAGTCGTCTCCACCTCTTTACAGCAAACTGAGCTTGTTTCTGCGAAGAAAACTTTAAACCAGCGAGAAAGAAGCGGTGTCCTGCAAATACATGTGTCCTGCCGCGAAGTAGCAGCTGCTGAGTTGTCTACTGAAGTTTGTTGGCAGTTTTTTTTTTTTTTTTATCGACAGTTCATTATCAGCCACGTTAAGGCCGTGCGTATGGACAAAGGTCTGTGTAATATGCAGAGATAACTGTAGGTATAGCCTCGTACAGTGAGAACACACAGGATGCACTTGAAGACGCGGCTAACACGGCTAACCATGCTAGTTTTACGTGACTCAGTCAGTGTAAATGAATGTAACGCAGCGGGTGTTGTCTGCTCCCTGAATCGGTGCTGATGATTCGCGTCTGACTGGAGAGAAAGGACTTCACACCGTCCTCTGCCGCATTTGGACCATAACTTTGACCCGGGGCTTGGATATTATGATTTTATGACAAAAAATGGGGTCTCTGAAGGCGCTTCAAGAGTGGTGTCGGATACAGTGTGAAGATTACCCCGATGTTGTCATTAAGGACATGTCCACGTCCTTTCGGGACGGCTTGGCTTTCTGTGCTCTCATACACCGACACAGGCCAGATCTGATGTAAGTACTCCCTGTGATAACAGCTGATATACAGAGATACAGTGAGCGACTAGTATCTAATAACATACTGGTGAATAACGGTGTAGTAAACAGTTTATGCCAAGAAAGACCATAGGGTTTACAACATACAAAAAGAGACCATAGGTTATAGGCTAAAGCTAACAGAAATATTCTTCAGTTGTTGTATTTTGGTTTGTGTGTTATCCAGTTATGTTAGTCGTTAGAGTCGTTTTTTTTGCAATTATATAACCTAATGTAGGCCTATCACAAAAGATACAGGGTAGGTATAATTACAGCTGCCAAAACTTACTTCTCTCTATGGAATATATGATGTTATGTGTTAAATATTTGTCATAATTGCCTACTTGTATGAGTATGTAGCAGTTTTAGGCCAATGTGCTGTTACTAACCCAGTTTGACATGTTGTGCCCTGTCTATAACAACACACCCCTGCACTGTAATCATCAGACAGCTCAGACACTCACAAAAATCACAAAAACACAACCACACAGGCATATTTCATCACATACCAGGATTAAAATAGTTTATGTTATGAATGGGCAAATCAGTGTCTGTAATTTTGTGTGTATGTTATCTGAAATGTGACAAACCAGGAATGCAAAGTGAGAAATCGTTAAAAGTACAACTGAAACTAGCAACACAAGAGGTGAAGTGACCCATAGTCAACTCCTGCAATTCAGTATGTACTGTAACTGTATAAATATCTCATAGCGGGTGTCTACACGAAAGGGTGTGATTTTTGCATTTTACATGGATAGCATTGGGATTAACCAATGCTTTATGTGGCAAATCCCATTAATTTGAAAGGAATTTATTCTTTGATATTATCTGAAAATGTAGCATAGACCATAAAAGACCATAAAATGAACAGTTACTAACATAACTTCAATGTGTCTTCCCTGTTTTATACTTAATATAATTTGTCTGTCGTAAATAACGATCAAACAAATCAACAGACTAACTATGATCCAAGCAGACAGCATGTCAGTGTAATCTGTGACTGGGACCTTGGGCTGTCAGAACGGTTTTAGCTCTAATGTTCCTGTATGAGGCCACTATACTGTAGTAGCACTCAAGCCGATGTATTTTCATCACAGTACATTAAGCCATGCAGAGTCAATATAACTGTAAATGTCTCTGTCTAAACTGCTCATCGAAGACCATTTGTCAGTGATTTAATATAGACATAATGGCTTGGTTAACATATGGGGTATTGCATAATGTACATTTATCCTGTACTACTATTTTCACTAATCCTTCTATTAAATAAATCCATTTTAAATCAAATCTGTCCAGTGCTGCAAATGTGGTCTGGTTAAGAACTGTGTGTATTTGTGTAAATAAATATTCAAATAAGAAGTATCCCAATTTAGATGCACATTTCAAAGTTAACAAACAACGTAGTCATCTAAAAACAAATAGAATTGCTTAAATTGCAACTGCATTTCTTCTGAACATTTATCTATACAATATTTTGACTCTAAGTGATCAATAGCTTAGCAACAGTATTAATATTGCTATAGCTTCTTCAAATGGTATACAGTTACTGTTAGGCTACATTTTTACATACATAGAGATTTAAAATAGCCTTAGCCCATGTGCTGTTTAGCTGTCCCCATTCCCAAAATAATCTAGAGACATGAGTTTGCTCAACACTACACTCTTTCATCTATGTCTCCTGGTACTGCCTATTCAGCCAGATTCACTTTGAGTCATCAAATGTTCAGATATTTTCCTACAGTTTTCTTCATGTCAAGGTGGACACAGTGGAGCAGGCATTCTTTGACATGACCTTGATATCAAAGCTGCTGGTATGAGTTTGCGGACCATGAGAACGAGATTAAGGGAACAGGGGAGGCTTTGTCCGCACCAACACCAGACTCATTCACTGTTTTTTCCTCCTTGAGAGCTCCACATGGTTGCCGCTGACTCCCACAGATGGGGCTGGGCCCTTTTGATTTCCATAAGTTATGTTATTATTAAAGGTGCACTATGCTAACTTTCTGGTAGAGGGTCTGTCACTTGCACTTACAGCATGGTGTAAAACATATCTATCTCCATGGCAACAAACAGCCAACACCAGGCAAAATTACAGGTCTGTTCTTTGAGAGGTGGCCCTACTTAGAGTAAGAATAATGCAGTGAGAGTAGCGTGTACTAAAATTTCTAGAGAGACAAGCAGATGATGCCCTCCCTACTAGAAAAGTTATAAAGGGTGTTGTTAATATTAATTCATATACGCAAACATACAATTAACAATAAATAAATACGTTGGTATGTAGACATAAATATTACTAAACGTAAATAAGTGTAAACCAAGGCTTGAACAAAAGTCTTTTCAGCCTGCACAAAATGTGCTTAACAAAAATTTACTCCACCTAACAATTAGAATCTGTAAATTTATTTTATTTCGAGCTTATGACTGAAAATGTGACTTCTACCTTTAGTTTACAATATTTACAGGTTTGTTTCAGAAAGGACATGAATGTGTCCAAACAGTTTCACACTTCTTATCAAAACCCTCATCCAAACATCAACTCAGGACTTTTTCAACTTTTACAGCAGGATGTTTACTGCTGGAGCTGGAGCCAGGTTCCTTGCTGCGGGCCGTTTGTCAGAGCACCGCCTTGTAATTATGAGTCTGTCACTACTCTTAGCACCAGTAGCTTCTTTATTATTGTTCTTCCATTATTTATGTGTGGTCAGGGATTACACAGATCACCCACACATCATTGTCTTGTTTGGACATTACAACATTTTCATCTGCAACACTGAAAGAAAATTTTTATGATTTGGGTGATTCATAAGACACATGTAAATAGGTCAGACTTCAAAAACACATTAGGTCATGCTGTTACTTTTTTAAAGTCAGTTATCTTTTTTTTTTTTCTTTACAGAGACCTTTCTTCTTTATCCAAAGAAAACGTCTATGAGAACAACCGACTGGTGAGTCATTTACAAGTGTTGATCAGAGTTTTACAAATGTGGGGTTCAAGCATGGTTGAGTGGAGCCCCAATATTCAGTACAGACTAGTGTTGACTGAACCATGTAACCCTTGCATTATAATAGGGCAAACAAGCAATAAAATGTATAGATAATTAACATAATATTTTGGGAGATTATCTTCCATAGCAGGATGCAGTAATGATGGAGGTGCACTGTGTTACCTAATGTTTGTGAAGCTTTCCCGAACGCTTGTATAATCATAGATGAGGAAGGAAGACAATTTACAGACTTTGAAAAAGCTGTCTTTTGACTAAAATGTTAATTGAAGATTTGAGGCTCAAAACTGCTGAACTTGTGCTTGTAAGAAAGAAAGGGACTCATGAGTAGAAACAGAATTAAAGCCGCGCGCGGCGATGGTGGCCCTCGCCCCGGGCGCGCACCGCCCCCCCCCACGCGACCTCCGGGGACTCGCGACCGCCCCGGCACGCCACCCTCTCTTCCCTACATCCGCCCAGGTCGACAGCTCGTCCATTAGACACATTAAATAATGCACCTTTAAATGTTTCAGAGGAGTCATTGCGCCCCTACTGGCCAACCATGAAAAATGCCCAATATCCGTAATATACTGTTTTTGTTTACAATCATGCATAGAATTTAATCCCCGACTTTGGTACAAATCCGACAATGTTGACGTTTCATGTCAATGCTAGGGGGCGCTATAGTGTTCACATTTCATATTTCATATGTTTATAGTGTATTATAATCAGGTCGAAATCAGGCATGAGTGATTCAAATTTCAGCACGATCGGACTAAGCCTGTGTGTGTAATTATTTTTTAACTATTTTTGGGGGGTAGTCTTTGCGCCCCTGCTGACCAACCGTAAAAAATGACTTTTTTGCTTGTAAACATGCATAGAATTTAATTCTCAAATTTGGTCCAAATCCGATAATGTTGATGTTTCACATCTATGCTAGGGGGCGCTATAGAGTTCACTTTTATTAAATTTCATATTTCATCACATTCAGGCCTGGATCACGCAATTGTGATTTGAATTTGAGTTCTCTAGGACAATGCCTGTGGCCGTGACAGGTCACAGAAAAAGCAGGAAATGAAGGCGTTATTCGCCGGCGTGCTACGGGCGAACTGTAAGGAGTATCCCAAAAAAATTTGGCAACTTCTGTGAGTTCATGTCTGTAGATGTGACATGTCAAATTTGAGCTAATTTGGACCAAACCCCGGGGACTTGAATCTTTTTGTAGACCCCCAAGTCAAAACGGCGGCGAATGTTTGATCCAATATGGCCGACTTCCTGTTCGTCATAGGGGTGCAGAATGATTGACTTTTTTTGCTTGTAATCATGCGTAGAATTTAATTTAACATTTACAGTGAATTTTTACATCACTAAATATATCGGTGATTATATCGGCAGCGCCAACTCCCATTATATCGGTTTCATATCGGCCACAGCAAAATCCATATCGGTCGGGCTCTAGTTTGTAATCCACTTTTTATGGCGTTGTTCTGTCAGCTTTTCCCATTTCTGACCTTTGTGGACGACTATCTTCGGTACTCTAAAAAAATCGCTTTTTCCTTCTCTCGGTTAGAACAATTGGCACAGCCGTAAACTGCACAACACATCGGCATTTCCCTCCAGTCGGTTCACTTCTTGCCCTCCATCTGATTTTGCGTGCTGACAAACGTCGCCCTGTAATGTCACGTGAAACCCAGATATTCAGAATTATTATTTCCATGTAAACTCCAAGGAAAATATTTTAAGTCCAAACAATTTAATCCAGAACAATTAAAAAAACATCATGTGAACGTGGCCATTGTGTTCTAACAGTGAGTTTTTTAATCATTTCAATACCAGGTTTAACATTTGTGCGTTTACCTTTTGGATATTTCGTGGCAAAGTACAGTGTGATAAAGAGTAGAGGGGTGTGCAAAAATATTGAAATATCGATATATCGTATCGTTTAATGTGATGACACAGTATCGATATTGTGGGCTGCTCTATCGATATATCACCAAGAGTATTTTTGGTTTATTTTACTAAATGATTTTGTTACAGCTACAGTTTCGTTGTTTGTTTAGTGGAAGGAAACTCGTTTGACATTTTCGCTGTTTTGAGGATTAAAATGTTTGTGTTTCATATGAACTTTGCACAAGAAGTGGTTTAACAAAGATTTTCCATGATTTAGCCTTTTATTTTTACTGAACCGTATCGAATCGAAAGCGCACTGTATCGAGGTTTGTCTCATATCAGTGACTTCTTAACAACACTCGGCCTCAGTCAACAGGGAAACGTGGCTCTTGCCCCGTCTGGGAGTATGACATCATCACATTCTAGAACCTGAAAACCTCCCAGTTCCATCAGGTTCACGGCGCCGATGACATCATACATGTAAAGTTCCATAAAGCCTTGTTACCATGGCAACTCCGGAACTCAAAGCTAAACTTCAAAGCTTTGTGGGCTTTAACTCAAAGCTTTGTTTGGCCTCGGGGAGATTATAAGAGTAGGCAAATCGCAAATCACAAATCGAAAATCACAAATCGCTTAACGGAAAAGGCACATTTAGCTGAGCTTGACACAGAGCAAATCGTACAAAGATTTCAAACAGTAGACTTCACAGAGGAGACTTTACAGAGTAGATTTCACAGAGTAGGTCGCACTTTTTATCTGCGTAACAGTAAGTACAGCAACACTTACAAAACAACTCAATTATAAAACAAAAATGGCCAGAAATAACAGAGGAAATATACCCTTGACCTTAAACCATGACCTTAAACTAAAGAACTGTGGTCTTCGTGTGATAAAGAGTAGAGGGGTGTGCAAAAATATTGAAATATCGATATATCGTATCGTTTAATGTGATGACACAGTATCGATATTGTGGGCTGCTCTATCGATATATCACCAAGAGTATTTTTGGTTTATTTTACTAAATGATTTTGTTACAGCTACAGTTTCGTTGTTTGTTTAGTGGAAGGAAACTCATTTGACATTTTCGCTGTTTTGAGGATTAAAATGTTTGTGTTTCATATGAACTTTGCACAAGAAGTGGTTTAACAAAGATTTTCCATGATTTAGCCTTTATTTTTTACTGAACCGTATCGAATCGAAAGCGCACTGTATCGAGGTTTGTCTCATATCAGTGACTTCTTAACAACACTCGGCCTCAGTCAACAGGGAAACGTGGCTCTTGCCCCGTCTGGGAGTATGACATCATCACATTCTAGAACCTGAAAACCTCCCAGTTCCATCAGGTTCACGGCGCCGATGACATCATACATGTAAAGTTCCATAAAGCCTTGTTACCATGCCAACTCCGGAACTCAAAGCTAAACTTCAAAGCTTTGTGGGCTTTAACTCAAAGCTTTGTTTGGCCTCGGGGAGATTATAAGAGTAGGCAAATCGCAAATCACAAATCGAAAATCACATATCGCTTAACGGAAAAGGCACATTTAGCTGAGCTTGACACAGAGCAAATCGTACAAAGATTTCAAACAGTAGACTTCACAGAGGAGACTTTACAGAGTAGATTTCACAGAGTAGGTCGCACTTTTTATCTGCGTAACAGTAAGTACAGCAACACTTACAAAACAACTCAATTATAAAACAAAAAATGGCCAGAAATAACAGAAGAAATATACCCTTGACCTTAAACCATGACCTTAAACTAAAGAACTGTGGTCTTCGAAAGCAAATTGCCAAAAAAGATGAGCACAATGAGCGGCGATGGTGGCCCTCGCCCCGGCGCGCACCGCCCCCCCACGCGACCTCCGGGGACTCGCGACCGCCCCGGCACGCCACCCTCTCTTCCCGACATTCGCCCAGGTCGACAATGACGCATTAGTGATTCAAATTTCAGCACAATCGGACTAAGCCTGTGGGTGGAATCATTTTTTAACTATTTTTTGGGGGAGTCTTTGCGCCCCTGCTGGCCAGTGGTGGAAAATGCCTCATGTCCGTAATAGACTTTTTTGCTTGTCATCATGCATAGAATTTAATTTCCGAATTTGGTCCAAATCCGATAATGTTGACGTTTCATGTCTATGCTAGGGGGCGCTATAGAGTTCATTTTTCATATGTTTTATAGTGTATTATATTCAGGCCATGATCAGGCATTAGTGATTCAAATTTCAGCACGATCGGACTAAACCTGTTTGTGTAATACATTTTTAACTTTTTTTGGGGGGAGTCTTTGCGCCCCTGGTGGCCAACTGTGAAAAATACCCCATGTCCGTAATAAACTTTTTTGCTTGTCATCAGGCATAGAATTTAGTTTCCGAATTTGGTAAAAATCCGATAATGTTGACGTTTCACGTCTATGCTAGGGGGCGCTATAGAGTTCACTTTTATTAGATTTCATATTTCATTACATTCAGGCCTGGGTCACGCAATTGTGATTTGAATTTGAGTTCTCTAGGACAATGCCTGTGGCCGTGACAGGCCTTCGAAAAAACAGGAAACGAAGGCGTTATTCGCCGGCGTGCTACGGGCGAACCGTACGGAGTATCTCAAAAAAAGTTGAAAATTTCTGTGAGTTCATGTCTCTAGATGTGACATGTCAAATCTGAGCTCATTTGGACAAACCCCCGGGGATTTGAATCTTTTTGTAGACCCCCAAGTCAAAACGGCGCCGAATGTTTGATCCAATATGGCCGACTTCCTGTTCGTCATAGGGTCATGCTCCAATTCATCTTTTGGCTTGTCTCATTGTTCTCTATCACTGTCCCGAATTTCGTTTCCCTGCGACAAACTTTGTTTGTCCCTAGTCCCATAGGGATCGAATTCTAGGTGGCGCTGTTGAGTCGGGTCACTCGGGTCATTGTCGCGATGCCCATTTTATCGAATTTTTCGCCGGGCCGATCAATCTGGACCCCGGTTTGGGGACTTTTCGTCCATGTTCAGGGGGTCAAAAATGCGATCGTTTGGTCGGAAAAGGGAATAAAAAAAATAAAAAAATAAAAAAAAAGAAACCGACGAAGAACAATACCCCTCGCCCCTAACTTTGTTAGTGGCGAGAACCGACGAAGAACAATACCCCTCGCCCCTAACTTTGTTAGTGGCGAGGGCCAATTATTGACTTCTTGAGGGAAGCAGCTGGACATGGAAAAATGGGAGTGTCCCCTATTTCAGCTTGAGCTAAGCATTTGCTGGAAATCCATGTTTCTCTGTCACCTAATTGGACTCCCAGTTTTTTACTAAATGCAATTTTTAATATATTTTTTAGTTTTAATGTCAGTTTTGCTGAGGCGCACTTGTAACAGTGAAGTGCTTGTATGGAGGGTTTTTTTTTGCTTTTTGAGCATAACTTTGTGGAACAGAGTTGGTTTGCTTTGCTGTGTAGCACATAACTGTGAAATCAGTCTGTGTAATCAGAAATGTATTCACTTCAAACTGCAGAGAAGGGAACTGGACATTTACTTGAGAATCCAGCTGCTTTTCTGTTATATCATGGTCTCCTTATGCAAAGTATACATGCGAATCCCACATTGCATCATGCTGTTATGTAACATCAGGTGCTTTATCTTCCCTGGAATTTTTCATTAAACTAATAGCTATTCAAGGACAAACTATATTTAAGAAACAGGTCCCCGATGTTTTGGAAGCACTAGGTTATTTCCTTATGCACATTATCTGTGTGATACAGTAATTTTCTTTCGTTCTCTACTGTGATTATCTAAACTACCTGTCATTTGTGTTGATTGCAGGCCTTTGAAGTGGCTGAGACACAATTGGGAATTCCAGCACTGTTGGACCCAGAGGACCTGGTGTCTATGAAAGTACCAGACCGACTCAGCATCATCACCTATGTCTCTCAGTATTACAACTTTTTCAACAACAAATCCCATGGTACGCAAAATTATTCAAGCACGTACCGGTGAAACACAGTGATGTAATTATTAACATAACTGATTAAAGCAGATCTAAGTATATTGTTTACCTCATTAAATGTCTTTGTAAGTCCATGTAATGGTTAAATAATGTATTTAACTTGCTGCTGTCACCATGCGGGAAACCAGCCTAGCAATATGGCGCACACAACCTGAGGAGTGTTCACCTGGGAAACCCTGGCTCTTTTTTTATATTTGGCAACATTATATGATTTTTTTTTATGTTTACACTGTTTTATTTCAATAAAGCTGCAAGGGGGAGCTCTATCACTGAAAGTTTCTTAGTTCTTCTGTCATTTAAAATGTATACTTTTGTTTTCCAACAGCAAATCCTCCCTGTATGAAGAGGCCGAGTCCTGTTGGTCCTATTAGTGAACTCGCCCAGATGAAACCTGCATTGCCGTTAGATGAGAATGAGGTTAGCCTTAACTCCACTAATGGAAATTACATTACATTGTGCAATTCCTGCTTTCTGACTTGTGTAAACAGATCTTCATTAGAGTAGCATGATTCTATTGCAGCTGCATGTCAACAAGTTGCATTTTTTCCAGAGAATTTATTGTAATCTTGGCTGGAGTTGGAGCATGTTTTTCAGAATAATCACTATATCTGCATGGGCTATTGTGGGGGTATTAAGTCACTGAGCACTGTACAATACAAATCCCATCCTGTCATTTGACTTAAACAATATCTGCACATGTGGCTGCTAATGCCTACTTCCTTGTTTGGGCTTTGTGTTGCACAGTGGGGGCAGAGCAGAGCACGAGAGGTAGAGTAAGTCTATAAAGATAGCCTCTGTATCCTGTCTCTCTTCTCTATCCTCCATCGTCATGCTCCATATATGGGCTTGTCCCCTTCCTCCTGGACTCCCCTGTTTCTCTCAGATGGAAAACTGTCCCGCTCCATCCTCTCCACCCACACATCTGACCCTCCCTCCTCTCTTTGGTCCTGGGCCTAGGCAGTAGGAGGGGGTGGGGGTGCAGAGGAGTTGAAAATCTATAAGTTTTTCAACTCCTCTCTGACATACTAATCCGTTGTTATTTAGATTTGAATTGATTTGGTTTGCTGTAGAAGATTTGAATTGATTTGGTTTGCTGTAGAAGTAGCTAGCTAACATACTGATCAAACCATATCCTCAAATCCTGACCTCATGTCTGATCTCCTCATCCTACATTGCTTTCCATTTCCCCTCTCTCCTGTTGCCGCACCCCTCTTCACTGGGACGTCACTCTCAGCAGACAGGAGCAGAGGCCAAGCGCAGCAGCCTGAGCAGCACCTGCTCTGTCTGTAACAAACATGTTCACCTGGTGCAGAGGTTTCTCGTGGACGGAAAGCTCTTCCATCGCAACTGCTTCAGGTGAGCTGCCTCATGCTTCAATACAGCAATTTTATACCTGCACCAAACTTCACATGAAAAGAAAACTGAAGAACATACACTCATTTAATTTGGTAAAACTGGTTCATTAAAGGCGCAGTATGTAAATTAATGTTTAAAATATGTAGATGTTTGGCCTAGAATATTCCATAAAATGTCAATCTAAGTTTTGTGGAGGAATTGTGTATGCTTAACTGGTTATTTGTGTTGGTCTTTTAAAAATAAAAGAACATTTAGTTAAATTTAGTTAAGATATTTAAAAATAGGAATATGTCTTCAGTAAGCTGCCATACACTGAGGACAAGACACTAACAAACATTTTATTGTAGTTTTGGCTATGCAAACATAACATCTATTATTATTATTATTATTATTTTTTAACAGTTTTGCGTGAAACAGTTTTTCTAGAGCATTTTTTTTAAATCATACACTATACCAAAACAATTATTATTCAGTTTCACCATGTACAACACATGGTGCATAAATTATTACCTTTTGATCTACCAGGTGCACTGAATGCCACAGCACGTTACTTCCTGGATCCTACAAACTGGTGAGCAACTCTGGGTCCTTGGTCTGCACGCATCACTTTGCACGCCATGGTTTGTCCAATCAAAATGGCCGACCAGATCTCAGCAAGAAACCAGAACTGAGCGTAAAACCTGTTATAGTCGAGTCTGTCAGGATTGGTCGCAGTCCTGTTCCCTACTCTTCTTCTGTATCACGTAAAACGGATGAAGATTTAAATAGTGAAGAAAAGACAACCCGAGACACTCCAACCGTCACTCCTGTTATAGCTGTTGAAGAGAACTCTATAGAAAAGGGAGGTGTAACAGACAATGAGGCAAACGCTCGACCTTCGACCCCTCCTAATCCATTTGATGACAGTGATGAAGAGGAGGAAGAGGATGATGCTGTGAAAGAGGAGCAGATAGAAACACCAGCACAACACACAGTCAATGGAGATCTGCCCTCTGCTCCTGTCAGTCAGTCTGAATCTGTGAGTCGACCCGTGCCCGCTCCGAGGAGGGTGTCTGATCCCACCCCGCCTCCTCGACCTGCCCCCCGAGTCCGGCTTCCTCCCTCTGCAAGTCCTGCTACACCGAGTATGCATTTGATCCCATTTCTATCAATTAATTTCAATGAAATACTTTTTTAAGAGCGATTTGACTTATGTTACAGGTGAACCACAGAAGCATCTTATTCCACCAAAACCTCGAGAAAGATCACAGTCTCCAGGAAGGTAAATTTATTTATGTCACTGTACATCATTTTATCATTTTTTGTCTTTTACTCAATTTGTATACCCTCTCAAATATAATATAAATTCAAATAGTTTTACAGTATACAAGAAAAAGCCTATCTAGCACTGAAATTATATTATAAATAAATAAATAAATATATATATATAAATATATATATACACATACATATATATACACACATATATATGTATGTATGTATGTGTGTGTGTATGTATATGTATATATATATATATATATATATAATATTATATATATTAGTGCTGTCATGCGATTAAAAAAATTGATTAATTAATGATTGATTAATTATGATCTGTAATTAATTAATCTAATTAATCTCATTTTAATCTCACCTAAAAATTGCTGAGAAAAGCCTTCAATTTGAGGTATTTTCATTTAAATTCATTATTACATTATTGTGGCAGATCAAAAGACTGATATAGAACAAAAAAAGTGACTTTATAAAGTCATTTATTGTTTAACAAATCTGTCCAAATTGGCTGTTGAGCCCAAGTCTCCATGAATAAGAAACTGTTTGCTGTAAAGTAGCAAAAACGAGGAAATCTGAACATAATAACTTTTGTCTACTTAAAGACAATAAAAAGTCCAGTCTTTCCTTAACCATATTAAAAATATTATTGATAGAGAAATGCTTTATATATGAGATCACTGGTTTTAGTCCTTGTTTTAGTCCTGATTTAGACCTGCTTTAGTCCTACTTTAGTCCTGGTTTAGTCCTGGTTTAGATTTTAGTTCTGGTTTTAATCCTGGTTTAGTCCTGGTTTAGTCCTGATTTAGACCTGGTTTAGACCTGGTTTTAGTTCTGGTTTTAGTCCTGGTTTAGTCCTGGACTGGGTTAGTCCCGGTTTTAGTCTTGGTGTTAGTTCTGGTTTAGAGGCGCACAGAAGGAAGCGAGCTTTACGCAGCGTACGCGAGAAAACACGATCCACACGCGGCTCACGGGAGCACGTCGGTGTCCGTGCAGTGTCTATGGAAGGAAACATGGTCCGCGCGTTCTCAGGTTAATGACGATGATGAAGGTGTGTGTTTGTGTGTGTTTGTGTGTTTGTGTGTTTGTGTGCGTGTCCCCTCGTGTCGCAGGTCACTATAGGACAGTAGTGCAGACATCATGAGCCTATGCAGGTTGTTTTCACCAGTGACATTTAAGTTGTAGGCGATATTATATTTGTTATTTTCTTTTAAATTTCACATCGGGAGAATAATTTCCAAGACACGAATGCGTTTTTACCTGTGCACTGCTGACTCTGTTCTACCGGCTCTTCGACCTCGTCCACTGTGTGACTGACGCCGCCAACGTTAACATGACGTTTACATCGCTCTTACTGCGCGCGCCTTTTGTGTGGGTTTCCGACAATGAGTGGAATTACCGAAATAAAAAAAAATTTATAAATGTGTTTTTATGTGTTGTTGTCCCAACAACACATAAAAACAAATTTTATAATAAAGCAACTCACATACAGAAACAGTAAAGTTAGATTAAAAATGAGATTAACGCGATTAAAAAACATAACGCGCTAAATATGACTGTAATTAATTAATCGCAATTAACGCGATAATTTGACACCCCTAATATAATTATGTTGTGTGTGTGTGTGTGTGTGTGTGTGTGTGTATGTGTGTGTATATATATATATATATATACATACACACACACACATACATATACACATTATATATACATTTAGTGTTTACCATCCTACTTGTAACTTCATGGTGTTGTCTGTTGTCATCCCAACTTGTGTGTCTTATATCTGTAGTCTGTCTGGTGGTTCCCAAAAATCCAAAGACCCGCCATGGCTTGCCCTGGTTCAATCACAAGAGTCCAAGAAGAAGAAAGCCCCTCCCCCTCCTGTCCCTGGCCTGGCCACCCCCCCAAACTCGGGCTCTGTGTCCTCTCTCAAAGGGGACGACTCCAGATCCAGCACTCCACCTGTCCCTGCCAACCCGTTCGAGGATGATGAAGATGACGTGATTGAGGAAGAGGAGGAGGTTGGTGATGAGAGCATTCCCTCCACAGTAGCAGCAACTCATCCCTGGTACAGTATCAGGCGGGCAGCAGACTCACCTGCAGTGGACGCTTCCCCCAGCAGAGGGAGTGCATCTCGATCTGAGAGCCCCGCAGCAGGAAAGACCAAGAAACGACCGGCCCCCAGAGTCCCACCACCACCATCAACCTCCAACCAAGGTTTGGCTTTAGCAATGTTCCTATGTTGTACATATGAATACTGAAGACTTAGACAAACATTGGGAAATTAATTGGATACAGTAGCTATAAATTCCAAAATAATTAGTAAAAGTAATGGCAGACTAGTGTCAAATAACGCATAATTATACAAATGTATTATTTGTACAAGTAAAAATTTAAAATTTAAAATATAGAAATATAGTACCAGTAATACAAATATATCTCTCAGCTATGCAAGAGGTAGCAAGGAGAAAACAATACAAACATGAAATAATGAGCTCCGTATGACTATATGTGGGACAGCTATTAATTTTGCCAGAAAAGCAGCAGATGAACATTAGCTATTCTCCTGTACCTACTTTAATTAACCCACACAAGTTCATATAATATTTTGAAGTAATATTTCCTTTCTTTCATCTACTTTCCCTCAGCCCTTTCCCCCTCTCAGCCCTCCTCCTGCTCTGCCTCTCCAGCCCTGAGCACAGAGAGTCTTTCGTCCAGCTCAGAACAGCGCTCAGCTGGGGGTGCCAGCAGTGACCAGGAGCAGACCATCACCAAAAGCACCTCAGAGCCCTCCATCGCCTCTCCAGACAACTCCACAGTATGCTCTTTAAACAACCATCAGGCTTCTCTCAGTCCCAGTCCTCCCCATGTACCTTCATACACCAGCTCAGCACCAGCCACTCCTCAAGCAGGCCGCAGTTCAAATGGGTCTGGAGCACCAAGCCCTCTGGCCTCAAACCACAAGGTGACAGAATTCAATCAAACCTATATATACTAGGTGGTATACATTTTTTCTAGAGATACCACTGTATTTGATGTCCAATATTTGTCTTACTGTTGTGACTAATAACCAATAATTGCTTATATCAATATTAAAATCTGTAGAAAGGCCTAATCATTGTACATTTTTTATATTTGTAAAAATTGATGATGATGTACAGCACTTAAGATGCCATAGGTTGTTGTACATGTGCTATATAAATTCTGTTCAGTGTAGTATAAATCCCTGTGTCTAAAACTTCCATGCGGTATGTTGGGAAATAAATATTTTTCATTCATTCTCAGACTTAGACAAACATTACCCACAGCACAACTGATCTGGACTCAGTAGCTCAAAATATATAGTATAAAAACAATTTGTAACAAGCTTTCATTATACAGTTATATACTATTTTATATACTATTTTTATTGCTACTTATTTAAAATTTATTATTTGTTAGCTGCTGTGTCCCTTACAGATCAATAAAGTTTGTCTAAGTAAGCCGTAGTTGTTGGTTTGTTGTGTGTGAAGCCATATAATGTCTAATTTGTGTTTAAACTCATAAATTCATTGAAATATGTTAAATTGATTGCTCTATTTTTAGCGCATCTGCAAGGAGAACCCCTTTAACAGAAAGGCATCGCCATCAGCAGCAAAATCCAAAGGGAAACCACCAAAAGGCCCACGACCTGCTAGACCTCCAGCACCCGGCCACGGCTTTCCACTCATCAAACGCAAAGTAAGAAAGCCTTTTGGCTACAAAGTTCACGTTTAGTAAATCTACTTTTGTCAGACTTAAAAGAATTATGTACAGGTGCAGTCAGACCAGTACATCCCAACTGAAGACATCTATGGAGAGATGAGTCAACTGGAAAAACAACTGGACGAGCTTGAACAGAGGGGTGTGGAGCTGGAGAAGAAGCTACGAGACAACCCCAATGGTATGTTATGTATTATGTTTCACGTGGAATGGGAAATTTTGTTATATAAAATTTATATTGATTTTGTTTATATCCTTCCTATTATTTTTCCCAGTAACCTACTCTTGTGGCACTAAAACTAGATTTTTTATGTAGGCCTGGACGATACTTGAATTGTATCTCATTCATATGACAAGCTGCTATTTTGGTCATATTGTCATATTGTGATTCACTATTTCTCTATTTAACACAGCTGTCTGCAAAATACACAGACACTTTTCTCCAGCACTCTAGTTGGCTAGTCTCTATAAGACTCTAAGTGAGCAACAGCTGGATGTGAAATTAATTCTTTGCCATTTCACCCCCCTGTATATAAAATTATTGTCAATGTCTGCAACATTTATTTACCAACCAATTACTGGATTATCTACATTATACTGTTAACTTTTCAGATGAAGATGAGGAGCACTTGTTGGTGGATTGGTTCACCTTGATCCACGAGAAGCACCTTTTGGTTCGAAGGGAAGCAGAACTTGTTTACACGTAAGCACAAGCATCAGACTGTCTATTTGATCAATACTAAATAAATATTCATATTTTGAATGTTACTATTTTGTGTGATTCAAGGGCTAAGCAGCAAAATCTGGAGGAGAGGCAAGCTGATGTAGAATATGAGCTGAGGTGTCTGCTCAATAAACCAGGTAGAGTGTACATTTGAGTGTTTTAAAGGAGAAGTAATATGCAAAATACATTTTTAAAATCTTTTAACTATGCCCACTGCTCTGTACTTGCAATATCATCGTGTAGCTGTTTTGGCACAAATAAAATGGTTCCATTGGTTGTTACCATGAACTGTTTATAGACGAGTCAGGGAGCATGATCCGGGAGCCCTGCACTTAGTTGTAATGATGTTTACTGTGATGCACTATAGAGTGACCAAAATATAAAATAATGATCCATGGGTGTTATGGATTATAACTACATAGCAACCAAAAGCATATTGTGAGCACATTTTGGGATTACTGTATAAATAGTAACTCCATGTCACTTTTTTGTGCAGAGAAAGACTGGACGGAGGAGGACAAGGCCCGGGAGCAAGAGCTAATGGCTGAGCTCGTCACGATCATCGAACAACGAAACCAAATCGTCAACACCATGGACCAGGACAGACAGAGGTAAGGAGTACCCCCTCGAAAAACAGATTCTTCATTTCAAGGGATTTATCCTCTTTATAAATAAATGGTTTCCTAGAGTACTTTAACTGCAGTATAAATACATTAGATATTATTTTTTTGGGCTCACTGTTTATCGTGTGTCTCTTTTATATGGCACATTGCCATTTGAGCTGCAGATGGTCAAATAATTAACGATGGGCTACCTGATTTTCCAAAATGTTAAATGTCTCTTCCAGGGAAGAAGAGGAGGATAAACTTATGGAAGCCATGTTGAAGAAAAAAGGTAGCATTCCTATCTCTTTTTTTTTTTTAAATAAATATATATAAACCAATGAATAAACAATATTGTAAGAACAGACCTCAAAGTAAAATTTGTTCTTGTCATGTTTTTGTTATTAGACTTTTCAAAGGAACCAGAATGTGACCAGCAAAAGAAAAAAGGTGCAAAGTTCAAACACATAAAAGTGCTCAAAAGACTGAGCCACAAAGGAGAGCCAGGCAAGAGCCCCAGCCTACGCAAAGAGAAGAGCTGAAACAGACCAAAAACGGGTGAAAATCTTTGAGGAAAATGGTAACAGAAACTCTGTTAATCCTTTGACAACTCATAATTTTAAAAAGACAACTTGATTTTATGCAGTGCTCCAAAAACATTTCCAGCAGGGTTTGTGTTGCTTTAAAAACATCTTATCAATTCTCATAAGAAGTTGTCATAAGTCTTCCCACCTTTTGCACTGATATACTGTACTGGTGTCTGCTTTACTTAACATAAATGGTTGACCATGTTTATTTGATTTTTATTACTATTTCATTACTTTGGCCTATTCATGGGTTTCCTGATTTAAAGGATTTGGCAGGTAACGCTCCTCTGTTGCTGTAGCGATAACACAATTCATATATTCTATCTTTTGAATGGGGGAAAGATCCTCACAAAATCCTTAAAATCAGAAAGGAATCATTTGCCTGAAACCCATGATTAATTTAATACTATTGGAGTTGTTCTCCTATGTTGTACATCCGAAACTCAGCTCATGGATTTCTATAAACTGTTGGTTAGTTTTGTACTGTGGTACTTTTCAGGAATTATCTGCTTTAACATGCCTCTAGACAAATATTAAATAAGACTCATCAAGCTGCTATTATAGCTGCCATTGTTAGGCCTTACAGTTTTAATCTTTTATATGCATCACATTACACCAATACTGTATATTTATTCATGTACCATAACATTTTGGTCCATTAGTGTAGGAAAAAATATCAAATATCCTTCACAAAGTTCACCTACATATCCCAACAGGCATCTCAAAGAAAGCACCTCTTTGAAATAAATATGCAATCATTAATTCATATTTTTGACAATGCCTTTCATGTTATTTTGCCTTAAGAGTTGCTTGTAAATTAAAGTGTTGTATGACTGGTCTTTATTTAAATGCTTTTATGGCTTTTGCATTATTGTCCATAAATATCCATAAACATACGTATTCTCTATTCATTTGTCTGTGACTGTGTATCTCCCAAACAAAAGACACCAATTTTTGGTGCACTGCTACACTTTGTTCCATACATAAATGAGTTATAGTGTTGGAGTATATGTTTTGAAATACATCTTTGTGCATTATTTTCTCAGTGCTCATGAGACATCTTACTTACATCTTACTTAAAACTGTTTTAAAGTTTATGGTTCAACATCACAAAAAAAAAAAAAACTCACACTAATCCACCTGCATTTAACAATATATTTTAGGGCTATTTTTCTTTTTCATCGACCTTCGTCTCCGACGATCCTCCCTCTGCTGTTTGACTGCTGGACTTGTTAAGCAGCTCTAGTTCTCTCACTCTCTACAATGGGAAAGAGAATAATATTATCCAAAACCAGTACTGATGCCAAATGGGCCGCTCTCATTCAAATTGACCTGTTTTACCTGTGATATTTCAGTGTTGATTATGCTGACATACTGTTGCTCTTGACCTAGAGATGCCATATCTTCCAGAAACTGACGTCTTTCTTCAATCTCCCCCAGGACTTTGAAGAAAATGAAAACCCATTTAAATGAATGATGATAATGGCAATGTCAACACCTATTTGGGGTTTCAGTTTGCAGGTATAGGTGCCATTTTGAGGACTTTGTTTTGACAATTTAAAAGATATAATAGTTTGTTTCTGAATTGTTAATTGGTAACAGTGGATATTCTTACTTTCATCTATACTGTCCTTTTCTTCTGGGGCTTCTGAATTTGAGGGACATTGTGTTATTGTAACTTTAGGTTCATCTTTTCCCATCTCCATAATTTTTTGAAGGCAGCGTTTCTCCTTCTCAAGATCTCCTACAGAAAAATACAAGGTATAATGAAAAAACTAAAAAAAAACTCTAATGAAAAAATACACACACAATGAACATTTTAAATTATAATATATACTAGTACTTGTTACTGGAATAGAAAAGCCTGATTTCTAAACTCACGGGTTGGACCAGGTCTGAACTTGTCCCGGACGTAGCTGTCCCCTGCTTTACACTGGTCAGCACTGCGTTTTTGTGGTTTCTTTGGAAGTTGACGCGAAGTAGATCGGCTTGGTTTGGACTGAGGAGGAGGAGGGGGTGGGTTCGCGGCTCCTATCAAGTGCAAAGGTGCTCCATCTGTAAGTCAGATAATGTCAATCACACACTTTTAACTTTTGTTAGTACAATAAACCACAGTAAAAGTTATGAGTTTACACTGAAAATTCTATCTCTAAAGGGTAGGTAATAAAGCTTACTTAACCAGCCTATTTTCTTTTTATTTACGTAGGTCTATTCACAATGAGGCACATTTTGTTGCATAAAATTTACTAAAGTGTAGCCTAGTATAAAAATAAAAAAGGTACTCACTTTTAAGGCACTCACGGATCTGTCTTTTGTGACCATTGGCAATATATGACTCCTGCATCATCACTGCGAAAATTAAGAAAACTTATTATGAAATTCGATAGTAAAACTATATAGCCTAACAATATACATAAATACACACATTTATATTTTAATAAATAGAATAGACATTACACTCGTTGCATCTGTGCACATCAATTCACTCACGCTGAAGCAGCTCCTGTGTCTTCTGACTGTATGCGTTGGGCCGTGCACAACTCCATAGTCCCCCTGAGGCTCTCGGTTTGTCCATCTGTTAGGCATTTCATCATCATAACAACAGTTTAAAAAACTGAATTAAACGACCACATAATGGATGAAGATTTAGATATTTTCGGAAGACTACCTTTTAGATCAGAAATTAAACTATGCGTCCTGGATGCGCTTCCTGTTGCGGTTACCACGACAACTGCAGTCTACGGGATCAACAAACCGCTGGAGCAACTTAAGAGTTTTTTGTTGTTGTTTTTTTGTTTTTTGTTTTTATTAACACCAAATACATGCATTTTGTTGGTTTGTATGTCAGTAAACACTTACAAATGCATGTCATATACTTTTCCGTAAAAACTGACGCAGAGAATAAATTTGATCACGTGTCTATGCACACGTGCCCTATCTTATTATGCTTCTATATGTTTGAGTTTTCTTACAGGATACTTTTTCGAGCTACCTAAGTTGACCATCCCTTTAGGACAGCTTAGATTTTAGGACAAAATTAGGTTAAGTCCTATAATACATTGTTTCCGTTTGAATAGTAGAATTAATAGGCTACAGCCACTGGTAATCAAATAGCCTACACGCTGGTCTATCTTATGACAGATGTAGGGCTCTTTTTACTGATGTGCTTTGATACCAAGATATAATATCTAATCAGACTACCTTCATCCATAAAATAGACAAATGCATATTCACTGGCTTGTCTAGGTATTGTTTTCTAACAATAGACAGCTTTCAGCTTTCAAACAGACTTGCCATGGTGTTGTTTCTGTCAAGTGCAGGGCTGTTGTTGTGAGACCTGAGTGTCTGGAGATGTCGTCACTCGTAGGTTTGAGTGCTTATCAGTGGTGGACACCTGATCAGGGCCAGCAGCGCTCTAAAGTTCATTATCACTTAAAGCGCAGCAGCCTGTCTCTGCCCCAACATCTAGATAAACAAATATCACTGAGGAACAGGGACCTTCTAAGAAGTCAAAACCACAAGTCCCAACAGAGAAAATGGGACAGTCAAGTTGGACAACTATACGTTCTCGAAGTATTTTGAATAGGCCTAAGCTTTCCTATCATACTATCTACAATTAAAATAGACCCAGATGTAGCCTTATTTCATTTTTTTCTCTTTTGTTATTCCTTTTTTTAAATCAATGTGTTTAGACTGTGTTTATTCAAGATTTCAAACTATTTACTCCAATAAACGTGTGTTAAAAATTTGCAAATGATAGTCAATGATTTTGATATCTTTTAAACCTCAAACTTTCAATAATGTAGTAGTAGGGTTTATCTCAGTAATTGTTGCATCAGGAAATCTTGATCTTATGACTAAATACATCTACGACAACAAAGCCTAGTATTTATTTTTATTTTTTATTGACAAAACAAAAAGTTGTTTTAGTTTTTAGCACAGTTGATCTGATTACCATAGAGGAGGAAGTTGGTGAGCCTAATGATTGTATTAAGTGTATGAAACGACGTAGTAGTTAACGCTCCACCTCCTAACGGTCAAAACCTACGTGAAAAAGTGAGATTTGGGGTTGAAGTTGCAGCTGACAGAGATAGACAAGACAGCAGTGAGATATCAGTGGCGCTATGGAGCTTTAGGAAAGTGTTTGTGCAGCCTCTGAACAGGACTGTAACTGGGGAGAGGGTTTGGTGACGAGTTTTTATTGATTTTAGAAGTAATTTTAAAGATTTTTTAAAGTAAGATTTTTAAAGTTCATAAAGTCAGATTTGTAGTTGTCTATTAGTCTGTAATATCTGAGGTGCTCGATGGCTGTTGCGCAGGCTGTACTCCCCTCCTTCAGCTCCTTTACTAACTTCACCCCCTCCACTGACAATATGAAGGTAAGAAAAATGTTTATGTTTAAGTACATAGTGCTATATGGGAATATATTTCAGTTCCATAGCTTTATGTTTGATACTGTATGTCTTCTGTTGATGGTTTTAAGAAATGTATACCTAAAATATTAACTTCCCAGTTTCACATAAACATCTCTTCATATGGATGTAAAGATGTTTATTTTTCACCATCAGGTTTGGGATGCAGAGGTGAGCTCTCTCCCCGTGGACCCCCTCAGCAGCAGGATGTTACCCCCAGACTCTGAGCAGCTCCAGGTTCAACACCTGACCCTGGAGGAGCTGGACAGTAACAGCCAGGCATCATGGGACATCGACCTCTTACTGTCGGACTGGGCCCTGAGCCCCTCACCAGAGCACTGTGTGAACACACAACCTGAGCTTCAAGAGATCAGCATCAAGTCGCTCACTGAGACATGTTCCTTCAAGGACCAGCAGGGTGGGAGTCATGTGGCCGAACCACTCTCCACAGTCGAGAGCTCGACTGTTCAGTCTGAGCTGTACCATCCTGGGTACTCTGACCCTCAGCCCACACGGACAGTTGCCATCTCAAATGTGGAGCAGTTTGGCTTTCCCCAGGCAAGCAGCATAGACAGGCACAGAGGAGCCTCTGCCAAGATCCTGTCCTGGGACTTCAGTCCATACTACGCCCCTCAGCAGCCCACTATGGTGGCCTACACAGACCACAGGTTCCTTCCTCCTCAAACTGTGCACCCTGACCCCAGACACTACAATTATGTGCCTCACTTTGGTCCCAGCAGTGTTTTCTGTGACTACAGTCCCACTGTTGGCCATGTGCCCTTGAACCAGCCCGGGCTGATACTGGCCTCTCCCCTCCCCCCAGGGGCACTGGAGGGCAAACGAGGGCGCCGGACCCTGGGCAAGAAGAGGCCAGCCATCCACAGCTGTGAGTATCCAGGCTGCTCCAAGACCTACACCAAGAGCTCGCACCTGAAGGCCCACCTCCGCACCCACACAGGTACAGCCAATCATCAGATAAATAAGAAATAAAATAATAATAATAATAATAACAACAACAATAACTTATAATAATAAGTGCATAAAAATAATAATAGTGTTTGTGACCAGGTGAAAAGCCGTACCATTGCTCCTGGGAGGGCTGCAGCTGGAAGTTTGCACGTTCAGATGAACTGACGCGTCACTATCGCAAACACACAGGTCAGAAGCCCTATGAGTGCCTGCTGTGTCAGAGGGCCTTCTCTCGCTCAGACCACCTGGCTCTGCACATGAAGAGACATGCATGAGATGAATACAGTTAATACAAATGAGAATAACAATGCTAAAGATTCACTAATATTTGAAGGAAATGTTCACAAACCACTCATTTGAGAAATAGGCAGGTAGGTAATTAGGTAATTTATTCAGTGATACAGACCTGATATTGGGACCAAGCAGAGACACTGTAGACACTGGGCATTGAAACACTAAAATAACTCCAGCCTTTGTAACTTTACTTATTATCTATAGATCACTGTGTGGTAGGTTTTATTTAAAAAGTGCCTTGTATTGTCTTTGTAGGTTACTTTATTTTGTTATGTTTAAAAAGGTAGCAGCATATTTATTGAGATATGTTTTATATCAAGATTATATTAATGTAGAGGATTTTCTATTCTAACAGTGTGTTTTTATCTTATTTTAAATAAAATATAGGAGCTGTAAATTGGTTTCCACTTGTCTACTTATACAGTGATGACCTCCCTACATCATATTGCTGTCTATTTGAGTTCTTGTGGTTCAAACGCATCGTCACAAGATTATGTAAGAGCTTTCTGTGATGTATGACTTTAGCCAATAGAGGGCAGTATATCATAGTTACAGGCCTATAACAGATCTGAGTGTTTGCAGTCAGAAAAGGAGCAGCAATCTGTTTATGTAATGGCCTGTTTATTGTTATTTAAAAGAAAAAATATATATATTATATTTAATATGTACATTTGGGAAAATATGATTAATATTAAGAATAATAGTCATAATATAATAATACAAATACTACTACTACTACTACTACCACTACTACTACTACTACTAATAATAATAATAATAATAATAATAATAATAATAATAATGAGCAACCCACAAGCATTGAAATTATGAATCTATTTTGACATGCGCTGTGAATCTGATAGGTATGCTGAGGACGTAAGTGTTTAGATTACATAATCTAGTTTAAATTTCCATTGTAACACGCTGGACAGGTTTTCATTGTGTAATAATTCCTTTTGATCTAAATGTAGCTAAAGGTTAATTACTCTCTACAAAATTTATTATGCAGCAAACAAGTAACAATGTATTAGGTTTTCACAATGGGCTACTATATTAATCCATAGTTTAATGCTGCATTATATTCACCTGCTGCCAAGTCATATTTTTCACAGGTGTAATGATCTGACATCATTTAGTTTATAAAACTTTAGGAGGCAAGAGTGCTACTTGGATATGTAGAGGATGCAAAATTGTCCTTTTGGTGCTCTTCAGTATGTAATTACTATAACCATGGCATAAAGCACTATATAATTAATCCAATTACCGGTATAGTCTTAAACCATACAACAATGAAACTACCTCATAATTATAAAGTGATGCAACTGAGATGTTTGAACTAATGTAAGAATACAGAATGTCAACACATATAGTTTCCATCATTTGAAACTTAACCCAGTGCTACTGAGCTTCAGTTTCCAGTTATTCTCTTAAGATGAATTGATAAATAAACTGCACAAAGTGAAATGTTTGCGCTGAAATGTGTGTGTCTGCCTAACAACTTACTGAGCAACTTTCCAGAGTGGTTCCAACTCGAACTGGATGCCCATAGTGGGGTATATTCTCTTGTCACTTCTAAAAAGGAGTATAAAATGTTAATCACCTTAATAGATAACCACATCACCAAACCAAGTCTAATCAGATTCAGGTTATATTTTACATCAAATGAACAACTGTGTACACCAGCACAGTGAAAACAGGGAAGCTAATAAAGTATGTCCACACTGTTATTGCATTTCATTATTGCAACCTATCCTAACTACCCATTAACATTACTTAACTTCCTCAATTTTGTGCAATTTCTTGTCCTTCAAGGCAACAAAATCTTTTTCCAAGAATAATAATATTAAGACATTTGTTTATACATATAATTTCAGTGCCACACCACCTACACGTACTTCATCATGCATTTTAAGTCTCAGAAGGGAATATAATGTACATTGTTGCAATGACCTAAAGTGACTGCATATGAACACAAGACTGACCTGTGTTGACACTGTGAAGCTTATTGTACAGTTTAATATTTGAACAGTCACTCGCTGTGAGCCTACATCTATAAATGGATTTCTTCTGCATTATTAAGCTGTGTTACTTCAGGACAGCGATACAGTTGTCATGTTATCTTTTCTCTCAAGGGCACAACTTTCAGTGAAGCAATGTGCACAGTGTTATTGAGAACTATATGATTACACAGAGGTGGAGGTAGGTTTTACTATAGTGGAAAAAATGACTAAATGAGTGCATCAGTGGGTTAAGAGCGTGAGCTGCTTATATAAATATAGTATTTAAAACACATCCAAACCTGTTAACATTTTGGAGAGACACTCAGATATTTAACTGGCAAGATAAAACAACAATTACTTGAATTTCAGAACTTATTTGTTCAGGTTTAAATTAGTTATGTTGTTGTTACTAAACATCCAAGTGCATAACAAAAGCATGTAACTTAGCCCCAATGGACAGACAATGAATAAGTAGTACTGGCTATCTATGAAAAAAAGACCTGTATGGCCTGCCTCTTGTCACCACTATAGTTACAAGTTAGTTCTTCAAAAACAATGCTTTAGGGCTGCACAATATATCGCAATCAATGTCACAATAACGTAATAGTCAATGTCATAATATCAAACTAAATATATTGCAATAACACCAAGGTTGTCCATCTGACAAAAATGTACTGTTTTTAAAATGGAAAAGAATAATAAATAAGGCTGACCCCAAAGAGGCTGAGAGAAGGAGAGATTTTCTGATGTTTTTCCTACTGTAGTCACTTCACCAGTTTGATGGTTAATGCTGACAGTACCACTTATAACTTCTCTTTCCAGGACTTCTACTAATCTTTCTTGGAGGCCCTGGTATTGCCATTGTTTAGTACAGCAATCGCAGCAACAATGGCTTTACCCTACTTGTCCACCGCCACGATGTTGGTTCTCTATCACCATTCTGTCAGTCTGCAACTGGAAGTCCCATAGGATTTTGGCTCGATCATTCTGCACTACCTTTGGTGGTGTTTCCTATTTTGACCTTGGGGTCTCCAGCCTGTACTCTGCTCAGATCTCTAAAGCTATTGGTAGGATGTCTTCATATCAGCCACTTTAGTTATGTTCAGATGGAACATACCATGTAAGGGCTTGCCCTCCCATGATGGTCCCTCCAGCACCTCTTCCTCTGCGCCCAACTGTCTGAGACATTCTTTAAGCACGTCATCCTTGTCCTTGATGTACTTATGGATTTGGGATGTTTCATGGACAGTGGCTCTCATGCTCACTAATCCTCGGCCTCCTTCCTTATGCCTTGCGTACAGGCTCCAGGTGCTAGATTTGGAATGGAACCCTTTATGCATGGTCAAGATCTTTTGTTTCTTTAGTATGACTACTTTCTACTTTTTAAATTTACGGAAGGCATTAAATAAAATTAATTCATAATTATAAATTATTTTATATTTAAATCCTCAAAGTACCCACCCTTTTGCCTTGTTGAAAAATATTAATTAGAGTTATTTCTATTTCTCTTTGCTACATAATTCCATATAATCTGTGTGTAAGAATTTGTACACAGTGTATACACCCATATGCAAAGCGGCAGTTATGTAATCTGACCACTCAGGGCATGTGAGGACTGAGTGAAGCTATACCAGTTCAGTTGGGGTGAGCTCAAAATAAAAGAGCACATTGTTTTCTTTGAGCGATCTGTAGAAGACAACACTTCCTCCTCTTGCTCCCCTCTATCACAGCTGCACGGACCACTTCATCCTGGGGTATGTTAAGAGCAGAGACCCTGGCCCAGTTGGCTGAGATTACAACATGTGGTTTAACAACTGCAGATGAGGTGGTGGTGGTGAGTTTGTGAGCGAGCTGTGATGCAACACCCAGAAATCAGTACAAAGAAACAGCTTTAAAGGTCATCGTGGAATGTTCTCAGAAAGTGTTTTCCCAATAGCAAGCAGTCATACAAACTTACTGATCTGAGATTTTATTAAAAATTTGTAGCAGAAGGTAGACTAAAATGCTGTGTTTAATTTGAAAGAAAATTTTGCACATTTAAACCAAAGTATATAAGAAGTGAGACGCAATAAACTTTTCTGACTTTACATTTCAGATTCATTCATTCGTTCTCTTACAGCAAAAACAAACATCCATACAAGTCTGTTCTCAAATATTAATTGCAGCCCTACTTGATGTGAAAAACATTTGTACAAATTATAGTAACACATTTATTATCTCTTTTTATTGAGTTACCATAACAATTCATTACATATTTTAGAATATTTTTTACGACTGGATAAAGACAAACTCCTGCCGATACAGGCTAGTTGGATGCCAATGAAAAAAGCAGGTCATCAGACTGGTTTTAAAATGTTCGAAAACAAACTGTATAATTAAATATCAAGAAACCTGTAATTTAAGCAGGTACTGTCTTGTAAGATCTTGCCTTATTTATGTTTTATGTTTATGCAACAGGATGTTCTTGTAATAATGCTTCATATACAGACCATTTTAGCTCTTCAACATCAAAGGTGGCTTAAGATCAAAATAGGCTTGTTTCTCAGTCCACCATTTATCATTGAAACTCGAAAAAGCTGTTGTATAATGTCCCTCCACCTTGTCTTTTAGAGATTACTGAAGAATTCGAGAATGACTCACATTTCTGAGGGCATTATATAGTCAGAACAAAATAATATGTATATAAGAATAGCTGTCACATTAATAACAATGAAACCCATCTATCAGGATTTACATTTAAACTAAGATATGTTTAATTATATGGATTATTTTATGAAGAGTTTCTACCAAAGAACAAATTAAGACTATAGGCTTACACCTTGATTGACCACATGTGTCATGTGTATTTGTGGGTCAAATCAGGAGACATTAACCTCTAATGTCTCCCAAGAACTAATCCTGCCCAGTGTCCCCATTATGTGACATTGTGTAACAGAATAAACAGCACTGTCAATGAAGCCTGCACGGTGAAACAATCAAATTTAAATAGTTGCAACTATCAAATTCAGTGTGTAATGTGTAAATATGCCCTTATGGTCTTATAATTTACATGAATATTAGACTTTGCAATATGCCTTTTATCGTGACAAAAACAGGTAAACTTAAAGATGCACTGCGTATTTTCTGGTAGATGGTCTGCTGCCTGCTTATCTACATGGACATGTTTGTGCATGAGGGGGACTAGCAGGTTACAGCATTACAATACATCACAAGTCAGATCTGTGGAGGGTCGCCCCTATTCACTGAAGGAATTCATGTATTTTTGAGCAATAGAATCACTCGTAATGAAAAAAAGCTAGATAAATATGTTTAAAGTTACACCATGGACACCATCTGTATTGGACCCTTTGCCTGAAATGTTGCGCAGTGACCCTTTAAGTTAAAACTAGGCAATAAATAAATGCAAGCTATATGAAGGCTAACATATAGATAGCATCAGTAGCATAGTTGTAGCCTGTAGTAGCCTATGCAGTAGGCCTCTTTGTCCTATTCCTAATTGTTCATTTATTTACAAGAAGACTATTTTAATCCGTTTTAAAGTTTAATCTATCATAAAGCGCCATTTGTATTTTTTTTTAAAGAAGTCATACACTTCACACAGACACATAAGCCTATCATAACACACCCAGACCTATAGCAGGCTTTTTTTCTAACCCGCGGTTTGTGGCGGCAGAGTCTGCAGAGGGGGAGGAGAGACGGGAGGAGGGAGGAGAGGGGAGGGGATAGGGGCGGCCGGACGGAAGGAGGGTCAGGCCGGGTGAGGATCCGACCCGGGCTGAACCTCCGCGCGGGGAGTGCACTCAGCGGGAGGCAGGAGCTCACACATCCACAGGACAAAAGCGGGAGCAAGACGTGATCTTACTGCTCGGCCACTCTCCGGAGTTTCAGACAACAGCAACAACGTAAGTGCACGGCTATATCTCAATCTTGTGTGAAACACTGGCGTAAGATTGGATTTATTATTATTAAGATATTTGCTTTGGTATGTTTGAATTAATGGTGTCTGTATGTAGCGATAAAGGCATGCACGCTACCTTATGTATATACTGTCTGTGGGCACTTCTCTGTAACTTCTTATAACCATTTAAACAGTACTGCCGCACATGGTTTGAAGTAAATATTAGAAATTACAATGTTCTTTTGCAATAATTTGCTACGTAAAGGATTAACAAATGAACAAACGTACAGTAGCCTATACTTTAGTTTGCTTTGTTTTTAGCGATAGCAACCTAACTGATGGTTACCTTAAATATTTAGCTGATTAACTAAATGTTAATTTTAGTTTGATGTCACCATGTTGATTTTCAATGTCTGTATATTTTTCTTTCCCCAGCAGGTGGAGCTCTTACATCACTGTGTGATATGGCAGAGGGGTGCTTGCTGAAGGGCCAGTCTGGGGCCTCCCTGCTGAATGTGGGGGAACAGGAGCACACAGGCCTGAGTGAGGAGGCCCTGAGTATCCTGGGCTCCCCCAGTCGCTTGGCGACCACTCTGCTGGGGCGTACTGTGGCTCTGACCAGGACGGAGGCAGAAACCAGAGCCGGGAGCAGCTGCGATGAGGATGGGACCAGCAGTAACTCTGGGAGACGGAAGAGAGAGTTCATCCCAGATGAACAGAAAGACGACGGGTACTGGGACAAGCGGCGGAAGAACAATGAGGCTGCAAAAAGGTCCAGAGAGAAGCGCAGAGCCAATGACATGGTGCTGGAGAGGCGTGTCCTGGGATTGCTAGAGGAGAACGCTCGGCTCAGGGCAGAGCTGTTGGCTTTAAAGTTTCGCTTCGGCCTCGTCAAAGACCCCTCTGAGGTGAGCATCCTGCCGCTGTCTGGAGCCCTCAGCTCAAACCAGTACAAACCCCAGAGCGCTCCTCACAGCGTCCAACCTGTCCAGAGCCCCCCTTTACATCAGGTGAGCACAAACGCAACAAGGGGAGACTTACCAGGCCTGTCTGAAGAGTCTCCCAACTCCAGAGTCTACTGTAGTGACCCCCCCACAGACAGGAGCGGGACCTGGGGGCAGGTGGAGGTGTGCTCAGTGGGAGCAGCAGAGGACAGGTATCCCAACAAACAGGATTCACCTGATGGCATGAAAAGCCTGCCACATAAGCTCAGGTTTAAATGTCCCATCAATGATGGAGTAGAGCTGTCCCCCTCAAGTGACACCAGACCCAGAGTGCCCCCTGTTGCCACAGTAGGTCCCAGCGTCCACATACATCCACATCCACAGACAGGGTGGGACAGAGGGGAGCAGAGTATGTGGGGCGGTCAGGAAGGGAGCTGTCACTACTACACATTCTCTCAGACAAACACAACAGAGGGTCCCGCAGAGGAGAGGGGTCTCCAGTCTCAGGTCAGCTCTCTCTCTCAGGAAGTGGCCCAACTCAAGAAACTCTTCTCCCAACAACTGCTCACAAAGATTTCCTAAAATCTTAAACCAGGAAACAGTGCCAAAACACTTCACAGCAGTTAAAAAGTCTACATAGTATCAAATAATTTCTACTATAATGAAATAATTGAGACTACATCCACATTTCTGTATATGTACATTTTGTGAATTTTGTTTTACTTTATCAATTCAAATCTCAAACCAGAACTTATTTAGAGTCATTATATTTTTTTTTTCGATAATCATTGTTTACACTGTACATTTTTGACTAAACAGGTGAGTCAGAAACACTGTATTAATCTGTAGAAGAAGAAAACAGATGCATTGAAGTTCAGTCACATCAGTGATACAGCACACATCAGGGGGCAACTAGTATAGATTACTCTCCCCCATGTTTGACCAATCAATCACATTACCCAGTGTAATCCTTGAACAAACAGGTGCTATACTTTTTTGTTTATATTCATAGCCTAGACCAAACTGAACATCCAGGAGAATATTAACTAAATAACAAGTGTTTAATCAAGGGTGTACAAATGTTTTCATAAAGGTTCATATATGGAAACACACAAAAGAGAACACCAACAGGCTTGTGGATCATAAGTGCATTTAGCAGAGACCCTTTATTCAGGGTAAGAACTTTGTTACCTTATCTAGTTTGTTATGATGGTAGATAAGATTTATGCAAACAAAATTCGATCTCCGCCACATTTTTCTATGTGTTTGTTTTTTATGCAATATTGTTTATAACAGATGTGATAACGTATGTTTTTCCATTTAAATACTGTCCACTTGTCCTTATCAATTATTAAAATTAAACTTCATCCAATTTGTATGTGCCATTTTTATTATTTGAACTCTATAGTTTTATTGTATCATTGCACATTTTCTTATTTACTGCCAAAAGATCATAGATGTGTCCCATAGGTGTTACCAACTAATATAAACTAATCATTAGAGTGACTGAAAGACAACTCTAAGTAAATACACTTCATTCATGAACCCTCTTTAAAACAAATGATGCATAAAACATGAGATGGGGTTCAGATGAATGGTTGTTGGTGGAGGTGAATTGAAAGTCTATATGAGTCATCGGTCACGTCAGCAAAGAGAAAGCTATTTTTAGCGGCGATGCAGCTGCTTCCGAGACTGATTGGCCCGCTTTGGAGCAAAGGATACAGTCCCAGAATTCATTATTAAAACCTGGAAAAGTGCTGAGGCAAAAAATGAGAGAAAGCTCCAGTAAATATGTAAATAGACTATTAACTCTGGAGATGAACGACTTTGTTTTGATGCTCTTTTATTGACAATGTGCCAGCTGCAGTGTTGTTATATTAGTATTAAATCCTTTTGCCCTCCTTTGTTTCAGAGTAAAGTGAAACTAAGACAATAACATTAGCTAGAGTTAAATTAAGAAAAATAAACACAAGGAACACTTTATTTTTTCACAATTTATATTTTGTTATCAAAATGGATGTCAAAATATTTATCGATACTTAAACTAGTATTTAACCAATATATTAAATTGAACAGAACAGGTATCAACAATGAAAAAAGCACGCAACAGAATCAAACCTTTCCTGAAAAAGTTTAAGAATGGTCTGGATTTATATTACACCTAGTGCAAGATGGCATACTAATAAAAAATATTCTGTGATTTTTAATCGGCTTCTAAGCCCTTTCCTTAGTATCAAAATCAAGTTTTCAGTATCATAACACTTTTTTTTCTGTCCTACAATTATTTGTAATACAATCTTAATACATACTAACCACAATACACTTGTAACATTTTACTCTATGTGAACACATCAAACCACCTGAGTAAATCTTCTATAGAGAAGTCTTGCCATTGGCCGCTAGGTGGCACCAAACATATTTGTCTCTGACTCTCATTGAGTCGTTCATTGATCCAACAGTGTGTTACTAGAGGTCCCATTTTCCATTGTGCTTTCTCTGGAGGCACATGCTGTTCACAGTAAGCAACGCCATCATTTCACACTCCCTCCACTGAATGAAATATTGTGCTGCCAAACGCAACAGACACAGAGGCGCTGCTGAAAGAACATTGTTTAAAAACATTATAATGCATTCAGATATACAAATAGGAGGTCAAAGATGTTGCATGGGGCTTGTATGTAGGTAGAAGAACTGGTTATTCAAGCCTCATCAAAACAACACTGGTCTCTGTCCCAGTGGGGGAGGTTATTGTCAGTGATCAATGCAGACAGCCATAATAACACTATACTACCCCCCATTAACCATGAGCCAGGAGGAAGCTACGAGTTGCTAGGCAGGCACCGCCACACCACTCAGTTGCCAAGGGAATTTCTGCATGCAAAGGCAGCTGGGAGATCAATGTTGGGGGTTGGTGCGAACATGGCTACAAGGGAGTAGTATATTGGTTAGAAAACGGGGAGGAGCAAGACAAGTTCAAGGTCTGTGCTGGTTGTGGTGGCTGTTCACATGTGGCTGAGCAGACAAAGCAGGGGGAGGGGAGGTGAAATGGGGGAGCTGTGGCTGGAGGTGCATCTGATACAAAACAGAGGGCTGACGTAACTGCACATGAAATATGGTGCTGATGAGGACAACAGGCTTTGGGTAATGGAAAAAGCTACTGCAAGATGGAGATAGGTTTGGATTTCCTCTCATAAAATGTATGGGCTATGTGCAGCCAGTCATAATTTCCTCTATTATTTCCATACATTTTATTGTGTGAGATTTAAGGGGTATTACATATTATTGCATGTGTTCAACAATACAGACCTTTGTTATTTATATTTTAATTCATATAGATTTATGATGTATTTGCATATCAGCCAAATACATCATCATGAGCAATACCATAAATAAGATATGTAGGATATAATTCTTAAGGTAATTTATCTAACAGTGATGTTTAGTGGGGTGCCAGCCTCTTCAGCACTAAACGTGTACAAAATGTTTATTATATATTATATTATTAGAGAATGAATTTACTTAGTATCCAGTACTTTTAGTGCCAGTGCAAAAACGTGATATATATTCTTTATAGGTTGCATCAGGATTTAGAGCATCCATAATAAATCTATTGCCAATTATATAGTGGTAAGTACACAATAATATGGTGTTAAGGCTAGTGTTGAATAGGGAAAGCAGTGGCAATACTATAAAAATAAAGCAAGATTCTGTTTATATAAAAGACATGATGGTAGTCTATTCTACTATTAAATATTTACAGTGCTGAAAAGGTTTAAAGCCAAAAGACGAACACAATGCCAAATATTCTCTTGTAGTCAAAACAGCAGGGCAGACAAAGGGTTAAAATTGTGTGTGCTTTGAAAATCCTTTAACGGACTGTGAATACATGAAAAATTATTGGTCAGGAGCCAACAGCCAATCACAGAACAGAAAATAATAGAAATGGTTCGATGTTATTACTGTGTAGTAGAAGAAGTATTTGTTTTAAATAATAAGTACAGGAGAAGTATTGTAATTCAGTGAGTGCTACATTTTAAGCAAATAGAGGAAACTCAGCTATGTTGACACAATCCAGTCACATGGAGTTAATGACAAAATGTGATTCTAATCTGATGTAGTATAAAAATAATAATATATTTTTAAAAAAAGGTTTCTATGTAAATGTGTTAATATTGCAATGTCTGTATGTGCTATATGCTAAACCAATAATAATGTGATGTGGTGGTGCTTTTGACAGATTCTATTAAAAGCAAAATGAAAAACAGTAATACGTTCTCCATAGATGTGGTTATTTAGGTTTGTCTTTGTCAATTTTTCATATTGATCTGGTTTTATTATTAAAGGAATCTGTGCCTAAAATACTTAGTGAAGTTAACAGCATTTAGTTAATTGGTAAATTTTATTTTGATAGATTTTTATTTTGATAAACTGAAATTGTCCAGAATTGAATGTTGTACATTGAAGGCATTATATCTAAAAGAAAAATCTATTATTTCCACTGTTTCTTGCATTGAAGAACATCAAACCTGGACGAGAAGTAAATATGTAAAATCCCTTCTGATATAAGCCAACTGTATTGACTTTAGTTTTCATACTATTATTCCCCCTTCAATACAACATTAGAAAAAAATACATTTATTTAATGTAGCTGCTTATCAGCATAAATTTTCAATCACATGATTTGATTATTCTGAGTGAAGCCAACAAGTAAGCATAAATGCATTGTATTGTATGTATAAACTATTTTTCATGATCAATTTGCCTAATATTATCCTATCCCTCCAGAAAAAAACACAAAACCTCACAGTTTACTCACATTGTATTTTAGATTGGCATTGCCTAGGCTATAACATGCCCAGGCGAAAATTGTTGTAATAAATAATGTAAACTACGAAGTCATTTAGCTGCTGACATAATAACCCTCATTCTGATGATAACAATACAACCAACCAACTTCCATGTGGGACATGTTTATAGACTGTCCACTAGGCACAACCCCAGCATGGAGCGAGCAGCGTGCGTAAACTCATTCATACCGGTTATAAAGTTAACCACTCCCGTCAAACTGCACTCGCAGTTGGGATGAGACCTTATAACATGGTAAAGAGCCACACACCCAGCAGCGCGCGGAGAGAGATAGAGGACAAAAACGTGACTAGGCAGCCTAAGAGCTGTTATGCAACCGCTGACCTACTAACACATATTTCTCGAAAGGGAGCCGCAGAAACTGGAGCAAAGTGTCCGGTGGCGCACACAACACGTTGAGCAGATCCCGAGACAAGAGCCTGAACCAGCATCCTGCCTCTCCACTGACTCAACTACAGCTCACCCGAAGACATCGGCCAGAAGTGGACAACAGAACTTTTGGAGACGCTTTTCGTGGAGAAGTTTTTTTTTCCCTTTTTGCTCAGAGCAGAGAGGCAAACGAGGAAACGCGCGGAGCCAGACTGCTTTTGTGTCGTGGTGGAAGCGTGTGGATGTTTCTCCTCCTCCCGGACATGGAAAGGTATGTTTTGACTGAAAAGGCGGTGGCTTTTGTAAATTCTACTTATATGTTTGTGCTAGTTTATTTAATTATTGTGTGAATGTATGTCTGTGTAGGCTCTATAAGAGTGCGTATCGTGGTTAGGACATGATGCTCCCGGTCGGGTATTGTTCACATGGCGGCTGCCGGCTCATACGCAGCCCATTCGTGACTTTGAGACGTTTATAGCTATTTTAGGTGGCACTAAACGTAACAATTTGCCCCAATGAGGTACTATTTTTGGAATGATTGCGTATAAGAACAATTTGTACTAACTAATACGCACAACTGAAGCCGGCAAAACGTGGTAATGCGTAACCCATATTATGCACTCAATGTCAAGGCGAGGTAATTTCCCTCATGGTGGTGTTTTCCAGGGAATGGGGGCAGCTGCTGTCTGGCTCTACTGCAGTGTATTGTATAGAATAGATACCACACGTGTCTTGATACAATTTGTACCCTGTGCTATTTTAGTAAATGAGATTTTAAATCATCTTCCTCGTTTGGGTGCCATGGGGACAACAAATAAAGTATCTATTTTCAGACATGCTCTATAGCTGTTCAGCGTTGTAGTTTATTTATAGTATTTTCTCCATTTATTCAGTTCTTAACTTGTATTTATCCAGGATGACCGATATTAGACAAATGTTTTAATCTTTTTTGGTGTGCTTAAGCAGTAAAACATATTGACTTAACAATGGTAAATAGGCTATGTAACGATAAATAAGCGGCAAATCATATTGTTATTCTCATTTCATAGTTATTTCATAATATGCATTCATATTTAACAATTACGTGTCCTTTCGCTCACGCCTAAAATAAATCACAAAATGCCTAGTTTCC